TAATCCATGCTTGATGCCCTTTGTTTGTTATAAATCCATGTGTGATGCCTTTATGTGTTATAATCCATGTGTGATGCCTTTATGTGTTATAATCCATGTGTGGTGCCTTTATGTGTTATAATCCATGTGTGATGCCTTTATGTGTTATAATCCATGTGTGATGCCTTTATGTGTTATGCCTCCATGTGTGATGCCTTGAGAAAGCTTTATGTGTTATAATCCATGTGTGATGCCTTTGTGTGTTATAATCCATCCTGTGATGCCTATGATGTGTTATGCCTTTGTGTGTTATAATCCATGTGTGTTATGCCTTTGTGTGTTATAATCCATGTGTGATGCCTTTGTTTCTTATAATCCATGTGTGATGCCTTTATGTGTTATAATCAATGTTTGATGCCTGATGTCCTTTATGTGTTATAATCCATGTGTGATGCCCTTTGTGTGTTATAATCCATGTGTGATGCCTTTATGTGTTATAATCCATGTGTGATGCCTTTGTGTGTTATAATCCATGTGTGATGCCTTTATGTGTTATAATCCATGTGTGATGCCTTTATGTGTTATAATCCATGTGTGGTGCCTTTATGTGTTATAATCCATGTGTGATGCCTTTGTGTGTTATAATCCATGTGTGATGCCTTTACATGTTATAATCCATGTGTGATGCCTTTATGTGTTATGCCTTTGTGTGTTATAATGTATGTGTGATGCCTTTAAGTGTTATAATCCATGTGTGATGCCTTTGTGTGTTATAATCCATGTGTGATGCCTTTATGTGTTATAATCCATGTGTGATGCTTTTATGTGTTATAATGCACGTATGATGCCTTTATGTGTTATAATCCATGTGTGATGCCTTTATGTGTTATGATGTATGTGTGATGCCTTTATGTGTTATAATTAATGTGTCATGCCTTTTATGTGTTATAATGGATGTTTGATGCATTTATGTGTTATAGTCCATATGTGATGCTTTTATGTGTTATAATGCTCGTGTGATGCCCTGATGTGTCATGATCCATGTGTGATGCCTTTATGTGTTATGATCAATGTGTGAAGCCTTTATGTGTTATGATCCATGTGTAATGAACTTATGTGTTACAATCCATGTATGATGTCTTTATCTGTTTAAAATCCATGTGTGATGCCTTTGTGTGTTGTAATATATGTGTTTCATGCCATTCTGTGTTATAATCCATGCTTGATGCCCTTGTTTGTTATAATCCATGTGTGATGCCGTTATGTGTTATAATCCATGTGTGATGCCTTTATGTGTCTTAATCCGTGTGTGTGCCTTTCTGGGTTATAATCCATCTGTGATGTCTTTACATGTTATAATCCATGTGTGATGCCTTTATGTGTTATACCTTTGTGTGTTATAATGTATGTGTTATGCCTTTAAATGTTATAATCCATGTGTGATGCCTTTCTGTGTTATAATCCATGTGTGATGCCTTTATTTGTTATAATCAATATGTGATGCCTTTATGTGTTATATTCCATGTGTGATGCCTTTATGTGTTATAATCCATGTGTGATGCCTTCGTGTGTTGTAATCCATGTGTGGTGCCTTTATGTGTTATAATCTATGTGTGATGCCTTTATGTGTTATAATCCATGTGTGATGCCTTTATGTGTTATGCCTTTATGTGTTATAATCAATGTGAGAAAGCTTTATGTGTTATAATCCATGTGTGATGCCTTTGTGTGAAGTAATCCATCTGTGATGCCTTTATGTGTTATAATCCATCTGTGATGCCTTGTGTGTTTTGTGTGTTATAATGTATGTGTTATGCCTTTAAGTGTTATAATCCGTTTGTGATGCCTTTGTTTCTTATAATCCATGTGTGATGCCTTTATGTGTTATAATCAATGTGTGATGTCCTTATGTATTATAATCCATGAGTGCTGCCTTTGTGTGTTGTAATCCGTGTGTGATGCCTTTATGTGTTATAATCAATGTGTGATGCCTTTGTGTGTCATAATCCATGGGTGGTGCCTTTATGTGTTATAATGAATGTGTGATGTCTTTGTGTGTCATAATCCATGGGTGGTGCCTTTATTTGTTATAATACATGTTTGATGCCTTTGTCTGTTATAATCCATCTGTCATGCCTTTTTACATGTTATAATCCATGTGTGATGCCTTTATGTGTTATGCCTTTGTGTGTTATAATGTATGTGTTATGCCTTTAATTGTTTTAATGCATGTGTGATGTCTTTATGTGTTATAATCCATGTATGATGTCTTTATGTGTTTATAATCCATGTGTGATGCCTTTAGGTGTTATAATCCATATGTGATGCTTTTATGTGTTATAATGCACGTGTGATGCCCTTATGTGTTATGATCCATGTGTGATGCCTTTATGTGTTATGATGCATGTGTGATGCCTTTATGTGTTATAATCCATGTGTGGTGCCTGTAGGTGTTATAATCCATGTGTGATGCCTTTGTGTGTTATAATCCATGTGTGATGCCTTTATGTGTGCTTTTAATCCATAATGTATGTGATGCCTCTGTGTGTTTTAATCCATGTGTGATGCCTCTGTGTCTTTTAATCCATGTGTGATGCCTTTATGTGTTGTAATCCATGTGTGATGCCTTTATGTGTTATAATCCTTTATGTGTTATAATCCATGTATGATCCCTTTATGTGTTATAATCCATGTGTGATGCTTTTATGTGTTATAATGCACGTGTGATGCCTTTAAGTGTTATGATCCATGTGTGATGCCTTTATGTGTTGTAATCTATGTGTGGTGCCCTTATGTGTTATAATCCATCTGTGATGCCTTTACATGTTATAATCCATGTGTGATGCCTTTATGTGTCATAATCCATGTGTGATGCCTTCGGGTGTTTTAATCAATGTGTGGTGCCTTTATGTGTTATAATGTATGTGTTATGCCTATAAGTGTTATAATCCATGTGAGATGCCTTTGTGTGTTATAATCCATGTGTGATGCCTTCGGGTGTTTTAATCAATGTGTGGTGCCTTTATGTGTTACAAACCATGTGTGATGCCTTTATGTGTTATAATGTATGCGTGATGCCTTTGTGTGTCATAATCCATGTGTGATGCCTTTCCGTGTTATAAACTATGAGTGATGCCTTTATGTGTTATAAGGTATGTGTGATGTCTTAATGTGTTAAAATGAATGTGTGATGCCTTTGTGTGTTGTAATCCATGTGTGATGCCGTTCTGTATTATAATCCTTGTGTGATGCCTTTGTTTGTTATAATTCATGTCTGATGTCTTTATGTGTTATAATCTATGTTATGCCTTTATGTGTTATAAACCATGTGCGATGCCTTTCTGTGTTGTAATCCATGTGTGATGCCCTTATGTGTTATAATCCATGTGTGATGCCTTGTGTGTTGTAATATATGTGTTTCATGCCTTTATGTGTGTTTAATCCATGTGTGATGCCTTTATGTGTTATGCCTTTGAGTGTTATAATGTATGTGTTATGCCTTTAAGTGTTATAATCCGTTTGTGATGCCTTTGTTTCTTATAATCCATGTGTGATGCCTCTATGTGTTATAATCAATGTGAGTTGCCCTTATGTGTTATAATCCATGAGTGCTGCCTTTGTGTGTTGTAATCCATGTGTGATGCCTTTATGTGTTATAATCCATGTGTGATGCCTTTGTGTGTTATAATCCATGTGTGATGCCTTTATGTGTTATAATCCATGTGTGATGCCTTTATGTGTTATAATGCATGTGTGATGCCTTTATGTGTGTTATAATCCATGTGTGATGCCTTTATGTGTTATAATGTATGTGTGATGCCTTTATGTGTTATAATCTATGTTATGCCTGCCTTTATGTGTTATAAATCCATGTGTCATGCCTTTCTGTTGTATAATCGTGTGATGCCCTTTATGTGTGTTATAATCCATGTGTGATGCCTTTGTGTGTTAATAATATATGTGTTTGATGCCTTTCTGTGTTATAATCCATGTCTGATGCCCTTTGTTTGTTTATAATCCATTTTGTGATGCCTTTATGTGTTATAATCCATGTGTGATGCCTTTATGTGTCATAATCCATGTGTGGTGCCTGTATGTGTTATAATCCATCTGTGATGTCTTTGTGTGTTAAAATGTATGTGTGATGCCTGTGTGTGTTATTTTGTATGTGTGATGCCTTTATGTGTTATGATCCATGTGTGATGCCTTTATGTGTTATAATCCATGTGTGATGCCTTTATGTGTTATAATCCATGTGTGATGTCTTTATGTGTTATAATCCATGTGTGATGCCTTTATGTGTTATAATCCATGTGTGATGCCTTTATGTGTTATAATCCATGTGTGATGCCTTTATGTGTTATAATGCACGTGTGATGCCTTTAAGTGTTATGATCCATGTGTGATGCCTTTATGTGTTGTAATCTATGTGCGGTGCCCTTATGTGTTATAATCCATCTGTGATGCCTTTACATGTTATAATCCATGTGTGATGCCTTTATGTGTCATAATCCATGTGTGATGCCTTCGGTGTTTTAATCAATGTGTGGTGCCTTTATGTGTTATAAACCATGTGTGATGCCTTTATGTGTTATAATGTATGTGTTATGCCTTTATGTGTTATAATCCATGTGTGATGCCTTTGTGTTTTAATCCATGTGTGATGCCTTTGTGTTATTATCCATGTGTGATGCCTTTGTGTGTTGTAATCCATGTGTGATGCCTTTGTGTGTTGTAATCCATGTGTGATGCCTTGATGTGTTATAATCCATGTGTGATGCTTTTATGTGTTATAATGCACGTGTGATGCCCTTAAGTGTTATAATCCATGTGTGATGCCTTTAAGTGTTATAATCCATGTGTGATGCCTTTATGAGTTGTAATCCATGTGTGGTGCCTTTATGTGTTATAATCCATGAGTGATGCCTTTATGTGTTATAATCCATGTGTCAAAACCCATGTCATCATGACTATAATGTTAAGGTTGATGTGACAATTCAAGGTAAAATCAAGACAAGAAATGATGGCAATACTCAGTTTTATTGTCTTGGTTCTGTAATATGATAACTCAGATTATGTCCCAATATAATTAGATAATTTATCAATGAAGATCTGTCATGACTGTAAGCTTGCATTGACGGAAACCATGTTTCACAAGCCTGAGTCTATATACTTTCATGCTATGCAAATAATCAAAAATGTTAACAAAGTGATAAAATATTCCAGTTACCCACAATTATAGAAACAAAACCCTTTCCATGCCTGCAAGAAACAGAAACTGGAGGTGATTATACGATTCCAATACATACTCTCAAAAAAAGTAGGGAAACATCATGTTTAACTTACGACTGACAATATTGGGAGATATATCGGAGTCTATCAATGTTGATACGACAATAAAGAATGTTTTGAGAGTGCATCACCACTTGCACTTCCTTATGACCATAGTTGTTTGTACAGTAGTCGCTCTTGAAAGATGAGTGGTGTATGACATGAAATTAGCATGTGTACAATTTTCATTTTCACACCAAAATAGTAGCTTGAAACAAACACTAACAACTGTGTGATACAAGATAATTGTCAAAATTAATTGTCTACAGTGATTCTTGAAAACCGTCAAAATCAAGAAAGACACCCCATGCACATGTATGGGGCTACAGCGTTGTGCACATGCATCCCATGCATTGTGTTTAGGGGTGATGATAAGCAGAAGTAAGGTGACATGGGGTTTAAGGTTGTACTTGAGAATATTTTGCTTATATGACGATGTGCATGTATGTGTATGTGTATGTGCAGCTGCTTGTACTAGCCCAGACTTAAGCTGGTATTATAGTGCTAGCTCACTGAGATACCATGCCGCAGTGAAGCATGAATACCCCACTCAGAAACAGTATACTGACTCTGAGCCGACCAGTCCTTGTTGGACCCATTAATGCCGAGCGCCACGCAGGGACCAAGTACCATATTTTAACGTGTTTTTGTTTGACGCGGCTGGGGATTAAACACACAACCTTCCGCTCTCCAGTGGACGTTCTAACCACTACACCACGGAGGCAGTGGCGATAAAGAGAAACGGTGGTGCGTTCATAAGATGTTTGTCTTTGAAAAGTTTGTTAGTGCTTATCCTTCCTATCCAAATTGAAGGTTCAGGTTCCCCTACTGTTTTAAAGAGTATATAATGAGCATGTGTTTATGAATCAGTATATACAAATGAAAACACAAGTGTTCAAGAAAAAGGTGAGAGCAACTGTCAGAAAACTAATACTAAGGCTGCTCAAAACACAGAAACAAACTCAAAATATGGAATTGCATTTCATGTCATAATTGTCACTAATGTGTTAAATTTGGAGATGCCCTATATATGTCTGCTAGAAAACATATTGAAAGCTTGAAATTCATCGATATTATTTAAACACAAAATTGTGGCAGATCCTATCAAGTCAGTCACACTACCTCTATACAATACTTGCATATAAGAGACTTTCTTATTACGAGTGTTTTCTTGTAAACATGTGACCAGTGTCAGTCAGACTGTCTGGAAGTGGTCACGCCATTTGGAAGATGGGCCATGAAACAACATGGTGATCACATATAAACACCTAAACACATACAGTCAATGCCAACAAGATAAAAGTGTAATATTCTCATATGGGAAATATTTCAAAGTATAGTGTGTGTTGTTCAGGAGTTCAAGGTTCCATGGTTGAGTGACATGTACATGGTGTCAACAGCAACATAACCTGACACATCAGCAATGACTGCTCTGAAAACAGGCTGAAGGCTAAAACCTCAGCTTCTACACTAACTGAGATACTCTGCTCACCTCTAACCTCACTACTATTCCAACAGTTAACTAACAAGACACTAGCTGTAAAAGCCAGGATAAAGTCTTAATCAAGCTCATGTGCACAGAAATTCATGGGTATACAATATGGACATACAGGCATTCACAACATTATCACACTGTAAAAACATTTCAGTCAACATCCTCACTTAGCCAAGGTATTGTGTGTCCATTCTGTTGTGATAAACACCATAGACCCACCCACCATAGTCATTGGTTACTGTCAAGATGTTATCATAGTGATGTGTTATCATGATGGTGTTACCATATTGATGCTTACCATAGTGATGTGTTACCGTAAAGATGTTACCATAGTGATGTGTTACCGTAAAGATGTTACCATAGTGATGTGTTACCGCAAAGATGTTACCATAGCGATGTGTTACCGTAAAGATGTTACCATAGTGATGTGTTACCGTAAAGATTTTACCATAGTGATGTGTTACCATAGTGATGAGTTACCATAGTGATGTGTTACCGCAAAGATGTTACCATAGTGATGAGTCTTCTTCGTTGTTACTCCTTTGACTTAGCACAGAATTAATTGGTTGATGAGAACAAGTGGAATGGATGGCCTCATATCTGTATAGGTTCCAAATCACACTCTGGTTGAGAATGGTTCCAGTGTATTTATCAGACTGCTAGTGATATAATCAATATGGCAGCCGAGGATGGTCAACCACTGATATAATCTATATGACAGCCGAGGATGGTCAACCACTTATATAATCTATATGACAGCTGAGGATGGTCAACCACTGATATAATCTATATGACGGCCGAGGATGGTCAACCACTGATATAATCTATATGACAGCCGAGGATGGTCAACCACTTATATAATCTATATGACAGCTGAGGATGGTCAACCACTGATATAATCTATATGACGGCCGAGGATGGTCAACCACTGATATAATCTATATGACGGCCGAGGATGGTCAACCACTGGTCATCACTGATTATGCTGACATGTATCACAGTCACAATGACAAGAAGCAAACAGATTATCACCATGGTTACTAGACTCAGCCTCACATTTATTCTAAAGACGAGAGGATTAGCGGAACCTACTTAACTTGTCCTGGGTGCCCTTATACAAAGTGATATTATGGCTAAGGTCACTGTAACATAGTTTAACACAGACTTACTACAGTCTTAGCGCTAAGGTCACTGTAACATAGTTTAACATAGACTTACTACAGTCTTACCGCTAAGGTCACTGTAACATAGTTTAACATAGACTTACTACAGTCTTAGCGCTAAGGTCACTGTAACATAGTTAAACACAGACTTACTACAGTCTTAGCGCTACACACAACACAGTCGACTACAACCAAGGAGGCTGCCAGCAGCCATATTGTCTTCATCTTTTTAACAAATTAAGAACTACATCTTGAGAACTTAATCATAACACACATAAAGTTCAGTTTTATGGGACTTTTGGTTTTTGAAAATAAAATTTATCAAAGACCTCATCATGTTTACTATGGCAAAGTTATAAGATCTCGACTGATGTAAATAACATCTGAAACATAGAAAGATGATTTGCCTGGGTAACATGGGTCTTATGGTTCACAGACACAAAACACTCAAATAAAGGATTGTCAAATAACGGGATGTTGTCAGCAACAAGACACTACACCACTGTGGCTGGCTAGCAGACCAGGAAGAGAAGCGACTGAAAGCATGGAGTGAGGGAGTTTTGTGTAACACTACTTTCTACGGTGTTCCTCTTACATCACTTCATACCAACTTAATGTGGGAAGAAAGTCCGAGTGATGCAGTTCTCACCTGTGAAACCACACAGCATGGGTTGGGCACCTTCAAACCTAGAACATGTCATCAAAGCGTAACAGGATTTGAACCCAAACACATCTACCTGGCTTGGCTAACAAATGCAACCACACACAGCAGATAGGGCTGTCTACCACTGACCCTGATTGCCACGCCTACATGGAACCAACCAGGGCACATTTCTTGTCGATCTGATGCTGACATGATGGAGATCTGTCTTCACTTGAATAAGATATGGCAACTTGCTACATGATGCCCTGCAAACCCATCTCTGCTACTTACCCAAGCTACACCATATTGTTCAAAATCCACAATGGAGTTTCTTTCACACAAAGTTGATTGTGACAAGTGGATACAAATCTGAAACTAATTTGTATGTAAATCGACACTCACCTGCATCTCTCAAACTCCTCTCAGTGTAGTGGTTGTTACAACTGTAAACTGAGGTCCAATAAGGTCAACAACTATACCTCTAAAACAGTTACGCTCATCACAACAGTAAATGTCTCCAAACCAAATACACTAACAAAAGTGAGAATCCATTAATAACTAAACTCACAAATGAATTCACAGTCAGTAGCATTGCTGTTTACTTCCACCGAGTTTCTTGACTTGCTACGAAGGATGTTCAACGTCAGACTGTTGTTTCCTTTCATAGACCTGCGCCACGCCATGTTGATCAAGCTGGACGCCATTGTTGCCGTTGAGATCAAGAGGGCAACCATGTCTTCCATCTGAGATGCCTTCATTGCGACAGACACCGAGTGAGACGTCTCTATGGAGACTAAGTGGTGCTCCCCTTTGTCTGTGCGACAGGTCCTGGACAGCATGGGCAGCATCCCCAACACCAGGTGAGAAGTCCTGCCCTGGTCTGCCCACAATGGTATCGGTGTACACCACACTTTCAGTAGACACTCCATCACTCTTCACATCATCATGCTGAGCTTCTGTAACAGTACCCTGATGCTGTGGTAACTCATTCTGGCCTTTCATGCCATCACCCTGACTCAACATCTCCCCACTCAGGCTGTAACCTTGGAGGCTGTAGCCTTGACCTTGGAGGCCTTCACCTTGACCCGGCAGGTCTTCACTACGATCCAGCACGATGCAATCATATCCCCCGACAACAGCAGGATGATCCCCAAAGATGGCATTAGGTTGACCTTGGACTTCATTTTGTTCTAGTCCTGAATCTTGCAACACCGTTCCATCACTCACAGTCTCATTTATGTTCCAAGAAGCAGCTCTGCTCTCAATATCATTCCCAGTGTCAACATTGATGTTCTCAGCTTCAATCTCAGACAGCAGTTCACCATCTGAAGCTGTGTACTCCTCATCGTCCTCCACGGGACTGGCCCGGTCCACGTAGATCATATGTCCGTCAATCAACATGGTGTCAGACTCACCTTCACCAAAATCACTTCCCCCATTACATTCCTCCCACACATCTTCCTCTGTCTGGTTTTGATCACTGTTGCCATCTTGGATCTCTGCTTCATACGGAACAGCCCACATCTTGCCAGGCGACTGCCCATCTTGTCTGCTATCCACTTCCCATTGAGTAACACCCTTGCCATGTTTGTGGAGAAGCTTCACGTGGACAATCTTGTTACTGAGAAGCATAAACTTTTTCCCACAAACTTCACATGCGTACGGCAGTTCCCCGGTATGAATCCTCATGTGAACATTGAAAGCAAGTTTCTGTTTAAATGTCTTATCACAAACAACACACTCGGCAACATCTTTCTTAGGAAAGGCTTTAGCTCTTTCTCTAATTCTTTCCACGCTACATTCAGGACGTGATGCTGACCGTGCGGAAGTTAGTCTCCATTGAACGGGAGGTTTGCTTGAATGAAGCTTCTTCACATGGGTCTCCATGTCAGATCTGCGTTTGTAGGAACACTCACATATCCGACACTTGAACTGTTTCTCTGTTGAATGTCTCCGGAAATGGGTATACAACTTGGATGGGGTACCAACTGCCTTGTTACATAAAGGACATTGATATGGACCTTTTCCGCTGCTTTCCGAACAACTTATGTAATGTTTCAAAACATCTTCAATCCTGGGAAAGTATTTTTTGCAAAATGTGCATGGGTGAGATCTTGAAACCAGCTTCTGGTGATCGTTGACAGCTAAAGAAGTCTGTGTAACTTTCTTTGCCATGTCTTGTTTAGACGGGGTTCCAGCAGGCCTACTGCCAGTTTTTGAGGAAACAACATGTGTTTTAGTCATATGAATCTTCAAGCTGCTTAGCAAAGTGAACTCTCTGAGACATATCTGACACTGATGTTGGTTGGAAACAGATGTGTTACTGTTCAGTTGAGTCTGATTGTTTGTTGCTCTCTCCTGGTCTGTGTACAGGTCGGCCTGATGCTGTTTGTGATGCATGTTCTTCATGTGATCCTTCAAGCTGTATGGCAGAGAGAATGTCTTCTGACAGAAGCTACACTTGTATGGCTTGATCCCGGTGTGCGTCCTCACATGGATGATCAGTTGACTCAGTACATCAAACCTACGATCACAAAATACGCACCATAACATTTCATTTGAAACAAGGGCACCATTTCTTATTTGTTTAAGGCTGTGAGTAGTGGAATGAGTCTGCAGATGCTGTCGACACGCAGTCTGTGATTCAAATTCATTTTTACAAATTGCACATCTATGTCTTTGTTTTTCTTCCAAAATTCTAAGTTGTTTCTGCAACAGTTCAGGCTGAACTTGTGTCACACACAGTTTGCTCCTTGGGTCAGTGTGGCACTTCAAGTGATATTTCTGCTTTACCTTGGAGGAGAACCTCTCATCACAAAGTATACATTTAAACTTCTGTAAACCCGACCCGGCTCCATCTGAACTGGTGGAAAACATTGTCTTCCTCTGGGTCGAGTGAGTCAAAATATGGCGTCTGAAATTGTGCAGATCAGTGAAAACTCGAAAACATGTTTCACATCTGTGTTGTGCCAGTTCGGTTTTCTTGAACTGTTTGATAAATGTTGCATTGGCTTGTTCAAAACCTTTGATGTAGAGTTTGCTATCAGGGTTAAAATGGTGGCTGATGTGCCTCTTCAGATGATGACGGAATGAGAAGTTCTGCCCACATGGGCAGGTGAATGATGTCTCCCCTGTATGTCTCTTCACATGGCTGTTCAACTGATACGTGAAGTGAAATCGTTTTTTGCACTTGCCACATTGACAAAGTCTTGCTGCCTTTGAATGAGTCACTTTACTTTTCAGTGATTTCTTAGAAGGGTATAACTTATAATGTTTCACCTGTATGTGAGAAAGTAAGTCGTTGGATGTTCTGAAGGTGGTCTTACATACAGAACATACAAACATGTCTCCTTCACTGACACTCATGTGTGACAACTTGTGACGTTTAAGATTATGAACGTTGGTGAAAGATTTTCCACAAAAACAAACATGCGGTTTGAACATTACATGAACCCTCATATGTGATGATAAGCCAGATGAGGAAGAAAACGATTTTTTACACAACAAGCATCTGTTCCCTTTGGCTGATCTCTTTGAACAACTTGGATTAAATGATGATTTGCCATGCTTTGAGGAGTTACTGTAATGATTAGCTGTTATTTTCATGTTTTCATCAGAGCCTTGGTGTTGAGATTTCTTGTGGTGATATATCTGATGTGCATAGGAAAACGATTTTCCACAAATGTTACACGAATGAGGTTTTTCTCCGGTGTGGATCCTCAAATGAAGTTTGTAATGATAATAGCTGGAGAAACCTTTGCCACACACAGGACATTTGTTTTGGTCATCGCCTTGGACATGGTTTATGTTGACTGATGACTCTTTGGTCCTTGGTGTTGATTTGCCATGGTTTGAGGAGTTACTGTAATGGTTAGCCGTTACTTTCATGTTTTCATCAGAGCTTTGGTGTTGAGATTTCTTGTGGTGATATATCTGATGTGCATAGGAAAACAGCTTTCCACAAATGTTACACGAATGAGGTTTTTCTCCGGTGTGGATCCTCAAATGAAGTTTGTAACAATAATAGCTGGAGAAACCTTTGCCACACACAGCGCACTTGTTTTTATCATTGTGAAGGACATGGTATAATGGTTTGCTTTGAATGTTTGGTTTATTCTTGGGATGTTTGTCTACTCCTGGAACACCTTGGCTCGGGCATTTTTCATGTGTCAGCCTCACATGACGACGGAGATTACACTTCAAGGAGAAGGATTTGTCACATGACTGGCACTGGTGGCGCATCATCAAACCATGCTGCTTCACGTGTTTTCTCAAAACATCCTGCCTTGCAAATTTTTTTATTGCATATTGAACAGCAATGATTGAATTTATTTTTTTTATGGGCTTTCCTTTTGTGCTGATACAGACCGCTCCAGTTGAGGAAAGTCAGGTCACACGAGAGACAGGGGTATGACTTTTCTGATGTGCCTTGTGTCACGACTTGGTCAAGGTCACCTGCACCTTGGGTGGAGGAAGTCGATTGTGCTGTCTTCATTTTGTGGGAGTATTTCATATGACTAACCATGCTGCTTTTTTTGTTGAATGCTTGTCCACATACGCTACACTGGTGTGCTAGTTGGGGGCTGGTCTGTAAGGGAATGTTGTCATGAGCTTTCTGCACGTGGCGCTTCAGCCAACTCTGGAAAGTAAACACCTGTTCACACAAGGAGCATTTGTAGCCTCCCCTCGCATGTATCTCCAGATGGCGCGCTTCAGGTCATGTGCTCGGAGAAACCTCTGCCCACACTCGGTACACAGATGGGGTTTAGCGAGGCTCTCATCATCCGCTTCCCTTTTCACCACATGTGTTTGTAAATGTTGCTTCAAGACCAACACTGCTTCAAATGTTTCACTACAAATGTGACAAACATATTTACGCTCTGTGACTTCTGGTTCCCTGGACTCGGAAGGAGTTTCCAGTTTCAGACCTGCGCTTGCACTGCATGTTTTGTGTTTGTCCACGCTGGGGAGCTCACGCGTGACAGGAACCCTGTCGATTTGGTTCTGAAGTTCATGAGTGTCTGTGTGAAGTTTGAGGTAGACATATGACCTGAACGTCCGGTCACACGTGACACACTGGTAGACCCCCTGTCCAGTGTCGCCTTGTGAGCCAGCTGGCTGGACCTTGGTGTGGGTGTCGCAATGTTGATTTAGGTCAACATATGACCTGAATGTCAGGTCACACTCATTACATTTATAGGCTTCATTTTGGGAGGCAATTTTTTTATTTGAATGCTTAACTCTAATTGGACCCAACTCCTTCATGTGTAACTTTATGTGTCTCTTTTGTCTCCAATAAGTCGGAAATACCTTTCCACAAAACTTACACTTGAACAACTTGTCTGTAGATTTCATACTTGCAACCTTTCCCGCTTTGTGGCATCTCATGTGTGAATTTCGTCCAAGAGATGATGTGAATGATTTTCCACAGACCCTACAACTGAACTGTGTGTTGACCTGAGAAATACTCTGTGCACTCTGTTTATTGTGAGTTTTCATATGGCAGATGAGATGGGTTTTCTGGTTAAACTCCTTGTTACAAGTTTCACACTTATATCGTCGTTCGCCAGTATGGATATTCATGTGCACCCTGAGACAACCCTTGCTGGACAGGACTCGGTCACAAACAGAGCACCTCCAGACACTGACTGTCTTCGACGGTCGCTGCACGCTCTTCACAGCCTGGGCCATCTTGTTGAGTGCTGATCAGGTTCACATGCTCCAGTAGGTCATCAAATCTTTCCAAGTTCCTGATTCTGTGCCTGAGTTTTGTTTTGAAAAGTATTGTCCACCATGGTCTTGGTTCCAACCAAGATGACAATTCTGAAACGAAAAAGAAGTGTAAAACTTCCACCTGTAACTTGTGTCTTGAAATTATTACAAATTATAAAGCCTGGTTATAAGTATTACTAGGTGATTCATATGAAATGTAAATATGATTTGGAAAAAACCGAACAGTTTCAGATATATAAAGTTTGGGTATGGGTTAAAGTTCTGGGTTCTGGCTAAAACAGGATACTTGTTGGAATATGTCCAAGCGACATAGTGTGGGTAGTGAGGTGAGGAGGCGGTCTAGTGTGGGTAGTTATAATGGTGCCAATAATGGTGTCTTAGAACCTAAAAATATTAAATGTCAAATCTAGAAATTGTTTTAGAACATTGCCATGGTACATAGTTAAGGCCTTACAATGGGAACATTGACATCTGCCTTAATTATGACATTGATGATTGAGAAATATGTGGAGTTTGGTGGCTTGTGAAAGGTTATGAAAGCCGGACAGTAACTAGACTGAACAGAACTTTGCGGGACACCACAGGAAGGTGATCGTGTACATGCAGAAATTTAATGTAAGACAGGTTGATTGAAAAGTTGAAATGATGGGTCTTCCCAATTACAGCTTTTGGTACCTCTCCACAATGATGTCTGGTTGAAACATGGCACAGAAACAGGTGCCTCTGCTGGTAGATTACCATTATCTACAGAAACAGGTGCCCCTGCTGGTAGATTACCATTATCTACAGAAACAGGTGCCCCTGCTGGTAGATTACCATTATCATTATCTATTATCTACAGAAACAGGTGCCTCTGCTGGTAGATTACCATTATCTACAGAAACAGGTGCCCCTGCTGGTAGATTACCATTATCTACAGAAACAGGTGCCCTGCTGGTAGATTACCATTATCTACAGAAACAGGTGCCCCTGCTGGTAGATTACCATTATCTACACAGGTGCCCCTGCTGGTAGATTACCATTATCTACAGAAACAGGTGCCCCTGCTGGTAGATTACCATTATCTACAGAAACAGGTGCCTCTGCTGGTAGATTACCATTATCTACAGAAACAGGTGCCTCTGCTGGTAGATTACCATTATCTACAGAAACAGGTGCCCCTGCTGGTAGATTACCATTATCTACAGAAACAGGTGCCCTCTGCTGGTAGATTACCATTATCTATCCTCTGCTCTCTGGGTGGACACTCTAACTACACCTTTTTTTATGAAGGCGGTCTGCTGTTGTCAAGCAATTGGTTAGCATGATCAGACATTTCCTTTTTTTATGAACATCGATACAAGGATGAATCCTCTCATATCCAGCTAAGAGGCCAGGAAATTTGCACCACTGTTGATATTGTTACATACTCAAGTATTATTACTGGATGCTTGTGGATGTTGGATAAGCTCAATGTTTACATTACACTAGTGAAACAATTCCTGTGAGAGAACTACATTGAAAGTTATCAGTCTATGTGTATCACACCATCGTCCATCAGTCTATGTGTATCACACCATCGTCCATCAGTCTATGTGTATCACACCATCGTCCATCAGTCTATGTGTATCACACCATCGTCCATCAGTCTATGTGTATCACCATAGTCCATCAGTCTATGTGTATCACACCATCGTCCATCAGTCTATGTGTATCACACCATCGTCCATCAGTCTATGTGTATCACACCATCGTCCATCAGTCTATGTGTATCACACCCATCGTCCATCAGTCTATGTGTATCACACCATCGTCCATCAGTCTATGTGTATCACACCATCGTCCATCAGTCTATGTGTATCACACCATCGTCCATCAGTCTATGTGTATCACACCATCGTCCATAAAGGATCTTCTGATCTCTACGGCCCCAAACATATGACCTCTTATGTTATCATTGTCACATGATATAGTAAAGTGCTTGTGAAATCTTACAGCAGCCCTGCAGCAAATCAGTGTATGTGACGTTTTTAACATATATTGCACAGTGATTTCACTCACATTACAAGGCAGAGAGATCACCTAGCAGGTTTATGATGTCAACCTGATGGTATCACCTTGTAAACACATACCTACATGCAGCCCATATGATCTTTGTCATGGTCGCCATGATGGCAACAAGCAGCCAACATGACGATTCAATATCTTTCTTGCCATACATTTGATGGTGGGACGAATTGTGAAGCAAACACAGCTAGAGTGAACATACATCATTAGCGCACAGCAATATTACGGGTTTTCTTCACGACATTTACCTTAATCCCAGTTGAACCTCAAACAGCCTTTCTGTTTGTTTCGTAGATCTACCTGTTTGAAAACGAAATTTAGAGTTACTTCCCTTTGACTAAACCTGTCGCTTTGCCTTCGCGAGATTTATTTGTTTGCCACGCATGCGATCAGTAACTGGTTCGCTTCATGTAGAAATGTTTGAGCTTACATCGTGCACAATGAACGCTATCCGACAATCGCTATATACAACATGGGTTCTGTAAACAGATCTAGGAGCTGGCTTACTTTCCCGCTTGATGAGGAAACATCTTGAAATCTTTTGCTTGTCGTTCCCACGGGGGCCACAGTCATGTCACATACTGCCGTCTGAAACCATGCATTCATCGCCGTCAGTGGTCAGCGGAACAAACATCTGGATACAACACATGTGGGTCCGATCTGTCGGCCGACGCTCCTCCACACCACGTTACTCTCGCCAGCTGGACACACAACATATCGCACATGCATACAGCGACATTTTCACTTGTCACGTGACATTAAAACCGTCAATCAAATCTTTGCTTCGTGCTCAGGGCCCCGTTTCACCATAGGCCAGGAGAATTAGAGAGAGTTTGACCCTTAACAAATTGCAACAGAAATAAATCTCAACTGTTTTGTACTGAGACATCATCAGTGAACGTCATACTAAAAGTCTTAGTAAATCCATGGAGGAGAAAATAGTTTAATTTGACTTAATTAAGTAAGCATTAATTATAATTAACAGACATTTTCAAAATTATGAAAATAGTTTTATTGAATGGTATTCAGGTTGTGACATATCATTTTAAGCTTATGACAAGGCAGTGCCAATTATAACTTAACAAACATCCTAAAATTAACTAGCCATTAGCTGATGAAGTTTTAATTGATTTCGAATTAATTAGTATAATTACGTACAAAATCTACCAAGAGAATCTAGCAAAAAGTCCTAGAATCTGTACTTTACCAAGAAATTGTAATGCCAAATATATACAACAAGAGCATGCACCCTTGTAACTATTCTTTTGAAAGGTGAGATCAGTCAATCTGTGATTAGTGTAACATAACTGTTATATAGTGATCATACTCTTTACAATATTAGTGAGATTAGAAACATTTCAGATCAGATAATTGGAAATGTGCCATAGTTGGGCATATCTAATAATTTCAGGTGTCGCTTGTTTACATGAGAGTAGCAGCCAGGCCATACTTGACTCTAGACTGTTTGAAAACAGTTTCAACATAGTAAATAATTCCACTGTTTAAACTGGTACTGTAACATGATTTAACTGAAGACACCAATCACATAATCATGGATTTGATTTTTTTCAGCCAATGTGCAAATGTTTTAATGTTCATCTTTCTGATCAGCTACATAGAATTGACACAGCTGAAACCACTCGCCACATGCAGTGGAACAGTCAAGACCATGCTTCCTGCAAGAACATCTCATGGACCTACACTTAGTTTTACACTTGCATCTGATCAATTTCAGGAGTAACTAAGGGACCGCTGGCATACCTGTCTGTAGGTGTTAACTTGCCTTGGCAAATGTTCCAACCCAGTCTGCTGTGTTCATGTCAGCTGATCTGTCTGCCCGTTTTTGAACCTGGTAGAACACTCTGTAACTGTGGAACTGAGCAGCATTTTGTGTTGGGGGTAATCACTGGGGCTGGACACATGAATAGCTGGTTGACACCTTTTCACAAAAGTTCCTGTACCTGAGTTGGTCTAGGGTTTCCTCCATATAGGCACATAAGGGCTTGTTTCAGCCTTTGCTACATCATCATGTGAAAATTCTGGATCATGAAATATGAGCGCATGAGAAGGAAAATGTGAGCATTTAGCAGTTGTCTTCAAGTCCATACAGCCTCGATGTTGTATCACATCCAAGTAATGCATGAACAAACAGTATGTTCTCACAGCTACAAGGACCAAGGATAGCTTTTGCTGTCTGTATATCCCAGGTCCTCTGTGACTTCTACTTTCCTTGATTTACACCTGACGCGAAGAAAAGCTGTGACTCTGTATCAGCATGATGGTAAAGAAGAACAAGAAGATCTGTGTCTTCCCCGATGAAAACTGTTGGTCCCTGTTTTGCTTCTTCTAAAGCTTTCTGTACAATGAGGAAATCTGCATCAGACTCTGCTCTGTGAGTCATGAATCCATTTGCTGCTAATGACTCACTTAACAAACATACGAAGTAATGCTTGTGTTGACGGTTAACTAAGAAATGCTTTATTTTGGTTGTCAGTTCCATGTCCTTACGGAAGTTGACTACTGGTGACATTACGCCCTTGATACGTCTTTTGATGGGCAGTGTCTTTCACCATGAATCTTCAGTGATGACTGTGAGACAAATGTAATGGCTTGGTCTTTCTTTCTGAAGCTGAAATCTCCTACAATGTTTCCTGCCATTTTCCTCAAGATGCACTTCCGAACTTCTTTTGCTTTGTCAACATTCGCCGAAGTCTCTGATGTCACGCCAGTGACAATGCTCCTCAGAGTGGAATCGTCAGAGAAAGGGTTTCGGTCTTCTAGGTACTGAATATTTCTAGAATATCTTCTGAATGTCTGGCTTGTCTGGTAGTTCTTGCATCCTTGTGGTTTTCGTCAGTTGCAAATGCACTTGTGAGTTATTGAATGGAGTTACTCACTTCTTCACATGCTAGCATTGAGAGGAGACAGAGAAAACGCTGTATTTCAGTCATTCCTCTTCCTCTTGTCAAACCACCTCTTGACTTCAAGCATCGCATTATGACTTGTTCAATTACAAGATCAGTTGAAAGTCCTGCCCCAAATCTCCCACTTCTACGGATGACATGGTAGCCATTCATGAGTTGATGTAAACACTAGGGTGATCATCAGGTAATCTACACATGTTTTGTATGTAGATGCGTGCACTCTTGGCATACATGTTATGTCCTGAAGCTGCAAAATATGGAAGCATCTGAGAAATTGCAGAAAGATGGAGTTTCCAGTTTCCTGTCCTTTCAGCTTTGATATATTAGATCCATGTTCATGAGTCACTTTTTACAGCTTCCATTCGTCCAGGTAATCTTTCAAAGCAGAGTTTGGAAGAAACATCTTCTGGAGTCAATTATCCACTCATAGGTCCACCATACAGTCAGACAGCTTCAGTACTATCTTCATCTTCATGACTATCAGTGACATCTGCAGATAAATCTTCATGGCTGTGAGGAGGAAGGGAGGGGTGGGGTGGGGTGGGGAGGCACATCAAAAGCCCTAGCAACCAAGAGAACATCCAAGCCTTTGTCAACCAACATATGGGTTCTAACAGCTCTAGCAGCTGCTTTTCCACTGAGCATGTGTCCAACTGAATTTGAATAACTGAACTCCATATACTATTTCAAACATTTCTTAGAGTCCTGATCCAGCCATTAGATGCCCAATACTTTCCATGTGAAATCCTCCTAATCGTAAGACAAGAGAACGAAGGTCACTGTTAGCTTGTTCACTGCCAACTATGAGTTGTGCCTTCCTCCAAAGAGGTTGGTCAAATGTCAACACTGGTGTCTCGGTGTATTTTCTTGCTTGTTTGCAGACATACTTCAAGGTTGTAAATATGCCAGACATGCATGTTGGATCCATGTCAATCATAGGAAGGAACACCACAGATGACGTATCAGGAAACTGTCACGACGAACTGTTTGTATCATCCCCGAATATGATGGTCTAACTTAATGTCTCAGCAGCCAGAATGATTTCCACAGAAGATCAATCATTGCTGTAGGGTCAGTTTCTGATGAGTTTACCATTGACTCATAGTAAACAATTCTAAGACTAGTACATGTAGGTTTATTATGAAGGAGTTTGATTCGTCCAAGCTGCAGCATATCTTTGCTTTTACATTAGTCATCTTAATAGACATACCTGTCTTGTTCCTGGTGTGACCGCTGCAATCATGGGCATACCATGTAATGTGTTTGATTCATCTAGAGTACAGGTGTTGTGGTCCACATTACCGGCAATATACTGAATGACGTTTCCAAATGTTCCTGGACTTGTTCCCGGGATGTCAGTATGGCAGTTCCATTGCTCACAGCAGCACTTCTCTCAAACCTTTTACCTCATCATAAGAAGCCACGAGTATTCAGGGAATCAAAAAAAAATCTGAAACCAAACGAATGATACATTTGCACATCAAGTCCAATCTGAAGCAGGGCTGTGAGAACTCTTGGCCTACAACCTTGCATTACTGATTGTCCAAAAAAGATACCTTGATATCAACATTTTGGCCTGGAATCAGTTCTCTAAGTCAACATCGTCACATCTCTGGAACAAATTCCAAATTTGCTTCTAATGATGCCATTTCATCACATGAAGGGTATCTATCATTGTTGACCTCTACTGACTTAATGTCCTGCTTTATGGGCTTGGCTGCTGTTTCAATAATCTGGAGCTTTTCTGTGTGTATGTCTTTCTTTTTGGGTTGCTGATAGAAATCATGGAGAATGGATGAGGCCGTACTTGTAAGTGTTACAACATTATCTTTTCCAATGACATCGGTTATGGTGATTCGGTCTCCAAAATGCTCATGCAAACGCTTCTTCATGTAAGGATGGCTGTATGCTTCAATGTCTGTTCCCTTCAAGATATCCTCCATGTAATTAACCAAATCCGTTACGGAAATCTGTTCATCATCATTTTCCTCAAGGAACTGCACTACAGATTCAAAAGCTGTTGTTCTTTTAAAATCGTCTGGTCTTCCCTGCTTAGATTTCTTGGAAGTGTCAACACTTTTGTCAAACTGAGATGGAATCTGTTTTCCAGTCCTGAAATTGACACTACATGTCTGATGGTATATTGCATCTGCAGGTGTAGATCACAGGTGTAGAGCAGGCGAGTTTGTACATCATGTGACCAGTTGTCCCCTCGTTCATTACGTGTAGCTTTGATTGACATCATGGCCTCTCTATTTGTCCTGCTCACGGATTGATAACTCCAGCATAAAATATACACTGATGTTTAAAATCAAAATTTGTATTTGGTGAGTGTAAATCCTAGACTGGTTGTTCCTCTTGATTTCATTCCTACTACTGCTGAATTTCTTTTTGTGCTGCGGATTACAGTACTGTCGACGACAATCAACATTACCAGTCTGTCCTGATCTGGGTTTGATTGAGTCACTACGTGCTACACTTGGTTCACTTACACCTTTGCTGCCTTTCTCTCTCACAACTGAACGTCTGGCTGTGTTCTCCTGAATATGCAGCTTACATATTTTACAAACATCCATGGGGCCATGTTTTGATCTAAAATGATAAAATTATAATTTGTAAGCTGCTATTGAAAATACATTTCCAAATATTTAGATAACTAAAGCAATTGCATAAAATGAATACGCTAAAACTTGTTAAATGACGAATGTGCAAATTTTATGTTTTGAACTGTAATAAATACATTAAAACTAGATAACTAATCAAAATATCATATCAACATCATGAAACAAACAATTTCATAGTCTTTCCTATATCCATCATTGGTGCCTATAATACTATCTCATTCATGAATGCTAAAACCAAATGTATTGACTTTAGAATGAAATAATCAGCAGGTCGATATTTTAAATTGTTATGTATGTGACATTTCTGGGTCATATAAAAAGAGCGGCCTTATGGAAAATAGCATACACTAACAACTTCCTTTGATTTATAAGCTATGTCTGAATAAGAAGCAAAACAATTTGTGTCTGTTGCAATTTGATTTGGGTTCCCCTTTTGAGGATCTAAATCTCCTGGCCTACAAAGCTATCATAGGGCTACGACTGTCGTAAATCTATGTTACAGTATAGGAGGTACGACAGTCGTTAGTCTATGTTACAGTATAGGAGGTACGACTGTCGTAAATCTATGTTACAGTATAGGAGGTACGACTGTCGTAAATCTATGTTACAGTATAGGAGGTACGACTGTCGTAAGTCTATGTTACAGTATAGGAGGTACGACTGTCGTAAGTCTATGTTACAGTATAGGAGGTACGACTGTCGTAAGTCTATGTTACAGTATAGGAGGTACGACTGTCGTAAGTCTATGTTACAGTATAGGAGGTACGACTGTCGTAAGTCTATGTTACAGTATAGGAGGTACGACAGTCGTAAGTCTATGTTACAATATAGGAGGTACGGCAGTCGTAAGTCTATGTTACAGTATAGGAGGTACGTCGTAAGTCTATGTTACAGTATAGGAGGTACGACAGTCGAAAATCTATGTTACAGTATAGGAGGTACGACAGTCGTAAGTCTATGTTACAGTATAGGAGGTACGACAGTCGTAAATCTATGTTACAGTATAGGAGGTACGACTGTCGTAAGTCTATGTTACAGTATAGGAGGTACGACTGTCGTAAATCTATGTTACAGTATAGGAGGTACGACAGTCGTAAGTCTATGTTACAGTATAGGAGGTACGACTGTCGTAAGTCTATGTTACAGTATAGGAGGTACGACAGTCGTAAGTCTATGTTACAGTATAGGAGGTACGACAGTCGTAAGTCTATGTTACAGTATAGGAGGTACGACAGTCGTAAGTCTATGTTACAGTATAGGAGGTACGACAGTCGTAAGTCTATGTTACAGTATAGGAGGTACGACAGTCGAAAATCTATGTTACAGTATAGGAGGTACGACAGTCGTAAGTCTATGTTACAGTATAGGAGGTACGACAGTCGTAAGTCTATGTTACAGTATAGGAGGTACGACAGTCGTAAGTCTATGTTACAGTATAGGAGGTACGACAGTCGTAAGTCTATGTTACAGTATAGGAGGTACGACAGTCGTAAGTCTATGTTACAGTATAGGAGGTACGACAGTCGTAAGTCTATGTTACAGTATAGGAGGTACGACAGTCGTAAGTCTATGTTACAGTATAGGAGGTACGACTGTCGTAAGTCTATGTTACAGTATAGGAGGTACGACAGTCGTAAGTCTATGTTACAGTATAGGAGGTACGACTGTCGTAAATCTATGTTACAGTATAGGAGGTACGACTGTCGTAAGTCTATGTTACAGTATAGGAGGTACGACTGTCGTAAGTCTATGTTACAGTATAGGAGGTACGACTGTCGTAAGTCTATGTTACAGTATAGGAGGTACGACTGTCGTAAGTCTATGTTACAGTATAGGAGGTACGACTGTCGTAAGTCTATGTTACAGTATAGGAGGTACGACTGTCGTAAGTCTATGTTACAGTATAGGAGGTACGACTGTCGTAAGTCTATGTTACAGTATAGGAGGTACGACTGTCGTAAAGTCTATGTTACAGTATAGGAGGTACGACTGTCGTAAGTCTATGTTACAGTATAGGAGGTACGACAGTCGTAAAGTCTATGTTACAGTATAGGAGGTACGACTGTCGTAAGTCTATGTTACAGTATAGGAGGTACGACTGTCGTAAGTCTATGTTACAGTATAGGAGGTACGACTGTCGTAAAGTCTATGTTACAGTATAGGAGGTACGACTGTCGTAAGTCTATGTTACAGTATAGGAGGTACGACTGTCGTAAGTCTATGTTACAGTATAGGAGGTACGACTGTCGTAAGTCTATGTTACAGTATAGGAGGTACGACTGTCGTAAAGTCTATGTTACAGTATAGGAGGTACGACTGTCGTAAGTCTATGTTACAGTATAGGAGGTACGACTGTCGTAAAATCTATGTTACAGTATAGGAGGTACGACTGTCGTAAGTCTATGTTACAGTATAGGAGGTACGACTGTCGTAAGTCTATGTTACAGTATAGGAGGTACGACTGTCGTAAATCTATGTTACAGTATAGGAGGTACGACTGTCGTAAGTCTATGTTACAGTATAGGAGGTACGACTGTCGTAAGTCTATGTTACAGTATAGGAGGTACGACTGTCGTCGTAAGTCTATGTTACAGTATAGGAGGTACGACTGTCGTAAGTCTATGTTACAGTATAGGAGGTACGACTGTCGTAAGTCTATGTTACAGTATAGGAGGTACGACTGTCGTAAGTCTATGTTACAGTATAGGAGGTACGACTGTCGTAAGTCTATGTTACAGTATAGGAGGTACGACTGTCGTAAGTCTATGTTACAGTATAGGAGGTACGACTGTCGTAAGTCTATGTTACAGTATAGGAGGTACGACTGTCGTAAGTCTATGTTACAGTATAGGAGGTACGACTGTCGTAAGTCTATGTTACAGTATAGGAGGTACGACTGTCGTAAGTCTATGTTACAGTATAGGAGGTACGACAGTCGTAAGTCTATGTTACAGTATAGGAGGTACGACTGTCGTAAGTCTATGTTACAGTATAGGAGGTACGACTGTCGTAAGTCTATGTTACAGTATAGGAGGTACGACTGTCGTAAGTCTATGTTACAGTATAGGAGGTACGACTGTCGTAAGTCTATGTTACAGGTATAGGAGGTACGACTGTCGTAAATCTATGTTACAGTATAGGAGGTACGACTGTCGTAAGTCTATGTTACAGTATAGGAGATACGACTGTCGTAAATCTATGTTACAGTATAGGAGGTACGACTGTCGTAAGTCTAGTTACTATGTTACAGTATAGGAGGTACGACAGTCGTAAAAGTCTATGTTACAGTATAGGAGGTACGACTGTCGTAAGTCTATGTTACAGTATAGGAGGTACGACTGTCGTAAATCTATGTTACAGTATAGGAGGTACGAGGTAAAGTCTATGTTACAGTACTGTCGTAAATCTATGTTACAGTATAGGAGGTACGACAGTCGTAAAGTCTATGTTACAGTATAGGAGGTACGACTGTCGTAAGTCTATGTTACAGTATAGGAGGTACGACTGTCGTAAATCTATGTTACAGTATAGGAGGTAATGACTGTCGTAAGTCTATGTTACAGTATAGGAGGTACGACAGTCGTAAGTCTATGTTACAGTATAGGAGGTACGACTGTCGTAAGTCTATGTTACAGTACGACTGTCGTAAATCTATGTTACAGTATAGGAGGTACGACTGTCGTAAGTCTATGTTACAGTATAGGAGGTACGACAGTCGTAAGTCTATGTTACAGTATAGGAGGTACGACTGTCGTAAGTCTATGTTACAGTATAGGAGGTACGACAGTCGTAAATCTATGTTACAGTATAGGAGGTACGACAGTCGTAAGTCTATGTTACAGTATAGGAGGTACGACAGTCGTAAGTCTATGTTACAGTATAGGAGGTACGGCAGTCGTAAGTCTATGTTACAGTATAGGAGGTACGACAGTCGTAGCGCTACCATAGCTTTATGAAACGGGCCCCAGTTTGATTCCATGAGATTTGAGATTTTCTTCTACCTGCTCACGGCCTTGACTGTAAAGATGCAAAGTGATGGTGATATACAATTTCAAAATTTTGTAATATACTTGAGATAACTTATAGTGTCCTTAATGCAATGTACAGTTTTCTGTTCAAATGCATGAAATATTGCCTATGCAATATCAACCCCATATCATGAGCATTAAATGACTTTGATACAATACTCACAAATGAGCGGCCTGTTACTGGTTGGCTGCCTTTGTACTATTCAGGATGTTGTCGATAATTAATGAACTCTCTCATCAATTAATGACTCTTGTTTCTCTAGTGTACTGAGGAGTGGTGTCACCTACAGAACATCCGTAAAGGTTGCTGTGACGTCAGAGCTTTCCTTGTCTGATGTCATAAAACACGCGAGACAGCGCCACCTGTAGCACATGAAAATACGATACAATGAAGTTATAAGACAATTAGAACAAGTTGTAAAGTACATTGTATTTTAAACCTTCCAACACTTTAAGTATATATTACACTCTTTGATTTTCTAAATTGCTTTGAGAAACACGCACACCCGCACACACATGGATGCTGCAATGATTTTACAATCAGACCAGGCTAACATACTTATGCTATGCCCGTCCTCTCATATTCATTTGGTGTTGAATATGGACGAAACCAGAAACAATCATGTCAGACAATACAATCCAAAACCTTTCCGCAATCGTTCATATTTTTCAATTCACATGCGAGTTAAACAGTTGACGAAGGTTGCCATTGTCAACAATGGAGAAGCTACCTGTGATTACATCACTTGCAGGTTGGTAGCAACAGTTTGAGTCGTGGCAGCCACATGAGGTAGAATTTAACTGCTTATCCACGTTCTGCAACATGTTCCTATAATTGAACAACCTGGATGAAAGCGTGTTCGTCAATTTGGTATTCTACTCGTAACATGTCGATGCATGTGCTAAGTTTAATAAGCATCTAACGCCTGGTCAGTCAGTTCGTTATGAGCATCCGATATGAACACAATGTTCATATGAAACTCTGAACCACGGTTCCTAAAACTCTGGAAAATGGACACAGGTGCGCTGTTGTTTGCCCTTTGTCAGCTTGCCGTCGTGCGATGTCACCTGAATGAAGGATACTACTTCGGGCAGTTCCCAGCGGGGTTTGTGTGGGGGGCCGGGTCCTCGGCCACTCAGACAGAGGGAGCATGGAGAACGCAGGGTAAGTTAGTTGGCGTTACTTCAGATTGTCATTACCACTGAACAAGAAGATTCATTCACCTCTTGCACTCAGTCAGGGGATATCTGCACAAATATGGAAAACATGAATGAGACGACAGATGACATCGCCACAGAAACACAGCTTACATCATACACATATATGTACGCCATATTGAACGTGACCCGTGACATGCATATGCGAGTGTGCACGAAACACTCCAGGTGAAGGCGGACGTGCTCCCAGTGCCGGTTATGCAGGCTATTCGTTCATACATCAACATTCTACTCAGTACACACCTTTATAACTATTTCACCTGGTGACGATGTTTACCCTCCGCCGCTCTTGCCCCTGTTCAATTTGTTCTGGACGGCCTTCCCAGCTCCTATTACGGTTATTAATGACGGCCCCCAGCTGATATTAAGGTTGTTCTTGACGGTCAGTTCTTGATATTAAGGTTGTTCCTCCTCCCTCAGCTGATATTAAGGTTGTTCTTGACGGCCTCCCTCAGCTGATATTAAGGTTGTTCTTGACGGCCTCCCCCAGCTGCTATTAAGGTTGTTCTTGACGGCCTCCCTCAGCTGATATTAAGTTTGTTCTTGATGGCCTCCCTCAGCTGATATTAAGGTTGTTCTAGACGGCCTCCCTCAGCTGATATTAAGGTTGTTCTTGACGGCCTCCCTCAGCTGATATTAAGGTTGTTCTTGATGTCCTCCTCAGCTGATATTAAGGTTGTTCTTGACGGCCTCCCTGATAGCTGACGGCCTCCTCAGCTGATATTAAGGTTGTTCTTGATGGCCTCCCTCAGCTGATATTAAGGTTGTTCTAGACGGCCTCCCTCAGCTGATATTAAGGTTGTTCTAGACGGCCTCCCTCAGCTGATATTAAGGTTGTTCTTGATCTGGCCTCCCTCAGCTGATATTAAGGTTGTTCTTGACGGCCTCCCTCAGCTGATATTAAGGTTGTTCTTGACGGCCTCCCTCAGCTGATATTAAGGTTGTTCTTGACGGCCTCCCTCAGCTGATATTAAGGTTGTTCTTGATTAAGGCCTCCCTCAGCTGATATTAAGGTTGTTCTTGATGTCCTCCCTGATATTAAGGTTGTTCTTGAGCCTCCCTCATATTAAGGTTGTTCTTGATGTCCTCCCTCAGCTGATATTAAGGTTGTTCTTGACGGCCTCCCCCTCAGCTGATATTAAGCTGATATTAAGGTTGTTCTTGTTCTTGACGGCCTCCCTCCAGCTGATATTAAGGTTGTTCTTGATATTAAGTTTGTTCTTGATGTCCTCCCTCAGCTGATATTAAGGTTGTTCTTGATGTCCTCCCTCAGCTGATATTAAGTTTGTTCTTGACGGCCTCCCTCAGCTGATATTAAGGTTGTTCTTGACGGCCTCCCTCAGCTGATATTAAGGTTGTTCTTGACGGCCTCCCTCAGCTGATATTAAGTTTGTTCTTGATGTCCTCCCTCAGCTGATATTAAGGTTGTTCTTGATGTCCTCCCTCAGCTGATATTAAGGTTGTTCTTGACGGCCTCCCTCAGCTGATATTAAGTTTGTTCTTGATGTCCTCCCTCAGCTGATATTAAGGTTGTTCTTGACGGCCTCCCTCAGCTGATATTAAGGTTGTTCTTGATGGCCTCCCTCAGCTGATATTAAGGTTGTTCTAGACGGCCTCCCTCAGCTGATATTAAGGTTGTTCTTGACGGCCTCCCTCAGCTGATATTAAGGTTGTTCTAGACGGCCTCCCTCAGCTGATATTAAGTTTGTTCTTGACTGCCTCCCTCAGCTGATATTAAGGTTGTTCTTGACGGCCTCCCTCAGCTGATATTAAGGTTGTTCTTGATGTCCTCCCTCAGCTGATATTAAGGTTGTTCTTGACGGCCTCCCTCAGCTGATATTAAGGTTGTTCTTGACGGCCTCCCTCAGCTGATATTAAGGTTGTTCTTGATGTCCTCCCTCAGCTGATATTAAGGTTGTTCTTGACGGCCTCCCTCAGCTGATATTAAGTTTGTTCTTGACGGCCTCCCTCAGCTGATATTAAGGTTGTTCTAGACGGCCTCCCTCAGCTGATATTAAGTTTGTTCTTGATGTCCTCCCTCAGCTGATATTAAGGTTGTTCTTGATATTAATGCCTCCCTCAGCTTGTGATGGCCTCCTAGCTGATTAAGGTCCTCCCTCAGCTGATATTAAGTTTTCTAGTTCAGCTGATATTAAGTTTGGCCTCCCTCAGCTGATATTAAGGTTGTTCTTGACGGCCTGCCTCCCTCAGCTGATATTAAGTTTGTTCTTGATGTCCTCCCTCAGCTGATATTAAGGTTGTTCCTTGATGATATTAAGGTTGTTCTTGATGTCCTCCCTCAGCTGATATTAAGGTTGTTCTTGACGGCCTCCCTCAGCTTATATTAAGGTTGTTCTTGATGGCCTCCCTAGCTGCAATTAAGGTTGTTCCTGATGGTCTCCCTCAGCTGATATTAAGGTTGTTCTAGACGGCCTCCCTCAGCTGCTATTAAGGTTGTTCTAGACGGCCTCCCTCAGCTGATATTAAGGTTGTTCTTGATGGCCTCCCTCAGCTGATATTAAGGTTGTTCTTGACGGCCTCCCCAGCTGCTATTAAGGTTGTTCTTGATTGCCTCCCTCAGCTGATATTAAGGTTGTTCTTGACGGCCTCCCTCAGCTGCTATTAAGGTTGTTCTTGACGGCCTCCCTCAGCTGATATTAAGGTTGTTCTTGACGGCCTCCCTCAGCTGCTATTAAGGTTGTTCTTGACGGCCTCCCTCAGCTGATATTAAGGTTGTTCTTGACGGCCTCCCTCAGCTGCTATTAAGGTTGTTCTTTACGGCCTCCTCAGCTACTATTAAGGTTGTTCTTTACGGCCTCCTCAGCTACTATTAAGGTTGTTCTTTACGGCCTCCTCAGTTACTATTAGCTTTGTCCTTGACGGCTGTTCTCCCGTAGATACGTGTTTTGTTTTGGCTCAGCAGCTATGATGGATGCTATCGTGAAATATTAAAAAAGTGTTTTTTTCTTAATCTTCCTCTGTGGACATTTATGCCCTGTTGTGATGGAAGGCTCTTACACTGGCATGCTTACAAAACTGTCAATTTAGATAGTTTTTCGTCTACGTTTCCTATGCAAATCTACATCATAATAAATTTATAGACCTTTTCCAGGAGATCATAATGCAAAATATATGTACAGTATGCTATACAAAAGGTTGAAGATATCTACAGTTGTATTATATATATATTATGTATTTTTCGCGTGCCCGATTAGAACTCGTCTATATGCAACTCATGTTCACGCCCTACGGCATCGTGTGGTACCGCCCATTACAAATCGTCGTTTTGCCAACACACGTCAATGGTGTACGTCACTGGCGTAACCGTTGCTAGTCACGTGTCATGTTTTCAGATTTTCGAGTGCAGACAAGTCGAGTGTCGTGCAGTAAACCGGTACAGTTGCAACCATCACCTGATCATTAATGGAGGCATTTGAGTGGTCTGAAGGCAATAGGGCAAGGGTGAACTGGTCTGGGTCGACTTCTCAGATCCCGCGAGACCACGTCCACCACGCGACTTTTCACGCCATTTCTCCCAGATAGTGCAAGACAACGGGATCCAGCCCGGGTATAGTGGTCTTGGGGGCATGGCGTCGGGGGCGTGCCGTATGAGGATGACACGGAGATATATTTTGATAAATTCCAGCCGACTTTGTGTGACATTTCGTAACCGGGGTCCCATTTATGCCGTTATTTCTCAAACCTTATCAACCATATTGTCGAGGGACAGAGAATTCAGAGATGTCATATCAAAAACAACATCTTCACGTTAATCTTCACCATCAGAAAGAAAACCCAAGAAAAGGATTGTCGTGCAATGAACCTGGGTAGATTCAGCATTACCAGGCCATTATTGGATGTTTTTCAGGGGTCTATTATTGTGAGACAAGCATAAAGTCAAGATTGCGTGTAACCTGTAGTACCAAACATAGGGGCGAAGATACACACAGTGTTGATAGCACGGGTATCCGTCAACATATGGTTACCTTTCAGTTCCTTTTACGTTTTCTGACAGAACTATTCACTGTTTGAAGTTACGTCACACACACACGGCAGGGGCGGTGAATCAAGCTCACTGTAACCCTTCAGATATATCTAGGTTTACCTGTCTGGTCATCTGTTCCAGGTAAGGGAGAGACTTTTTGGGACCGCCTTGTGCACGTACCTGGCAACGTCTTCAACGTCTATACGGGCAACATCACCTGCGACCACAGATACAGGGAGGACGTGAACATCGTGAAGAATCTGCATGTATGAAGACCTGACACTCTCTTGATTGTTGGTGATGACGTGTACTCCTTGCTCCTTCCTCATGTCTGGTCATGTCATCGAGGCCCTTTGATCTACACGTTGGCCCTGCTACTACGACTACTATAACTCCATACCGTATACGTGTACGACAGCGGTAGACCTCGAGGGCTAGGCCAGTTAGATTCTGACATCAATATTGTCCAGGAAAAAGCATCATAATGATTTGTCAATTGGAGGATTTAGTTTAATGTTGCTTAGAAGGTGGAAGGAGCGAAAAAATACCATGATAGTAGATTGTTCTGTTCCTTGAAAGTATCACCTATCTGAAAGTGTGTGAGTGAGGATTCATCCAGCTGCTCCTGGATAATTACCACATGACCGTGTAACTTCAGTCGGTATCTCAAACTTTACATAACAGAGGAATTCTTCTGTCGATGGCTGTAGGACAAACGCTGAATCATGCCACTCCCCTGCTGTCACTGTAGGTCTTCACACCAGGCAGTATCATGCCACACCCCTGCTATCACTGTAGGTCTTCACACCAGGCAGTATCATGCCACACCCCTGCTGTCACTGTAGGTCTTCACACCAGGCAGTATCATGCCACACCCCTGCCACTGTAGGTCTTCACCCAGGCAGTATGCTGCTGTCACTGTAGGTCTTCACACCAGGCAGTATCATGCCACACCCCTGCTGTCACTGTAGGTCTTCACACCAGGCAGTATCATGCCACACCCCTGCTGTCACTGTAGGTCTTCACACCAGGCAGTATCATGCCACACCCCTGCTGTCACTGTAGGTCTTCACACCAGGCAGGTCTTCACATGCCACACCCCCTGCTGTCACTGTAGGTCTTCACACCAGGCAGTATCATGCCACACCCCTGCTGTCACTGTAGGTCTTCACACCAGGCAGTATCATGCCACACCCCTGCTGTCACTGTAGGTCTTCACACCAGGCAGTATCATGCCACACCCCTGCTGTCACTGTAGGTCTTCACACCAGGCAGTATCATGCCACACCCCTGCTGTCACTGTAGGTCTGTAGGTCTTCACACCCCTGCTATCACCAGGCAGGCAGTATCATGCCACACCCCTGCTGTCACTGTAGGTCTTCACACCAGGCAGTATCATGCCACACCCCTGCTGTCACTGTAGGTCTTCACACCAGGCAGTATCATGCCACACCCCTGCTGTCACTGTAGGTCTTCACACCAGGCAGTATCATGCCACACCCCTGCTGTCACTGTAGGTCTTCACACCAGGCAGTATCATGCCACACCCCTGCTGTCACTGTAGGTCTTCACACCAGGCAGTATCATGCCACACCCCTGCTGTCACTGTAGGTCTTCACACCAGGCAGTATCATGCCACACCCCTGCTGTCACTGTAGGTCTTCACACCAGGCAGTATCATGCCACACCCCTGCTGTCACTGTAGGTCTTCACACCAGGCAGTATCATGCCACACCCCTGCTGTCACTGTAGGTCTTCACACCAGGCAGTATCATGCCACACCCCTGCTGTCACTGTAGGTCTTCACACCAGGAAGTGACGTATTGTGCTTCAGTAATAAGTCATCTGTTGTTTGCAGGTGGGCGACTATCAAGTCTTCATTGCCTGGATCTGCCTGATTCCCCCTGGGAGGCTAGCTGACGCCGGCATCAACTACTACCACAGACTGATTGATGAACATCTTAGTAACGGGATTCGACCCATGGTCACTCTGTACCACTGGGATCTGCCTCAAGTCCTCGAGGACAGCGGAGGCTGGTTAAACGAGTCGATTGTGGACGACTTCATGAATTATGCCAATCTGACCTTCTGTGAATGTCGTGACAAGGTAACTATGGTAAGTGGGTGGGTCGGCGAGTGAGTGAGTTGGACAATCCTGTCACATCTCAGCGATGTAGCTTGAGAGTTTGGAGAACGATGCAGGTCAGTGTAAGTTTGCCATGTCCTCAATCAATTTCAGCAACAGAAGAGCGGTAGTTTGTTCAGTCTAGGTACATAGACTGGAATACGGTGTTGCTGTTAAAAGCAAGAATCAATACATCCAAAGCCATTTGCCAGTTAATGAAATGTTTCTCAAATGTGACAGGTAGGCACACTTTAATGGTATTAATTATGCAGAAATTTGCTGACGCATTCGTTTGTGATGTGTGGCTGTATCTGATGGTGACAGGTGCAGTTCTGGATCACATTCAACGAGCCGCAAATCATCTCAATCCTCGGGTACGGGGAAGGGGCGTTTGCCCCCAAGAAGAGGGACTTCTACATCGTAGCGAGACATCTCATCCTGGCACATACGAAAATACTCGATCTCTACAATAACACCCACAGAGTCTCACAAGAGGGTTAGTTCGTTCACTCACTCACAAACACAATTTTGTTGCAACACCATGAGAAAGATGATATACAATGTACATATCATAATTGTACATTGAACACAGAAAGGGTTTTAGAAATATTACATTCCTGTCGGCTATGGGGATAATATCTTCTTCAATCTTCAGCTATCACGATGGACGAGTGCAATGTGAAAGGCTACACGGCGTGGTCTCTGATGGACAACTTCGAGTGGTTGACAGGTTATCGTGAGAAGTTTGGCATCCATCACGTCGACTTCTCCCAACCAGACAGACCCCGCACCCCAAAATCTTCTGCTAAATGGTACACGGGTCCAATAGATGACAACGGCTACCGTTCAGGATACACTCTGCCCGGGGGTCAGGGCACTGCTGTTGAGGGGGATGACGACTTCTACTACGGTACTTTCCCTGACGATTTCATTTGGGCGGTGGCGTCAGCGGCCTATCAGATTGAAGGAGCCCTTGATGCTGACGGTGAGCATTATACATTTGACGTTGAGGGTAGAGAGTCATGACTGACGTTGATGGTAAGCGCTATACACTTGACGTTGACGGTAGACACTTGACGGTAGACAGTCAGAACTGACGTTTTAACGGTAGGCGTAATGTATTTGACGTTGACGGTAGAGAGTCATAACTGACGTTGACGGTGGAGAGTCATGACTGACGTTAACGGTAGACAGTCAGAACTGACGTTTTAACGGTAAGCATTATACATTTGACGTTGACGGTAGAGAGTCATGACTTGACGGTAGAGTAATGCGTAACATTTGACGTTGATGGTAAGCGCTATACACTTGACGTTGACGGTAAGCAGTCAGAACTGACGTTTTAACGGTATGCGTAATGTAATTGACGTTGACGGTGGAGAGCCATGACTGACGTTGACGGTAGACAGTCAGAACTGACGTTTTAACGGTAAGCATTATATATTTGTCTCTAGTTGAGGGTAGAGAGTCATGACTGACGTTGATGGTAAAGCGCTATACACTTGACGTTGACGGTAGACAGTCAGAACTACGTTTTAACGGTAAGCGTAATGTAATTGACGTTGACGGTGGAGAGCCATGACTGACGTTGACGGTAGGTGACGTTTTAACGGTAAGCATCATACATTTGACGTTGACGGTAGAGAGTCATGACTGACGTTGATGGTAAGCGTAATACATTTGACGTTGACGGTAGAGAGACGTCATGACTGACGTTGATGGTAAGCGTTATACATTTGACGTTGACGGTAGAGACGTCAATGACTGAAGTTCATGGTAAAGCGTTATACATTTGACATTGACGGTGGACGAGTCATGACTGATGTTGATGCGGGAAGTAAAAATCTGACAGTTGAATACAAACCAATGCTTAAGTCCGATCTCACAAGGATCCAGGGTCCAAAGTCACTTGCTGGTGTCCCACAGTTATCACAATATTGTCACCAAAACCACTCCCTCACTAACTCATCTGTCTCTAGGCCGAGGTGAAAGCATCTGGGACAACTTCGCCGCTATCGACAAGAACCGCACAGGAAGGATTGCATGTGACAGTTATCACAAATACCAAGACGACGTCAATCTCCTGAAGAACATGGGGGTAAGTAGGTCTACAGTTATCACAAGTACCAAGAGGACGTCAATCTCCTGAAGAACATGGGGGTAAGTAGGATCTACAGTTATCACAAGTACCAAGACGACGTCAATCTCCTGAAGAACATGGGGTAAGTGGATCTACAGTTATCACAAGTACCAAGACGACGTCAATCTCCTGAAGAACATGGGGGAAGTGGATCTACAGTTATCACAAGTACCAAGACGACGTCAATCTCCTGAAGAACATGGGGATAGTAAAATAACTTGGATCTACAGTTATCACAAGTATATTGAGGACGTCAATCTCCTGAAGAACATGGGGGTAAGTGGATCTACAGTTATCACAAGTACCAAGAGGACGTCAATCTCCTGAAGAACATGGGGGTAAGTGGATCTACAGTTATCACAAGTACCAAGAGGACGTCAATCTCCTGAAGAACATGGGGGTAAGTGGATCTACAGTTATCACAAGTACCAAGAGGACGTCAATCTCCTGAAGAACATGGGATCTACAGTAAGTCAATCTCCTGAAGAACATGGGGGAAGTGGATCTACAGTTATCACAAGTACACATGGGGGTAAGTACCATCAGAGGACGTCAATCTCCTGAAGAACATGGGGGTAAGTGACTTTAGAGTTTGAGAGGGATGATCGTTATAGAAGTTATTGGTATCAAGTATGCATTGTTAGAACGAAACGTCAATCTCCTAATCAACATGGGGAAGTGGATCTACAGTTATCACAAGTATATTGTCATCTGAACATGGGAGTAAGTGGATCTACAGTTATCACAAGTATGGGACGTCAACTCCCGAAGAACATGGGAGTAGTATATTGACGGTCAATCCTGGTGTTCACAGTTATCACAGGGAGGACGTAAATGGATCTACAGTTATCACAAGTATATTGAGGACGTCAATCTCCTGAAGAACATGGGGGTAAGTGGATCTACAGTTATCACAAGTATATTGAGGATGTCAATCTCCTGAAGAACATGGGGGTAAGTGGATCTACGGAAAGATTTCATTAAACATTATAAGTGTATGATGCATTTTGTCGTGTACAGGAATATTTGAATACTCAGGAACTGATTTCCTGGATAATGTTCAAGGGTGGGCGGTGGTGGTGGTGGTGGTATTCGTGTTGGTCATAGTTTTGGGTGGTGGTGGTGGTACTCTTGTTTGTCGTGTTTTTTGTGGCCAACGGTTGCGACAACGTCTACAATACACATTCATACTTGCCCCATAACGCATGATTTGCGACATCCAGCATGTCGAGTGAAACGTTTGACATAAATACATAAATACCCATTGACTGTGACACCATGGCAACTTGAGATACGAAGAGGTCGTGACTGCACAAAGTAAATGTAACTGTAACTTGAAGAGTGTTACATTATACTTTTCCTTTTTCCCAATCTTTGTTGTAGGTCAGTCACTATCGGTTTTCCATCGCCTGGTCTAGAATATTCCCTGATGGAACTCTCCGGTCCAAGAACCAAGGTGGAATCGACTACTACCACCGGCTGATTGACGCCCTGCTGGTGGCGGGTATCAAACCTATGGTAACTCTGTACCACTGGGACCTGCCACAAGCACTACAGAACTGGGGAGGCTGGACCAACTACTCCATCATCAACAACTTCAGGGACTATGCAGACGTGTGCTTCGAAGAATACGTCAGCAAGGTCTGCATTCCATTGTCCTTGCTTGTGGTTTTATTCCAAACGTTGATTTTTGGAAATTGTTATTTTTTTAACCGTTTTGGTTTTTACACTAAAACCCGTTGCTCCTGTACATATCAGTCGTGGGTTAAAATTATGATATCAGTTTTATTTTCAACAAAAACAATAAATGCGTTCTTTAGTGATTAGATGTCTGGTCTATAATTGTGTGGTTTGTTTACTTCTACCGTGGATCGTCACCAGGCAACAAACAAGCACTAGTTTCTGCCGACCGCGTGAGTTGCTGGCACTACGGATAGGAAAGGATATGATTGCCATTTCTTTAACACCTGGTGTCTTTATTGTTTTTTCATTGACGCATTCATATAGATTTTACCTCTACTGTAGCTTTCAAACCCACTGGAATGTGGGTGGGCAGTCGCAACTGGTTATCATTCTTTGATGTCGAATCTTTTTATGCATCATTTCATTTTAGAAAGGGGTCAAATGTAACATAAGTTACATTTTGAGTTAATTTCCTTTGTAATGTAAAGTGTAATGCAAAGAATTACATTTGCTACGTGTAACCACTTTCTAAAAGGCATAAGTATTTTTTTTATAACTTTGGTTTTTTGTCTGTTGTTTGAGAACCACAGCCAAAATAGGAACAACTGTTCTTGTACTTGGATCATCACTGATCAACAGGTTTACCACCTGAAGTAAATACTGTATTCATAATTCGGGTTCAGGTGGACTTCTGGGTCACCTTCAACGAGCCATGGGTGTTCTTGATCAAGGGACTAGGGACAGGCGAGATGGCCCCGGGGTACAGGAATATCGGGGACGAGCCCTACCAGGGGGGACACAACGTGCTGCTGGCCCATGCCGAGGCCTACCATCTGTTTGACAAGAAATACAGAGCCCAGTATCCGGATGGTAATCAGGCTACCCCTGCCTCTTGCCTAAAGAAACAGGCGTTGTATGCTGGTGTGTGTGTGTGTGTATGTCGGTCTGTGTTTCTGTATGCTGCTGTGTGTGTGTGTATGCCGGCCTGTGTTTCTGTATGCTGGTGTGTGTGTCTGTGTATGCCGGTCTGTGTTTCTGTATGCTGGTGTGTGTGTCTGTGTATGCCGGTCTGTGTTTCTGTATGCTGGTGTGTGTGTCTGTGTATGCTGGTGTGTGTTTCTGTATGCTGGTGTGTGTGTCTGTGTATGCTGGTGTGTGTTTCTGTATGCTGGTGTGTGTTTCTGTATGCTGGTGTGTGTGTCTGTGTATGCTGTTGTGTGTTTCTGTATGCTGGTGTGTGTCTGTGTATGCCGGTCTGTGTTTCTGTATGCTGTTGTGTGTCTGTGTATGCCGGCCTGTGTTTCTGTATGCTGGTGTGTGTGTCTGTGTATGCCGGTCTGTGTTTCTGTATGCTGGTGTGTGTGTCTGTGTATGCCGGTCTGTGTTTCTGTATGCTGGTGTGTGTTTCTGTATGCTGGTGTGTGTTTCTGTATGCTGGTGTGTGTCTGTGTATGCCGGTCTGTGTTTCTGTATGCTGGTGTGTGTCTGTGTATGTCGGTGTGTGTTTCTGTATGCTGTTGTGTGTCTGTGTATGCCGGTCTGTGTTTCTACGTATGCTGGTGTGTGTTTCTGTATGCTGGTGTGTGTCTGTGTATGCTGGTGTGTGTGTGTGTGCGTGTGTGTGTGCACGCGCGCTACCACACAATCCGCGGGCACGGCCAGAGACGATATGATGTAACACACTTGTGTTTGTTCAAGTTCAATTTATTTCGGTAATAGGGGCCATAGGCCCAGAGCACAAACAATACGTAGCATTTTGTTTTGGTGGCTCTTACATAAGAGCGTGAATGGCATAATTATACAAGCAGATACATTGTATAGTCAGTTTGCAGAGAAAACGTACCGATGAATTCCACTTTAAACAAAAAAGTAAATCGAATAAAGTGAAAATAAGACTGCGAATCCTCATAATTTTACCTTGCCAATTGAACATATAAATCTCAGAATTCTGCAGTTTGGTACAGAATTCTGAGAAAGAGCATATCAAGTCATAGCAAATTGTATATGTATATAGTGATGAATGAGCACAATAATTTGTAATGGTTACAAGTCAAACAATTAAATCTACCTACATAGTTGTAGGTAGACAAGATATTATGGGGAATATGATTGAGTTGTCTCGCTTGTGTTTGTAATGGTCAATCATCTCACTGTATAATAAAAGTGAAGTCAGAAAAAGTAAAGTTAACATAAAATGATAACAAGGGCAACAAATTCAGATGAACACGTTCAGATGCACGCATCTATATGAGCGCATTCAGATGAACACATGTAGATGTACACAGTTACATGAGCACATTCAGATGAACGCATTTAGATGAACATTTCTAATAAATACAATCAGATGAACACATTTCTGCAGAACACATTCAAGTGAACACATAGAGGTTGACACATGAACTGATGTCTGTGAAGTGGTGATGTGTGGTGATGTGTGGTGATGTGTGGAGATGTGTGGTGATGTGTGGTGATGTGTGGTGATGTGTGGTGATGTGTACAATTTCCACGGACAGTCCAAGTCAGCATCTCCCTCAACATCGACTGGGCCCAGCCTAAAGACCCCCTCAACCCTGCAGACATCGAAGCATCGGAGTGGGCGATGCATATGTTCCTGGGATGGTTTGCTAACCCCGTATATGGTAATGGGGACTACCCGGATGTAATGAAGCGGAGAATTGCTGCCGTCAGCGCAGCGCAGGGATTAACCCAGTCCAGGCTTCCTGCATTCACAGAAGAACAGAAGGCGTTCATCAAAGGTACTGGTTATACTTATTGTAAAACATGAATTTCTCATGATAAAATTATTTTAAATTTGTTTTTACGTAAATTAGTGATGTCAAGCATCATTTTACAACATAGCGAGCGTTAGTGTCAGTACTTGTGAGTGTCATGTTCAGGTGATGTGAGTGTCGGTGTAAGTAGCAGTACATCTTGTACTGGAACCTAGTACTGGAACCCTGGTGTTTGAGGTTTCGAACGAGCACTTTAATTACAGCACTTTAATCTTATCAACCTATATATTTTAATACTCTTGTAGCCACCGGGGGCGGTAGGGTAGCCTCGTGGTTAAGGCGTTAGCTCGTCACGCCGAAGGCCCGGGTTCGAATCCCCACATGGGTACAATGTGTGAAGCCCATTTCTGGCTTCCCCCGCCGTGATATTGTTGGAATATTGCTAAAAGCGGTGTAAACCCTAACTCATTCATTCATTCTTGTAGCCATCGGTATATCAGCAGCAAATTATGTCCATAATGAAACTAACTGGAAACATTACTGGCCATCTACTGGTCATCTACTGGCCATCTACTGATCATCTACTGGCCATCTACTGATCATCTACTGGCCATCTACTGGTCATCTACTGGCCATCTACTGGTCATCTACTGGCCATCTACTGATCATCTACTTGCCATCTACTGGTCATCTACTGGCCATCTACTGGTCATCTACTGGCCATCTACTGGTCATCTACTGGTCATCTACTGGCCATCTACTCATCATCTACTGGCCATCTACTGATCATCTACTGGCCATCTACTGGCCATCTACTGGCCATCTACTGATCATCTGCTGGTCATCTACAGGCCATCTACTGGCCATCTACTGGCCATCTACTGGTCATCTACTGGTCATCTACTGGTCATCTACTGGCCATCTACTGGTCATCTACTGGTCATCTACTGGTCATCTACTGGCCATCTACTGGCCATCTACTGGTCATCTACTGGTCATCTACTGGCCATCTACTGGCCATCTACTGGCCATCTTCTGGTCATCTACTGGCCATACAGGACATTTGTGTTTCCCTTCTAGCCCACTGAACTCCCAAAGGTTGAGGAAACCTGTTACTGTCAGTTTGAATGGCACATGTGTAGTGTATACATCGACATTCCCACGGCGCTGTGTCAGGTACATGTGTAGTGTATACATCGACATTCCCACGGCGCTGTGTCAGGTACATGTGTAGTGTATACATCGACATTCCCACGGCGCTGTGTCAGGTACATGTGTAGTGTATACATCGACATTCCCACGGGGCTGTGTCAGGTACATGTGTAGTGTATACATCGACATTCCCACGGGCTGTGTCAGGTACATGTGTAGTGTATACATCGACATTCCCACGGGGCTGTGTCAGGTACATGTGTAGTGTATACATCGACATTCCCACGGGGCTGTGTCAGGTACACGTGTAGTGTATACATCGACATTCCCACGGGCTGTGTCAGGTACATGTGTAGTGTATACATCGACATTCCGACACGGGGCTGTGTCAGGTACATGTGTAGTGTGTACATCGACATTCCATAAAGGTACAACTGTATACATCGACATTCCACGGGGCTGTGTCAGGTACATGTGTAGTGTATACATCGACATTCCCACGGGGGCTGTGTCAGGTACATGTGTAGTGTATACATCGACATTCCCACACGGGCTGTGTCGGGTACACGTGTAGTGTTCATCCATAAACATCGACATTCCCACGGGCTGTGTCAGGTACGTAGTAGTGTTCATGTCGACATTCCACGGGCTGTATACATCGATACATTTCCACGGGCTGTGTCAGGTACATGTGTAGTGTAGTCCATTAACATCATCGACATTCCCACGGGGCTGTGTCAGGTACATGTGTAGTGTATGTATACATCGACATTCCCACGGGCTGTGTCAGGTACATGTAGTGTTCAATCCATAAACAACTGTATACATCGACATTCCCACGGGGCTGTGTCAGGTACATGTGTAGTGTATATAAACATCGACATTCCCACGGGGCTGTGTCAGGTACATGTGTAGTGTATCCATAAACATCGACATTCCCACGGGCTGTGTCAGGTACGTACATGTGTAGTGTATACATCGACATTCCCACGGGCTGTGTCAGGTACATGTGTAGTGTATACATCGACATTCCCACGGCGGCTGTGTCAGGTACATGTGTAGTGTTCAATCCATTAACAACTGTATACATCGACATTCCACGGGCGGGGGTACTGTGTCAGGTACATGTGTAGTGTATACATCGACATTCCCACGGGCTGTGTCAGGTACATGTGTAGTGTTCAGTGTATACATCGACATTCCCACGGGGCTGTGTCAGGTACATGTGTAGTGTATACATCGACATTCCCACGGGGCTGTGTCAGGTACACGTGTAGTGTATCCATCGACTGTATACATCCATTCCACGGGCTGTGTCAGGTACATGTGTGTTCAGTGTATACATCGACATTCCCACGGGGCTGTGTCAGGTACATGTGTAGTGTATGTATACATCGACATTCCCACGGCGCTGTGTCAGGTACATGTGTAGTGTATACATCGACATTCCCACGGGCTGTGTCAGGTACATGTGTAGTGTATACATCGACATTCCCACGGCGCTGTGTCAGGTACATGTGTAGTGTATACATCGACATTCCCACGGGGCTGTGTCAGGTACATGTGTAGTGTATACATCGACATTCCCACGGGGCTGTGCCAGGTACATGTAGTGTATCCATCGACATTCCCACGGGGCTGTGTCAGGTACGGGCTGTGTAGTGTACATGTGGTGTATCATCGACATTTCCACGGGGGCTGTGTCAGGTACATGTGTAGTGTATACATCGACATTCCCACGGGGCTGTGTCAGGTACACGTGTAGTGTATACATCGACATTCCCACGGGGCTGTGTCAGGTACATGTGTAGTGTATACATCGACATTCCCACGGGCTGTGTCAGATCAGGTACATGTGTAGTGTATACATCGACATTCCCACGGGCTGTGCCAGGTGTCAGGTACATGTTCAATAGTGTATACATCGACATTCCCACGGGGCTGTGTCAGGTACATGTGTAGTGTATACATCGACATTCCCACATTCCACGGGCTGTGTCAGGTACATGTGTAGTGTTCAGTCCATAAACAACTGTATACATCGACATTCCCACGGGCTGTGTCAGGTACATGTGTAGTGTATACATCGACATTCCCACGGGGCTGTGTCAGGTACACGTGTAGTGTATACATCGACATTCCCACGGGGCTGTGTCAGGTACATGTGTAGTGTATACATCGACATTCCCACGGGCTGTGTCAGGTACATGTGTAGTGTATACATCGACATTCCCACGGCGCTGTGTCAGGTACATGTGTAGTGTATACATCGACATTCCCACGGGGCTGTGTCAGGTACATGTGTGTGTTCAGTGTATACATCGACATTCCCACGGGCTGTGTCAGGTACATGTGTAGTGTATACATCGACATTCCCACGGGCTGTGTCAGGTACATGTGTAGTGTATACATCGACATTCCTCACGGGGCTGTGTCAGGTACATGTGTAGTGTATACATCGACATTCCCACGGGCTGTGTCCAGGTACATGTGTAGTGTATACATCGACATTCCCACGGGCTGTGTCAGGTACATGTGTAGTGTATAATCCATCGATACATCGACATTCCCACGGGGCTGTGTCAGGTACATGTGTAGTGTATACATCGACATTCCCACGGGGCTGTGTCAGGTACATGTGTAGTGTATACATCGACATTCCCACGGGGCTGTGTCAGGTACACGTGTAGTGTATACATCGACATTCCCACGGGGCTGTGTCAGGTACATGTGTAGTGTATACATCGACATTCCCACGGGGCTGTGTCAGGTACACGTGTAGTGTATACATCGACATTCCCACGGGGCTGTGTCAGGTACATGTGTAGTGTTCAATCTATAACCAACAGTATACATCGACATTCCCACGGGGCTGTGTCAGGTACATGTGTACAGGTACGGAGTGAGGAGAGGTATATGTACTTTATGTTATGTTTGGAACCGACACTTGTTACACACGCATTAATATTCCAGCAATATCACGGCGGGAGACATCAGATATACAATGGAATAATATGTAACTAAACCCCTATTGTTTATTATCCAGGCACCTATGATTTCTTTGGCCTGAACCACTACACCACCCAGTACGTGAGCAAACAGAACGAGAGTCTAGCTGGAGAGAGTGACCCTAACTACTTCAACGACAGAGGAGTGGACACGGAGTTCGATCCACTGTGGATCAAGTAAGACACCAAGATCACATGTATATGTTCGAAACAGGATAGTTTTCGATATGTCCATCAAGACATACTATTGTTCATTGAAAACAAGCCTGAAAACATGGAACTTGTACCGTTGTTTTTCACGTTTAAAAAGCCCCACAAAGATATCGCCATTATGGGTGTTGTATTGCGTGTGTTCACAGCATTTAAAACCTGCCACATTTAACAAGGTAAACGGGAAATAATCTGAATCTAAGTGTACTTTTCAAACAAGGAATTAAATAGTAGATAAATAGAAGATAATCAACAGTACAAACTATATATAGAGAGAGTTTATTTCGACAAAGTGGCTACCGGCCCTATATACACACAAGCTGGTGATTGAATGCCTTGCCGAAGCGTCGTATAATGTCATATACAGGTGCAGTGGTTACTGCAATATCATGATGCAAAATATTTATTTCGTTTCTTTTGAGCTAAAAAAATAAATTTAGCAAGATAGTTTATTATGACATTGTTTTTTTATGTGAATAATGAGATAAGCTTATTCTTAGATAGAAAACCATAATATCATTCTTGCAAGAGACATGATCGCAGGTTGTGATAAAATGGATATTTAAGACAAAGATGTAATTCAGATTCAACAGTAGGTATAACAGAAAATGGGCAAAGAGGATTTTTACGTCCAAGTTTGAGACGTCTTCCATACTATTGGAAAAGGTCATTTCAACTCGTTATCAAGCTAAACTAGTGACGTTTAGATGTAGATTCTTACATCGTTATCAAGCTAAATAGTGACGTTTCGATGTAGAGTCTTGCATCGTTATCAAGCTAAACAAGCGACGTTTCGATGTAGATTCTTACATCGTTATCAAGCTAAACTAGTGACGTTTCGATGTAGAATCTTGCATCGTTATCAAGCTAAACTAGCGACGTTTCGATGTAGATTCTTACATTGTTATCAAGCTAAACTAGTGACGTTTTGATGTAGATTCTTACATCGTTATCAAGCTAAACTAGTGACGTTTCGATGTAGAGTCTTGCATCGTTATCAAGCTAAACTAGTGACGTTTCGATGTAGATTCTTACATTGTTATCAAGCTAAACTAGTGACGTTTTGATGTAGATTCTTACATCGTTATCAAGCTAAACTAGCGACGTTTTGATGTAGATTCTTACATTGTTATCAAGCTAAACTAGTGACGTTTCGATGTAGATTCTTACATCGTTATCAAGCTAAACTAGCGACGTTTTGATGTAGATTCTTACATTGTTATCAAGCTAAACTAGTGACGTTTCGATGTAGAGTCTTGCATCGTTATCAAGCTAAACTAGTGACGTTTAGATGTAGATTCTTACATTGTTATCAAGCTAAACTAGTGACGTTTTGATGTAGATTCTTACATTGTTATCAAGCTAAACTAGTGACGTTTCGATGTAGATTCTTACATTGTTATCAAGCTAAACTAGTGACGTTTAGATGTAGATTCTTACATTGTTATCAAGCTAAACTAGTGACGTTTCGATGTAGAGTCTTGCATCGTTATCAAGCTAAACTAGTGACGTTTCGATGTAGATTCTTACATTGTTATCAAGCTAAACTAGTGACGTTTTGATGTATCAAGCTAAACTAGCGACGTTTTGATGTAGATTCTTACATTGTTATCAAGCTAAACTAGTGACGTTTTGATGTAGATTCTTACATTGTTATCAAGCTAAACTAGTGACGTTTCGATGTAGATTCTTACATTGTTATCAAGCTAAACTAGTGACGTTTCGATGTAGATTCTTACATCGTTATCAAGCTAAACTAGCGATGTAGAGTCTTGTTTATCAAGCTAAACTTTTGAGTGATGTAGATTCTTACATTGTTATCAAGCTAAACTAGTGACGTTTCGATGTAGAGTCTTACATCGTTATCTTACATCGTTATCAAGCTAAATTCTTAGTGACGTTTTTGATGTAGATTCTTACATCGTTATCAAGCTAAACTAGCGACGTTTTGATGTAGATTCTTACATCGTTATCAAGCTAAACTAGACGTTTTGATGTAGATTCTTACATCGTTATCAAGCTAAACTAGCGACGTTTTGATGTAGATTCTTACATCGTTATCAAGCTAAACTAGCGACGTTTTGATGTAGATTCTTACATCGTTATCAAGCTAAACTAGTGACGTTTTGATGTAGATTCTTACATCGTTATCAAGCTAAACTAGTGACGTTTTGATGTAGATTCTTACATCGTTATCAAGCTAAACTAGTGACGTTTCGATGTAGATTCTTACATCGTTATCAAGCTAAACTAGTGACGTTTCGATGTAGATTCTTACATCGTTATCAAGCTAAACTAGTGACGTTTTGATGTAGATTCTTACATCGTTATCAAGCTAAACTAGTGACGTTTTGATGTAGATTCTTACATCGTTATCAAGCTAAACTAGTGACGTTTTGATGTAGATTCTTACATCGTTATCAAGCTAAACTAGTGACGTTTTGATGTAGATTCTTACATCGTTATCAAGCTAAGCTAGCGACGTTTCGATGTAGATTCTTGCATCGTTATCAAGCTAAACTAGTGACGTTTTGATGTAGATTCTTACATCGTTATCAAGCTAAACTAGTGACGTTTTGATGTAGATTCTTACATCGTTATCAAGCTAAACTAGCGAAGTTTCGATGTAGATTCTTACATCGTTATCAAGCTAAACTAGTGACGTTTTGATGTAGATTCTTACATTGTTATCAAGCTAAACTAGTGACGTTTCGATGTAGATTCTTACATCGTTATCAAGCTAAACTAGCGCCGTTTTGATGTAGACTTACATCGTTATCAAGCTAAACTAGTGACGTTTTGATGTAGACGTTTCGATGTAGATTCTTACATCGTTATCAAGCTAAACTAGTGACGTTTCGATGTAGATTCTTACATCGTTATCAAGCTAAAGCTAGTAATGTAGATTCTACATCGTTATCAAGCTAAACTAGTGACGTTTTGATGTAGATTCTTACATTGTTATCAAGCTAAGCTAGCGACGTTTTGATGTAGATTCTTACATCGTTATCAAGCTAAACTAGTGACGTTTTGATGTAGATTCTTACATCGTTATCAAGCTAAACTAGCGAAGTTAAGATGTAGATTCTTACATCGTTATCAAGCTAAACTAGTGACGTTTTGATGTAGATTCTTACATCGTTATCAAGCTAAACTAGTGACGTTTTGATGTAGATTCTTACATCGTTATCAAGCTAAATAGTGACGTTTTGATGTAGATTCTTACATCGTTATCAAGCTAAACTAGCGACGTTTTGATGTAGATTCTTACATCGTCATCAAGCTAAACTAGCGCCGTTTTGATGTAGATTCTTACATCGTTATCAAGCTTAGAGTCTTAGTATTTGCTTACAGAATTTATCATGAACATGAAGTGTATTTGGCAATGGGTGGAAGCCCCACAGTTCCGCGCCATACAGCAAAACGTGTAGAAATTTAACATCAAAGATATGCATCAAAACCTTCTTGTGCAAACTTTAGAAATGAATGATTGATGATCTGGCCAGTGGCAAAACCTTCCATGCCTGTTCTGTTCTGTATTTTCGGCCTGATATTCTAACTACCTGAACTCGAAAAGTGAACACCCAAATATCAATTAAATGAAGTTATCTCCATTTAAATAGAATTTCTCATATTTCCTTACTCTGCCAGTTTTCCTACATACAATGATTTTACATTTCTCGATATAAATATTCAGCTTCAATTTTAGCCAATATTAATTTAATTTGTTTTTTCTGTCTTTCTAAAGAGCAATATTTTGTTTGTCAAGAAAGTGACATTGTTCTCCCACAGATCCGGGTCTTCGTGGCTGCGGGACACACCATGGGGTGTACGGAAGGTCCTCGGCTGGATCAAAGACAAGTACGGCGATATACCGATCTACATGACCGAGAACGGCTTTTCAGACAGAAGTGGTGTTCTTGACGACCAACACCGGGTACATTTCTTCAGATACTACATCAACGAGGTGATGAAAGGTACAACTACTATCTCTTTATCACTATATCATAATGGAAGAAACTCAGTCATCCAAAGTTAATCTCGTGAATATTCCAACCATCACTTCTGCCCGGATAGATCTTGTGATCTTTTAATGTCACAGCAAAATATTGTCCACCGTCAAAGTCAAGGAAATAACTCTCCCAAGGGGATAGTGAGGCAGGTGCCACAACCAGCACCCCGTCAACCCTTTCCCAATGCAGAACATCATGGGAACATTTACCAGTCATAAAACTCCGGCAGGTGGGCAAGGTTGTTCACAACTGCTGAATGATTCAGCATTAATTGTCAAAGCATGTATAGGTTACTTATGTGTTTATTTGTATTTTACACTGACATCAATGTCATGTTGCAGCAATTCACCTGGACAAGGTCAACGTCCGGAGCTACACGGCGTGGTGCCTCATGGACAACTTTGAGTGGTTGTGGGGATACACCGAGAGATTCGGACTTCACTACGTCGACTTCGACGACCCCAACCTTACACGCATACCTAAGGATTCGGCCGCGTTCTACAGACATGTGAGTTTACTTTAGGCACTAAAATACACCATCCGTCTCTCATGAAATGCAATGACGTCATCGAGCAAGACAGTGTATAATACAGACCCTTGAAGATCCGGGTTAGACTTGACCTTCAGCAACCTATGGTTGTCTCCACTCGTGAAGATCCGGGTTGGACTTGATCTTCAGCAACCCATGGTTGTCTCCACCCGTGAAGATCTGGGTTGGACTTGACCTTCAGCAACCCATGGTTGTCTCCACTCGTGAAGATCCGGGTTGGACTTAATCTTCAGCAATCCATGGTTGTCTCCACCCGTGAAGATCTGGGTTGGACTTGACCTTCAGCAACCCATGGTTGTCTCCACTCGTGAAGATCCGGGTTGGACTTGATCTTCAGCAACCTATGGTTGTCTCCACTCATGAAGATCCGGGTTGGACTTGACCTTCAGCAACCCATGGTTGTCTCCACCCCTGAAGATCCGGGTTGGACTTGACCTTCAGCAACCCATGGTTGTCTCCACCCGTGAAGATCCGGGTTGGACTTGACCTTAAGCAACCCATGGTTGTCTCCACTCATGAAGATCCGGGTTGGACATGACCTTCAGCAACCCATGGTTGTCGTAACAGGGCGCGTCATCGAATCACGATCTTGAATATTGCTGAGTGCGGCGTTAAACAAACAAAACAATAAACTGTAGTAAGCATGTTATTAGCTTTGCCTCAAGCTTGTATCATGCATACATATGTAGGGTATGTAGACTACATTGCTGGTAACAATATACAATCCGTCATGGTGGTAACGGGTGGACGCGAAAGTCTTCCTCAGTAATGGAAGTCCCACAATAGGGAAGCGAGACAACTCACTTGTCCGAGGGGTAGGTTACTCACTTGTCCGAGGGGTAGACAACTCACTTGTCAGAGGGGTGGACAACTTACCTGCCCGAGGGGTAGACAACTCACTTGTCAGAGGGGTGGACAACTCACTTGTCAGAGGGGTAGACAACTCACTTGTCAGAGGGGTTGACAACTCACTTGTCAGAGGGGTGGACAACTTACCTGTCCGAGGGGTAGACAACTCACTTGTCAGAGGGGTGGATAACTCACTTGTCAGAGGAATAGACAACTCACTTGTCAGAGGAGTAGACAACTCACTTGTCAGAGGAGTAGACAACTCACTTGTCAGAGGGGTGGATAACTCACTTGTCAGTGGAGTAGACAACTCACTTGTCAGAGGAGTAGACAACTCACTTGTCAGAGGGGTAGACAACTCACTTGTCAGAGGAGTAGACAACTCACTTGTCAGACAACTCACTTGTCAGAGGGGTAGACAACTCACTTGTCAGGGGTGGACAACTCACTTGTCAGAGGGTAGACAACTCACTTGTCAGAGGGGTGTAGACAACTCCTTGTCAGAGGGTAGACAACTCACTTGTCAGAGGAGTAGACAACTCACTTGTCAGAGGGTAGACAACTCACTTGTCAGAGGGTAGACAACTCACTTGTCAGAGGGGTAGACAACTCACTTGTCAGAGGAGTAGACAACTCACTTGTCAGAGGGGTAGACAACTCACTTGTCAGAGGGGTTGACAGCTCACTTGTCAGAGGGGTTGACAACTCACTTGTTAGAGGGGTGGACAACTCACCTGTCCGAGGGGTAGACAACTCACTTGTCAGAGGGGTTGACAACACACTTGTCAGAGGGGTAGACAACTCACTTGTCAGAGGGGTTGACAAAGTACGGGAGTCATTCCTCCATGTTCTGGAAACCGTGATTGGAGAGTGGGTTGGACCCCTGACTTTGTGTGCTTGTGTCTGACTCCGAGAGTCTGGGTTCAAATCCCGCATTGGAACTGAACCTAAAATAGTAATCTGTACTTTACGGAGATTATCCCCAACCCAGGTGGCTCTGTGTTAGATGACACTCCAGATAACGGTGAAGTAGCGTTATGTCAGATGACGCTCCAAATAGCGGTGAAGTAGCGTTATGTCAGATGACACTCCAGATGGCGGTGAAGTAGCGTTATGTCAGATGACACTCCAGATAACGGTGAAGTAGCGTTATATCAGATGACGCTCCAGATGGCGGTGAAGTAGCGTTATGCCAGATGACACTCCAAATAGTGGTGAAGTAGCGTTATGTCAGATGACGCTCCAGATAAAGGTGAAGTAGCATTATGTCTGACAACCCTCCAGATAATGGTGAAGTAGCGTTATGTCAGATGACGCTCCAGATAACAGTGAAGTAGCATTATGTCTGACAACCCTCCAGATAACGGTGAAGTAGCGTTATGTTAGATGACGCTCCAAATAGCGGTGAAGTAGCGTTATGTCAGATGACACTCCAGATAACGGTGAAGTAGCGTTATGTCTGACAACCCTCCAGATAATGGTGAAGTAGCGTTATGTCAGATGACACTCCAGATAACGGTGAAGTAGCATTATGTCTGACAACCCTCCAGATAACGGTGAAGTAGCGTGATGTCTGACAACCCTCCAGATAGCGGTGAAGTAGCATTATGTCTGGCAACCCACCAGATAACGGTGAAGTAGCGTTATGTCAGACAACCCTCCAGATAGTGGTGAAGTAGCGTTATGTCTGACAACCCTCCAGATAACGGTGAAGTAGCGTTATGTCTGACAACCCTCCAGATAACGGTGAAGTAGAGTTATGTCTGACACCCCTACAGTGTAACAAAGTAAGGAACGACAAAGAGGTAGAGATGGAGTATTTCTTGTTTTATTCGTCACATCAGCAGTGGCTTGGCAGTCGGGCGTCTGGGGCAGTCCTGGCCTGTTTGCTGACATCAGCTGGTGTTGTTGCTGTCTCTGCTGGTGTCTTGTTCTCTCTGCTTTCTGTCTGGCCACCTTCCCTTATGGAGTCCCTTGGTCAATTTTAATGGTTCAGCCATCTGTATTCCACAGGCTGTGCAACTAGCTGGACAGATGTCAGACACGTCAGTGTTAATTCCCCATGGATTAGTTTCATCACCGGTCACAGGTAGTGTCCAAACATTAAAGTGTCATTGTCATCGTGGTGGATTACTTCACAGCAGTTATTTCCTGCATATAGACTTGTTGACACACTCAGGGGCTGACCATGGATTGACCTGGGACTGACCGAGGGAGGCGGCCATCAACTATGTTACATTGTAACGGTGACGTAGCGTTAATATGTCTTCTACTCACAGGTGATCCAAGACAACGGGTTCAAGAAAGGTTCACTCACTGACCCCAACAGACAACCACTTCCGCATGAACACAACTTCCTGTATGGACATTTCCCAGAAGACTTTGCGTGGGGTGTTTCCAGTTCCGCTCTGCAGACGGAGGGAGACGGCAGTTTGCATGGTGACATTCTCTTTGATTCTACAGTCATATCAGAGAGTGTGTGAGTTGACGAGGAGTGGATGGGTATGACGCCGCTGTTAACAGTAGTCTAGTTGTATCACGGCGTGACAAGTTATGTAGGGGAGAGCCTGGAGAGACACTAACTGACTGGCATTTACCACTTTGGTAAAATAGAAAATTTAATTAAATGCCGGGCGAAGAGCGTTCGCACCCGGGCTTGGTGGTGGTTGAGATGATTAATGACGGTTCCATAACGTTTCTAATTCCTGGAGAATCACACTTGTCAAATTCTATTCTCAAAAGGGGCAGTGGGATAGCCTGATGTTTATAGCGTTCGTTCATCACGCCGAAGACCCACGTTCGATTCCCAACATGGGTACAATGTGTGAAGAGCATTTCTGGTGTTCCCCGCCATGATATTGCTGGACAATAGCTGAAAACAGCGTAAAACCATGCTAACTCACTCACTCTATTTTCAAGTGTAAAATTTCCATCAGTACTTGTGTAAATGAATGAGAGGTCCTTGTGTCAAGGTGACCATGAATGTAGAGGCGAGAGTCTGTGGGACGGGTTCACCTCAGCTGAAGACGGCCCCATGTCCTACCAACACTACATGGCAGATGTACAGGCTCTGAAAGATATCGGGGTAAGGAATGGATCATCTGAATAACGACAAACGGATTTTAACGTCTCACCAGCATTGTGTCATCGACGTCCAGTTCACCTAAACATAATGACATACCCGACAAGGTTTTCAGACTTAGATGTGTCTCTGCAGGTCACGGTGTACCACCTCTCTCTGTCCTGGCCTCGGATCCTGCCACATGGCGCCTCTGAGAACATAATCCGTGAGGGCATCAAGTTCTACCACAAGCTGCTGATGGCCATCACGGAGGCGGGCATCCAGCCTATTGTCACTCTACATCACTGGGACGTGCCTGCTGTCTACACCGACGGCTGGCTTAACGCAGATATTGTAGAAGCCTTTGAGAACTACTCAAGAATATGTTTTAGAGAGTTCGGCAGAAAGGTAAAAATGTGGATTCCTCTAAATGATCCAAACGAAATGGCGTTGCTAGGATACGAGCAGGGTAGCCACGCTCCTGGAATTAAAGGTGAAGGTTATGCGGCTGCACACAACATGCTGAAGGCTCACGCTTCTGTGTACCGACTATACCAGCGTGAGTTCAGACATTCCCAGGGAGGTGAGTGATACCAGCGTGAGTTCAGACATTCCCAGGGAGGTGAGTGATACCATCGTGAGTTCAGACATTCCCAGGGAGGTGAGTGATACCATCGTGAGTTCAGACATTCCCAGGGAGGTGAGTGATACCAGCGTGAGATCAGACATTCCCAGGGAGGTGAGTGATAGCAGCGTGAGTTCAGACAGTCCCAGGGAGGTGAGTGATACCAGCGTGAGTTCAGACAGTCCCAGGGAGGTGAGTGATACCAGCGTGAGTTCAGACAGTTCCAGGGAGGCGAGTGATACCAGCGTGAGTTCAGACAGTCCCAGGTAGGTGAGTCATATCAGTGTGAGTTGAGATATTCCAAGGGAGGTAAGTGATAGCAGAGTGAGTTCAGGCATTGCCAGGGAGTTGAGTGATACCAGCGTGAGTTCAGACAGTCCGTGGGAGGTGAGTGATAGCAGCGTGAGTTCAGACATTCCCAGGGAGGTGAGTAATACCATCGTGAGTTCAGACAGTCCCAGGGAGGTGAGTGATACCAGCATCAGTTAAGACAGTCCCAGGGAGGTGAGTGATACCAGCGTGAGTTCAGACAGTCCCAGGGAAGTGAGTGATAGCAGCGTGAGTTCAGACATTCCCAAGGAGGTGAGTGATACCAGCGTGAGTTCAGACAGTCCCAGGGAGGTGAGTGATAGCAGCGTGAGTTCAGACATTCCCATTGAGGTGAGTGATAGCAGCGTGAGTTAAGACAGTCCCAGGGAGGTGAGTGATACCAGCATGAGTTCAGACATTCCCAGGGAGTTGAGTGATACCAGCATCAGTTCAGACATTCCCAGGGAGTTGAGTGATACCAACATCAGTTCAGACAGTCCGTGGGAGGTGAGTGATACCAGCGTGAGTTAAGACATTCCCAGGGAGGTGAGTGATACCAACATCAGTTCAGACATTCCCAGGGAGGTGAGTGATACCAGCATCAGTTAAGACAGTCCGTGGGAGGTGAGTGATACCAGCATCAGTTCAGACATTCCCAGGGAGGTGAGTGATACCAGCGTGAGTTCAGACATTCCCAGGGAGGTGAGTGATACCAGCATCAGTTCAGACATTCCCAGGGTGGTGAGTGATACCAGCGTGAGTTCAGACAGTCCCAGGGAGGTGAGTGATACCAGCATCAGTTCAGACATTCCCAGGGAGGTGAGTGATACCAGTGTGAGTTCAGACATTCCCAGGGAGGTGAGTCATGAAGCTGTACATAGCAGCGGTGTCAGTTCTCTCTGAATCTGTGACTTCTTGTTGATTGCACAATGCGAGGACCTCATTTAATGGTAACGTTGTCTTAGTAACGATTCCAACCACTGTTTAGGTGCAACATGTGCTGTTGTCAGCGCGTCCATGGACGTGCGAAAGCAGATCCTTCAGTTCAATATACTCAGGTATTCTACACTGCTCCTGCACCTATGCTATTTAGTAGACCAGTAGAAAATAAATGTTAGTTATTGAACATATTATTGTTTGCCTTTATAGGCAAGGTCGGATTGGCAGTTCGCTCTGCGTGGTTTATGCCGAAGACGTCACGTGACCCTGGAGACTGGTTCGGGCAAGCTCTATCGTTTGCCTACAAATCTGATTGGATGGCTGATCCAGTATTTTTAGATGGGAATTATCCGGATGTAATGAGACAGGAAGTCCGTTTGAGGAGCGAATACCGTAACATGACATCGAGGCTGCCGGTTCTTACAACAGGGGAGCAAAAAATGATAAAAGGTTCGTTGTAACACAATTATACATGTACAAGCTAACAGTATCTACTTTATCTAGAGAACTGATCAAAGTAAAGTGTACTGAAAATTGGCCTGCTTCTGAAGAGTAAGTTATTTCTTTGAAAATATGTTTTGTTCTCAATCTGACAATGAAGACAATGTAACCTTTCGATCAGCAGTTAACACGAATTATAGATCAGACTACCGGGAATTCCCGTTTTTTAAAGCCCTGGGCTTAATAACAGAAAATGACCCATCTCGTTAACAAATACAAAACACCATAATTAAGCCATGGCTTAAATTCGGGAAATCATTGTATCTGAAGAAAATGATTCTAAAACAAAATGAAATGGAATGAACTTTGATATTTTATTGCGACTGCGTGTCATATCGATTGAGATTGTCTATTTGAGTTTAAAGTACCTGACCTCTCTTGCGACTCCAAAAAGTTCTGTATACGTGACACTGCACTAGACACGTTATATATGTTGACGTCTGCAAAGTGTTTTTGAAAAGGACGTCACTCTTAATCTTAATTTAGGCCCAAGGGCTTAATAACGGGAAAATATCCATGTTACATAAAGCTTGACCAGTGTTACTTGACCGATGTGATATACCATATGTGAGTGAGTGAGTATGTTTTGACGCCGCTTTTAGCAATATTCCAGCAATATCACAGCAATATCACTGCGGGTTACGCCAGAAATGGGCTTCACACATTGTACCCACATGGGGAATCGAACCCGGGTCTTCGGTTTTCGACGTTTTAACCACTAGGCTACCCTACCGCCCCTACAATATATGACCATGTTACATAAAGCTTGACCAGTGTTACTTGACCGATGTGATATACAATATATGACCATGATACATAAACTTGTTTGAGTGGCATTTTTTAGAAGTTGAGACGTACAATATAGAACACGTTTTTATGGATAACAACTTCTTTATTTCGTGAGTGCAACGTTTCGATACAGATTCTTGTACCGTTGTCAAGCAAGATTGATACATGAAGTGTAGGAGCTGCATATATATACTGTACATAACAATGAAACAACATACATTGTAATTGACAAAGGAAACAACATAATTGCCATAATTGGTTAAGCAGTAAGCTGATGAAGCCAGTGAGTACACAAAGGATAGTGAATGGAAGCCAGAGATGTATAAATACAGGAGTAGTTACAATGAAGGAGATGTTTATACAATAGGTGCGATGTTTATACAATAGATTGGGCTTGGTGGAGGAGTGGATCATAAGCTGATGGAATGAAGTATCCTTGGTCACGGTTGATGGTGGGCTTATGGCGTTTAATGTGAATGGCTTCGGTGAGCTTGCGTTTAGTGAAGTCCGTTTGGTTGTTGGCGAGAATGGTGAAGTCGGACCACTCAATTTGATGATTGGGGATAGCTTTGACGTGGTCAGAGATAGCTGATTTGGTGTCGGAATTAGCAACAGAGGTGCGATGTTCTTTGACTCGGGTGTTGATGGGTCGAGATGTTTCATCAATGTAGCTTTTTCCACAATCACAGTTTATTTTATAAATAACACATTTCGGGTTGTTGTTGTTGACGGTGGGTTGTTTTCTTCCGTTGGCATGGAGGGGGTTGTTGAGGCTGGAGGACGCTGAGAAGGTTGTGTCTAAGCCTGCCTGTTGTTTCAGGAGTCGGCTGATTTGATGTGATGGTTTACCTATGTAGGGAATGGATATCTTGATGGGGGCTGATTCTGGTTTAGATCTTTTGGCAGGAGGTGAAAGCGTTGCTTCGATGGTTCTGTTGACTATTTCAGGTGGGTAGTGGTTGCGTTCTACAAAGACTTTCCTTAGGTGTTTAATTTCTTCTTGTAGGTTTGTTGAGCAGATGTTTTTGGCTCTTCTGGTCAATGTAGAGATGACGCCGGTCTTGACTTTAGGGGGGTAGTTGGAGTTGTAGTGGATGTATTGATCCGTATGGGTAGGTTTTCTGTACACGGAGGTCTGGAGTTGGTTGCAGGAGGTGCGGGATACAAGGACATCAAGGAAAGGTAGTTGGTTGTTCTGCTCTGTTTCAATGGTGAATTTGATGCGGGGATGTTGGTTGTTGAGATGGGCGAGGAGCTGCTTTGGATCTTGCTGAGGTTGGAGGATGACGAAGGTGTCATCCACTTTGCGGTACCAGCAGGAAGGTTTGAAGGTGCAGTTTCTAGGGCCTGATCTTCCAGGTCGGCCATGTAAATTTCTGTTAGGATGGGGGATAGTGGGGAGCCCATGGGAAGTCCGTGGATTTGCTCATAGATGGCATCGCCCCAGGTGAAGTAGGTGGAGTTGATGCAGACGGTGGTGAGGATGATGATGGAGTCGGTAGAGATGCTAGTGTTGAGGGGTTGTTGGAGGTTGTCAATTCTGTGGCGTAGTGCTTGAAGGGCATCTTCCCGAGGTACATTGGTAAAAAGGTCCACAACGTCGTAGCTGATGATGGGACCTGGGTTGGTGATGTCACGGATCTTGCAGCAGAAGTCAGTTGAAGTCAGTCGAATCATTGATGAAGGAGTTGGCAGATTATTTATACATCTCTGGCTTCCATTCACTATCCTTTGTGTACTCACTGGCTTCATCAGCTTACTGCTTAACCAATTATGGCAATTATGTTGTTTCCTTTGTCAATTACAATGTATGTTGTTTCATTGTTATATACAGTATATATATGCAGCTCCCCAACTTCATGTATCACTCTTGCTTGACAACGGTACAAGAATCTGTATCGAAACGTTGCACTCACGAAATAAGGAAGTTGTTATCCATAAAAACGTGTTCCATATGTTACATAAAGCTTGACCAGTGTTACTTGACTGCTGTGATATACAATATATGACCATGTTACATATAGCTTGACCAGTGTTACTTGACCGATGTGATATACAATATATGACCATGTTGCGTATAGCTTGACCAGTGTTACTTGACCGATGTGATATACAATATATGACCATGTTGCGTATAGCTTGACCAGTGTTACTTGACCGATGTGATATACAATATATGACCATGTTACACAAAGCTTGACCAGTGTTACTTGACCGATGTGATATACAATATATGACCATGTTACACAAAGCTTGACCAGTGTTACTTGACTGCTGTCATCCACAACTGTACACCAGGATCCGCAGACTTCCTGGGTGTCAGCTACTTCACAGCGCACCAGGTGCAGAGGAACAATAATTACCCCCCGACTGCAGCAGCCAGCATTGCTGACGACATCTCCGTCACGACGTCCGCCGACAAGTCTTGGCCCAGGTAGGATAACGAGGAATCACAATTGCTGAAGCTGAGAGATGATGCAAGTGTTGATGTCACCAAGTTGGGTAGATTTCACCACTACAATATGTATATATTTTGTTTCGTAATCTATGCAAAACATTCCTGGTAGGATGATTGGGTTTTTGTTTTAGTTTTTGATTCCGACATGGATAGGGTGAGATCGGAACTGATGTGTGTCAAAGCTGAATGGTGATCTGTTCAGGATGTGTAAACATATCTTGAATGCATGAGTAACACAGTTTATCGATGACGTCATGATCAAAAGACCTTGCACACAACTGTCGCCATCAGCATGATGTGCTGATATTGGTAAACATGTACTCGCGCATGTACTCTCCTTGTCCTGTTTCAGACATTATCTTGGCCGTGTTGCACGTGTTGACCTATATTTGTAATCCTCCCTTCTAAACATCCCCTTGTCCCGATTCAGACATTATGTTGGCCGTGTTGCACGTGTTGACCTATATTTGTAATCCTCCCTTCTAAAAGTCCCCTTGTCCCGATTCAGACATTATGTTGGCCGTGTTGCACGTGTTGACCTATATTTGTAATCCTCCCTTCTAAACATCCCCTTGTCCCGATTCAGACATTATGTTGGCCGTGTTGCACGTGTTGACCTATATTTGTAATCCTCCCTTCTAAACATCCCCTCTTCCCGATTCAGACATTATGTTGGCCGTGTTGCACGTGTTGACCTATATTTGTAATCCTCCCTTCTAAACATCCCCTTGTCCCGATTCAGACATTATGTTGGCCGTGTTGCACGTGTTGACCTATATTTGTAATCCTCCCTTCTAAACAACCCCTTATCCCGATTCAGACATTATGTTGGCTGTGTTGCACGTGTTGACCTATATTTGTAATCCGTTTCCCTTTCAAACCTCTCCTTGTCCTGATTTCAGCATAAACCTGGACTCGCTCCGAGTCTATCCCACAGGACTCCGTCACATCCTGAGACGAGCTAAAGACCGTTATGGCAACATTCCAATATACGTCACTGGGAACGGCGTGTCCGACGACCCGGGCACCACCGACGACAAGCTCAGGGCATCATACATCGTGGACTACACCAATGAAGTTCTGAAAGGTAATAGAACAAATTGTCATGCAAGACTGAACAGTCTGGAGTGGTTTCTCTATCATCAGGGACTGATAACTGACAAGCCAGTCTGTCAGCATAGAAGACGAAGTGTATCATGTCAGTGCTATTGTTGCTGTACGTAAGGAGGCCGATGTAAATATACTTGTAAAGCTGTAAATAACCAGTCTATTTACCTGAAACAAAAGACTTCATCTGACGTAAAGTATTAAGGCTGGCTATCGATATAGGTCGTATAGATCGGTAGTCGTTAACTAAATGTCGATCAATTATCGATAAATAACTTATAGCAAAAATGTGAATGGTGAAATGTTTTGCATGGGCTACCAACAACAGAGTCCTGAACATATTTTGGAGGGCACCGTGAGTAAACTCCTAAGTTTTATGTTGTGTGAGAAAATTATAACTCGTTTCTGTCACAAAGTTAATGTAAGTTATTATCGATAGCACACTTTTCATATCGATAATCATTTCAATTTTTCCTATCGATAATTCCGATTATCGATCATTTTAGCCAGCCCTACAAAATAGTGATGACAATTATGTGAATGATGACTGATGACAGTCATCCGTGAGTTTCTGTGGTCATGTGTGTGGGGACATACAGGTAACAACACCAAAGATTGCTCTGTTGTTCCTGGTGCGAGATTGGACTACTCGAATATAACACATTCTGATTCATTTCAGCTATAACCTTAGACAACGTGGACGTCCGAGGCTACGTCGTTTACAGCCTCGTCGACGGCTTTGAAAGAAGAGACGGCTACAACGTCAGCTTTGGCCTGTTCGCGATCAACCAGACGGGCCCCGGCAGAGCAAAGGTCCTCAAGCTATCATCCAATCATTACTCTAACGTCATCAGAAACAACGGCTTTATCCGCACTACGGTGTTTCAGGGAGAACCGAATAAGGCGTTATCACCAATAACAGTTTTACTCGTACTATTCTTGCCTTCAGCACTTTGGCTTTTGGTAATAAATGGCAGAACTTTATCAGCACGCTACCAAGTACTAGAACACGGAAACTTTTTGAAGAATTGGTGAGATTTTACTGAAATATCATTACAACACAACTGTAGGAAAATGAAAACGCATGTTGCACGATGATATGTTTTGTAAAATAATTGATATCAAGTTTGAGACGTCTAGGCTTGAGTGTTAACACCCAGAGCTGTCAGCTTTCTTCAGTCAGTGTAACCAGATCTCTTCACAGCCGGAGTAGGACTCTTGATACACAAACATACTGCACAAGATGTCAATTTGTCATCATCCATATAGCCATATTGGACAGGCCTTGTGGTGTATGTGCCTGTAGATTGTGACTGACCTGACCGACATCGCCCTAGTGTTGTAACGACCCTATTCCAGTACAGGTTGTCGTGCAGCGAGACTGTCCTATATCAGACGGAATAGGAGGTCAGCGGTCCTTGGATGCACTTTTCTGTTTCATTTTAGTATCTCAGGCGTTCATATATGTTTTCCCAACTCTGGGTCCTGCTGAATAAAATATTTGACTCGTTACTGAATAACTAATTTCCAAACTTCACGGCCCAAAGTTCGGCGCTAATTTGCTACAGTATGTCCCCCCTGGCTCACAGATAACGTGTGGACAAGCACGTGGATAAGCCATCAACAATACAACTACAACGATGAAAAAATGGTTGAAGATGAAAATCACTGTTAAACTATATTCAAGTGTCCGCAGTAAATACATTCCACATTTTTATACAAACCTTGACATATTCATCCTTTATTGTATCCGTACTTTCGTATCTCAGACATACAAAACCTTCAATCTCCGTAACTTCCATCTCCATGTTGCCCAATGACACTTCTACATACTATATATACATGTATCTATCCGTCAACCAGAACAGATATCATCAGGCGCGTAGGAAGCCAACTTTTTCGTGTAAGCCCGATAGGTTACAAAGTTTTATATTTAGTTAGTGTTGAGGGCTTGTTCAAGTTTCATTTGTAAGCCCGGGCTTTTTTCATGATGATTATTTTAAAAACCCAAAGTTACATTATTAGGCATTGGGAATTTTAACAATTAAAGACCTTAGTAATGAAGATAGTTTTATGTATTTTGAAGATCTGAAGCTCAAATTTGATATTAGAGGTACATATATGGATCTTGGATATGTTTTGTATATCATACCTGAATCATGGAAATTGGCTATAAAACAATACAGAAATATACATAACAATGATCTGGATAATAACTTTCTTCAAAAAGATTTTAAGGATTTGAAAAAAGGTTCAAGATTATTTGATAATAAACTCTTATCTGACAATATTAATCCTCAATATTTGCCTAAAATGGGAAATCATTTTTTATGATATTGATTTTGATTGGCGCATGATTTTTAATATTTGCAGAAAGAATTTGAAAGATGTAAACTGTTAGATTTTCAATTAAAGTTTTTGCACAGAATAATTTATAAAAAAAGAGCTTTTGAAAATGAAACTTGTTGACAATACAGTATGTAGTTTTTGTAATGTGGCTAGTGAAACTTTTTGTCAAGTATATTGGGAATGTAATGTAGCCCAAACCTGGGAAGAACTTGGATAATCCAAAACATACAGAAATTTGAAATAACAAAGACTTTGGTTTGGTTTGGAACTTTGGGTAATAAGCTATTGCTAAATCATATAATCTTTTCTGCTAAAAGACATATATATATACTTGGACTTTAAAGACAATAATTCCAAAAGTTAATAATTTCTTAAAAGTTTTGAAAGACACTTACACGGTTGAAAAATTCATATCCAGAAAGAACAAAAAAATTGATAAATTTTCAGACAAATGGTTTCCTTTATCCTCAGTTTTCAATCTCGGACTTCATCTGTCATCAAACTGGAATAACTTTATTGGATTATAATTTCTTTATGCTACCAGTTGATGAACTCTGATCATGCATATGTACACTTATTGCTTTACTTTAAATGCTTGTATTTAATTATGGAAACAAATAAGAAAAACCACTAAAAGTTTGACGTAGCTGGTCTCATGATCATTATCGTATTCTAGTTTCAGACCGTCACACTGATTACAAATGAGATATTCTTCAAGATCATTAAGGTTAAGAGCTGTGTTTGTTCAAACAGGCCACAGAGAGCCAAGTGGAGCAGAGTGGCGTAGTGGTTAGCATGCTGGCCTCTCACGTCAAAGGCCAGGGTTCGAATCCCGGTGGAGACACCAAAAAGTTGTGACCTGGGTCTCATACTGTGTTGTGTCCCTGGGCAAGGCACTTCATCCACATTACACTCACTCCACCCAGCTGTTTAAAATGGGTGCTTGAGAAGCGGATGTACGGACCTACACGGTCGCGCTCAGCGTTTAGTAGCAGCTTTGAAAGTATAATTTCCGTCAGGGTAATAATGTAACGCCAGAGAGCAGCATCGCGTTGGATTCTGGGCGCAAAAAATGGCATTTATTAAGTGAGTGTATTAGTTTTTTTGCAACACGTGGGCGGACATACACACCATTGCTACCGCTTCACAATATTATAATACGCACATATATTCTACATACACAATGCTTTTTAGCAGAGTGGGTGGTTTATGTTTCCGTAGTTCCACCAGTAGACATTTTTGATAATAAATATTACACTTTTGATATAATCATACATAATTAAGTGTTTCGTTATATATTCTTACAAACTTAGCCGCAAATACCTGCAATACTGCTGACTCACCTTCAACAACTACCTGCAATACTGCTGACTCACCTTCAACAACTACCTGCAATACTGCTGACTCACCTTCAAGCAATAGTTACTTATTCACTCACTAAGTCTTTTGTGTGAGCAAATACCTTATGCACGTCACTCCAGATGTTTTGTATGTATGTGTTGGTTATGTACAGCTAAGTATACCATATATACAGGTTAGTATTTCTAAGAAACCACCTTAGTCACTCTTTGGTGTGAAACGTTTCAGTTGGGTTTACACAGGACCGTTTGTGTGCCCTGTTGATACTATTTACACATATATGGTTCTGCTTTCAAATGCATTATAGAAATGAAGCATTCACCAGCCATGACTGATTTCCATATTGCATAAATAGCCACATTGAGCACCTATCATCCCAACTTGACAACGACTGGTAAACATATTTGTCTTTGATGAATAACCTCTCAACACCATTCGACAGCTTAACCACAGCACCTGCGACAAACAACTGTAATATGTGAACACAGAGAAGAGAGCAAGGTTCTTGTGTAGAGGGCAGCCTGTGAGAGAAATGAGACCTGTTCATGAACAGTATGTCATCGCTTCAACAAAGGGCGAATGGAGACAGCAGTTTGTAAAACCCGTATACTCTGGTACGGGTATACGGGTATACGGGTCTGCATGTCTTTACAAATATACAGAGCCCGTGACGTCTCGCCTACAATAGCACATTCGTCATGTGGAGGCACCTTTAGGACAGTTGTGCATGTAGCTATGAGAAGAAGTGCCGCAACCTTGAATATGACTTAGCTCTTTGTCCAAAAAATGTATACCAGTTCAAGTATAAAAAGAGGGGTATGGTCTTACAACAGCACGTAGCTCTCTTGATTCCAACAGCGAGATTCTGACTCGCTTTCTGTTAAACCCGGCAGAGCCATAACATACCATTACATTGATTAAAGTTCTACAGTTCACAGAGGTGTCATAGCTCAGTGCAATTATCATTGAGGTACACAGACCAAACTTATGTTTAACACGACCCCCTATGAAACTACGTCACTGTTAAGTATCACGTGCACATACCGCACGTGGACAATGTATTTCTCAAACTAATACATCCAAGTGTAAAGTATCACGTGCTCACAGCGCACGTTGACAATGTATTTCTCAAACTAATACATCCAAGTGTAAAGTATCACGTGCACATACCGCATGTTGACAATGTATTTCTAAACTCATCCAAGTGTGCACATACCGCATTGACAATGTATTTCTCAAACTAATACATCCAAGTGTAAAGTATCACGTGCACACACCGCACGTTGACAATGTATTTCTCAAACTAATACATCCAAGTGTAAAGTATCACGTGCACATACCGCACGTTGACAATGTATTTCTCAAACTAATACATCCAAGTGTAAAGTATCACGTGCACATACCGCACGTTGACAATGTATTTCTCAAACTAATACATCCAAGTGTAAAGTATCACGTGCACATACCGCACGTGGACAATGTATTTCTCAAACTAATACATCCAAGTGTAAAATTATCACGTGCACATACCGCACGTGGACAATGTATTTCTCAAACTAATACATCCAAGTGTAAAGTATCACGTGCACATACCGCACGTTGACAATGTATTTCTCAAACTAATACATCCAAGTGTAAAGTATCACGTGCACACACCGCACGTTGACAATGTATTTCTCAAACTAATACATCCAAGTGTAAAGTATCACGTGCACACACCGCACGTGGACAATGTATTTCTCAAACTAATACATCCAAGTGTAAAGTATCACGTGCACATACCGCACGTGGACAATGTATTTCTCAAACTAATACATCCAAGTGTAAAGTATCACGTGCACACACCGCACGTGGACAATGTATTTCTCAAACTAATACATCCAAGTGTAAAGTATCACGTGCACAGACCGCACGTTGACAATGTATTTCTCAAACTAATACATCCAAGTGTAAAGTATCACGTGCACATACCGCACGTTGACAATGTATTTCTCAAACTAATACATCCAAGTGTAAAGTATCACGTGCACACACCGCACGTGGACAATGTATTTCTCAAACTAATACATCCAAGTGTAAAGTATCACGTGCACACACCGCACGTAGACAATGTATTTCTCAAACTAATACATCCAAGTGTAAAGTATCACGTGCACACACCGCACGTGGACAATGTATTTCTCAAACTAATACATCCAAGTGTAAAGTATCACGTGCACACACCGCACGTGGACAATGTATTTCTCAAACTAATACATCCAAGTGTTAAGTATCAGTGCTCACGTGCACGCACCGCGTGGACAATGTATTTCTCAAACTAATACATCCAGTGTAAAGTATCACGTGCACACACCGCACGTGGACAATGTATTTCTCAAACTAATACATCCAAGTGTAAAAGTATCACGTGCGTGCAATGTATTTCACACCGCACGTGCACACACAATGTATTTCTCAAACTAATACATCCAAGTGTAAAGTATCACGTGCACATATCGCACGTGGACAGTGTATTTCTCAAACTTATACATCCAAGTGTTAAGTATCACGTGCTCACACCGCACGTGGACAGTGTATTTCTCAAACTAATACATCCAAGTGTAAAGTATCACGTGCACATATCGCACGTGGACAATGTATTTCTCAAACTAATACATCCAAGTGTAAAGTATCACGTGCTCACACCGCACGTTGACAGTGTATTTCTCAAACTAATACATTCAAGTGTAAAGTATCACGTGCACATACCGCACGTGGACAATGTATTTCTCAAACTAATACATCCAAGTGTAAAGTATCACGTGCACACACCGCACGTGGACAATGTATTTCTCTAACTAATACATCCAAGTGTAAAGTATCACGTGCTCACACCGCACGTTGACAATGTATTTCTCAAACTAATACATCCAAGTGTAAAGTATCACGTGCTCACACCGCACGTGGACAATGTATTTCTCAAACTAATACATCCAAGTGTAAAGAAAGAAAAGAGAAACAAAAAAAGAAAGAAAATTCGTGTAAGCCCGGTAGGTAACAAATCTTTATATTTAGTTAGTGTTGAGGGCTTGCCCAATTTTCATTCTCAAAATCATGTGTAAGCCCGGGCTTTTTTCATAATGGTAGCAACGCCCCTGAAATTTATACTAGAATGAAAACTTCCTGCCTTTAAACTAGGTCATCACCCCGTGCTTGCAAGACGAGATGTCGAAAGGTCACATCCGGTGATTTGGATGCTGGAGCATCATGGAGCCTCTGTCACGCGCATGTTCTAGTCAGCCCCGGGGAAGATCAGAGTTGGTCTTCAGTTTCCTATGTAACATATGTTACATTTGGGATTACATGTTAGCCTCCAACAGATATAGCTACACATACTTGTTGTAAGAGGCGTTTAACGTGACCAGGTGGGCACGTGACTTAGTTCTCGATGCTCATGATGTTGATCACTGGATTGTATGGCCCAGGCTCGATTATTAACAGACCGCATAACTGAACTCGTGGAGTTCGGCATCAAGCAACAATCAAACAAATAAAGGAAGGGACGTACGCACTAAAAACACACACACAAGCAAACAACCAACCATGCTAGTCTATCTGATGATATACCGGCCTCCGTGATAAGCTGAAATATTGAAATATTGATGAATGCATCGTTGGAACAAGGTCACGTGACTTGATGGAAACCTACCAGGTTTTCAATGCCACGTGTACATAGACCACCCGGTTTGCTAAGAGGGTCAAGTGATAAGTTCTATCCCCACAGGATTCAGGTTGGTCTGCTGACTACAGGTGTCGATGAATATGCTAATTTGATACGTACCCGAAGCACGACTTACAAACACCAAATAACGCGTCATGCTTGAGGGACCCCTACCCCTCCACGTGACATAGGGTCAAGGTCACTGGGTGTTACCAAAAGAGCATCTGTACTGGAGCACAGTGTTCCTCACGTAAGCGCTGCCGCCATGTCACCATTCTGAAGCCGGGGGCACAAGGGGCTGCTTGTACAAAACTCGGGAAAATGGACGCAGGTGCGCTGTTGTTTGTCATTTGTCAGCTTGTCGTCGTGCGATGTCACCTGAATGAAGAATACTACTTTGGCCAGTTCCCCGCGGGGTTTGTGTGGGGGGCCGGGACCTCGGCCACTCAGACAGAGGGAGCATGGAGAACGCAGGGTAAGTTCGGATTGAATAGAAGGCTTTTGGACCAAACTTACATGAAACTACTCAAATTATTTTACCTCTTGAACCAGGTTTCTGGGGTTTAATCCATACTTTGTGGTCAGAATTCTCAAAACATTTCCTCTCGTCGAGGAATCACAAATGAAGGTTGTCTCCATGTATTCTGATAATGAATACGGTTCCGGCCACCTTTGCCCACGTTTGGTAAATCTGTAACCGGGTTCTTTTGTCTGGGCTTCTCTCCTATGTAGCAGCCGAGCAGGAACAGCCAACCTCGAGATATGCCTAGGGGCACTTTATTTTCTCAAACGGTTATACTGACGTACCTAGCAAACGTTCTGTAAATAACTCCTCCGACCAATCTAACTGTGTTCTGCAAACCGTTCTCCCCGACTCACGATTCCCCGCGTAGTTTTATCGCCCTAACTTTCCCCATGCCAAAGTACGCGATACATCCATCATATGTCCAGATCGTGACCGTCCTAGGATGCCATCAACCCTCCCTATTTTATTAATCCACGATCAGCTATATGCCCATCTGCTAATGAAAGTATAAATGGTTGCCCACGCCACTCTTAGCCCTACTACTCCCCTTCTACATTCATCCTACTGTATCACCTGTCCGTTCATGGTTCGACCGCCATATAGCTGGAATATTGCTGAGTGCGGCGTAAAACTCATTCACTCAGTCATGGTCTGAGTTGTACCACCCCGCCAACCCCTTACTCTTCCCTCGTCAGGTCGATGGTCCCTTGCACGCTTGTTGCTGACTTAACACTCACTTACAGACATCCAGACTCGTATACCAGCCTCGTCTGCTGATGGTGTTTTTAATGCTGTTGCCGCCGTTGACGTTGACGTCACGAAGCTGTCCCGGAGGTGGATCTGCCTGTTGTAGCGGTCTTCGGCAGGTGTAGTGACTCTTGGTCTTCCGATGTTGGGCGGTCTTGGGTCTGGCCTGTTTGCTGGTAGCGGTTTATCAATTGTCTGATGGTTGCCTGGCTGCAGTTCTGGCCAGCTTTACGTCGTGAAACCCCCCATACTGCCCATACCAATCGCCCTGTCACGTTTCGCTTGCGTACGCCTTGGCATGTTCGTGGTTGATTTGGTTAGCCTACTTGGTCGGTCCAACATCGGTACTTATGCACGATAAAAATGCACGATTCGTACGAAATTTTCGGACCGCTGTCACGTTGCGTTTTGGCGAATGTTTTTGCTTAAGTGCACCAGCTTTTTGTTGTTTTTCATGAAATTACTTCAAAAGTGATCACTTTCTTTGGCCCAGTAGGTTATATATTTCCAATAACCACACACTCAGCATAAGCTTCATAACAAAGGTTAACCACCTGTTAAACTGTAACACGGTTACATTGTCTCTTTGTTACTGTCACGCTGCTACACTGTTACTTTTGTACACGGTTACTGTTACATTGCTACTGTCCCACTGTTACTGTAAAAAATGTTAATGGTACACGGTTACTGTTACATTTTTACACTGTTACTGCCCCACTGTTACAGTTACGATGTTAATGGTACACTGTTATTGTCACACTGTTACAGTTACAACTTTAATGGTACACTGTTATTGTCACATTGTGACAGGAAACTGTGGTCGTAGGTTCGAATCCCGATTCACTCTGAATGTTTTTTTCTCAACACCTCATCAGTGATTGTAATTTGACCCAAGTAGTGAACGTGTAAGACTCTCACTCCCCAAAGCAAGGCTGGACGCTGTACTCCGGGATGACGTACAAGTGGCCCTAGTCCGAACCTACTCAGCTCGGAATGACGTACAAGTGGCCCTAGTCCGAATCTACTCAGGTTGGGATGACGTACAAGTGGCCCTAGTCCGAACCTACTCAGGTCGGGATGACGTACAAGTGGCCCTAGTCTGAACCTACTCAGGTCGGGATGACGTACAAGTGGCCCTAGTCTGAACCTACTCAGGTCGGGATGACGTACAAGTGGCCCTAGTCTGAACCTACTCAGGTCGGGATGACGTACAAAGTGGTCCTAGTCTGAACCTGCTCAGGTCGGGATGACGTACAAGTGGCCCTAGTCTGAACCTACTCAGGTCGGGATGACGTACAAGTGGCCCTAGTCTGAACCTACTCAGGTCGGGATGACGTACAAGTGGTCCTAGTCTGAACCTACAGAAGTGGGATGACGTACAAGTGGCCCTAGTCTGAACCTACTCAGGTCGGGATGACGTACAAAGTGGCCCTAGTCTGAACCTGCTCAGGTCGGGATGACGTACAAGTGGCCCTAGTCTGAACCTACTCAGGTCGGGATGACGTACAAGTGGTCCTAGTCTGAACCTACTCAGGTCGGGATGACGTACAAGTGGTCCTAGTCTGAACCTACAGAAGTGGGACGACGTACAAGTGGCCCTAGTCTGAACCTACTCAGGTCGGGATGACGTACAAGTGGTCCTAGTCTGAACCTACAGAAGTGGGACGACGTACAAGTGGCCCTAGTCTGAACCTACTCAGGTCGGGATGACGTACAAGTGGCCCTAATCTGAACCTACTCAGGTCGGGATGACGTACAAAGTGGTCCTAGTCTGAACCTGCTCAGGTCGGGATGACGTACAAGTGGCCCTAGTCCGAACCTACTCAGCTCGGAATGACGTACAAGTGGCCCTAGTCCGAACCTACTCAGGTCGGGATGACGTACAAGTGGCCCTAGTCTGAACCTACTCAGGTGGGGATGACGTACAAGTGGCCCTAGTCTGAACCTACTCAGGTCGGGATGACGTACAAGTGGCCCTAGTCTGAACCTACTCAGGTCGGGATGACGTACAAGTGGCCCTAGTCTGAACCTACTCAGGTCGGGATGACGTACAAGTGGCCCTAGTCTGAACCTACTCAGGTCGGGATGACGTACAAGTGGCCCTAGTCTGAACCTACTCAGGTCGGGATGACGTACAAGTGGCCCTAGTCTGAACCTACTCAGGTCGGGATGACGTACAAAGTGGTCCTAGTCTGAACCTGCTCAGGTCGGGATGACGTACAAGTGGCCCTAGTCTGAACCTACTCAGGTCGGGATGACGTACAAGTGGTCCTAGTCTGAACCTACTCAGGTCGGGATGACGTACAAGTGGCCCTAGTCTGAACCTACTCAGGTCGGGATGACGTACAAGTGGCCCTAGTCTGAACCTACTCAGGTCGGGATGACGTACAAAGTGGTCCTAGTCTGAACCTGCTCAGGTCGGGATGACGTACAAGTGGCCCTAGTCTGAACCTACTCAGGTCGGGATGACGTACAAGTGGCCCTAGTCTGAACCTACAGAAGTGGGATGACGTACAAGTGGCCCTAGTCTGAACCTACTCAGGTCGGGATGACGTACAAGTGGTCCTAGTCTGAACCTACAGAAGTGGGATGACGTACAAGTGGCCCTAGTCTGAACCTACTCAGGTCGGGATGACGTACAAGTGGCCCTAGTCTGAACCTACTCAGGTCGGGATGACGTACAAAGTGGTCCTAGTCTGAACCTGCTCAGGTCGGGATGACGTACAAGTGGCCCTAGTCTGAACCTACTCAGGTCGGGATGACGTACAAGTGGCCCTAGTCTGAACCTACTCAGGTCGGGATGACGTACAAGTGGCCCTAGTCTGAACCTACTCAGGTCGGGATGGCGTACAAGTGGCCCTAGTCTGAACCTACTCAGGTCGGGATGAACCTCGTACAAGTGGCCCTAGTCTGAACCTACTCAGGTCGGGATGGCGTACAAGTGGCCCTAGTCTGAACCTACTCAGGTCGGGATGGCGTACAAGTGGCCCTAGTCCGAACCTACTCAGGTCGGGATGACGTACAAGTGGCCCTAGTCTGAACCTACTCAGGTCGGGATGACGTACAAGTGGCCCTAGTCTGAACCTACTCAGGTCGGGATGACGTACAAGTGGCCCTAGTCCGAACCTGCTCAGGTCGGGATGACGTACAAGTGGCCCTAGTCTGAACCTACTCAGGTCGGGATGACGTACAAGTGGCCCTAGTCCGAACCTACTCAGGTGGGATGACGTACAAGTGGCCCTAGTCTGAACCTACTCAGGTCGGGATGGCGTACAAGTGGCCCTAGTCCGAACCTACTCAGGTCGGGATGTCGTACAAGTGGCCCTAGTCCGAACCTGCTCAGGTCGGGATGGCGTACAAGTGGCCCTAGTCTGAACCTACTCAGGTGGGAAATCATCGCAATGCCCGTACAACTACACCAACGATTCTCATACTGACTCCCGAGGCTTCAGTGTCTCCAAGCATGCACCAGTCTTGTTTCCACCTTTGGTTGGCTCTCTGGAGTAATCTGAGGCTTCAGGACCAAAACATCTCAGTTGTCTCTACAGAAAGGGGCCACCCTTGAAGAGCCACCTCCTCGTGGTGGGTGCTGGGTAACGCTAAGAGCTTTTCAAAAAAGGAGCGACCGAATTGGGCAACCTGTTTACCGTGGGTTGCGCCCCTGTGTCGGTGGAGGACGGGAGTCTGGTGGATGAGGGCACAGAAACCAAGACCAGGTGTTCCTGTTGCCCAACACACTACTTCAACCACACAACCCGCTTTGGGGAAGTGCCCATACAAATAACAAAGGAAAAATCCTTGAGGATTTCATTTTCGATAATAACATATGTATTTTCAATGCCGACTCAGCCACATATTTGCATCCAGCTACGGGAACATGTTCTTCCCTGGATCTGTCACTCACCTATTCAACCTTGTATAATGAATTTGAATGGATGGTCCATGATGACCTGTGTGGGAGTGATTACTTCCCCACCATTCTCAAAACAATCAACCCTGGTGATGATCCACCTTCATCAAGAAGGAACTTATAATTGTATAAGACTTGAGTGTGTACGGCTTGAAGCATGACCTTTTAAGGAATAGTGAAGATCCTATACTGCTGACAACTCCACACATTCGTAAACCTTGGTTTAATAATGAATGTAAACAGGCCAGAATGTGCAGGAAGAAAGCCGAAAAAATATTTTCGCAAACATCCTACGGTCCATAATTTAGACAAAGTTAAAATTTTAAATGCCAAGGCTCGACACACATTTAAACAGAATAAGCGTCAATCTTAAAGCTTGGAGAACTATGTTTCCAAAATAAATTCCCGTCCACCTATGTCAAAGGTGTGGAACATGGTCCAAAGAACAAAGGGCAAAGGTTCCAAATCTACCGTTCACCATTTAAAGGATGGTGATAATTTGTTAACTGATAAGGCTGACATTGCCAATAAGCTTGGTGAAACCCTCGCCAAACATTCGTCTTCATCCAATTATGTACCTGAGTTTCAGAAACATCAGAAACAAAAACGAAGATTTTACAACTTTTAGAAATAATGTTACCAACAGCTTGACCCTTCATTAATGACGCCGAGTAAAGTTGTTCTATTGTTGCAGGGAGGGGCCCTAGTGTGTGGGACACCTTCTCCCGGGCACCTGGTCGTACCCAGGGGGACGCCACCCCTGACGTCTCCGCCGACAGCTATTCCCACTACCTGGAGGATATCGAGCTGCTGAAGAGCCTGGGGGTGTGTACACAGTGTCATATAGCCGCACGGTGCTGTAGTCGTGCCCCGCCACTCCAATACCGTATTATGTGAATAATGTATGTTTTTCTGTGCCATCTAGGTCAGATATACGAAACCTGCTCCTATAATGTAAATAGGTATAGGCATCGATTCAGACAGCCACGTGTACATATTGGGTCAAATATTCAGGGTCGTAGCGACATGTCCAGGTATGAAGGCCAAACACAGGACGACTGCTATGAGAGGAATATCCCATATCCCAAATGTGTCCAACATGTCAACAGAAGGACAATCTTGTCTTAAAAATACGCTTTTCTATTCCAAGTGAGAATGTAGATTACGTGCAGTCGAGGGAAGACTTGAAAGCAGGGCAATATTGCAAAATAGGCATTCTTTGCTCCATGTATTACATTATTTCAACCAGCCAACACAAATGTTTGGAGATTTATTTGGTAAATCTGTACTTTCTATACATAGGCCAGCCCGTCCATAAATGCCAATCTAATTGTAATATAGGGAAACTATAGCAGACCACGGCCCGTTTCTGAATCTGATATCATTCAAAGCCAAGCATCAACCAGGAAGGAAATAAACATTTTCTTGACATCGGCCTTCAGCATGCCCAATTTCATGTCAAGTTTGTAATATTTGGCAAATTCTACCAGTTAAAACTGTTTGAACAGAGAGACTTCTTCCACACAAAACACGAATGTAAAAAATGATGTTTGTTTCGCACCGTATTCAGAAATTCAACATTTATCCATAAATATTGACAAATGTATATATTTCAAATTGAAACCAGACACATAACCGGGAATCAGTCTGTTACAGAACTAGAACCAACATATGGCAAATTGAAAGCTTAGTGATATAATTGACAGTTCTATTCTAAAAACCACAAGTTTACAAATGAAAACAGAGGTATCATATGGCAGTACAAGGTAGAGTGCAAGTTTACATTCATTGATGCCATGATACAGGAGCAGTTGATACAGCCGTTAAGATAATGGTGGTGTTATTCACTATCAGCAACAGTAATCCAACTAGGACAGGCAGGGTATAACGACTATCACACACAATACTGGTCTTTCTGGAACTTGTGATGCAATGTGAGATGCGAGGCAATAGCTAGTTCCACGTATACACACACGAATAAGATACGAGAATATTCTACAACACAGAGGTGTAGTAATTTGTAGCAGCTTCCAGAACTTTCTGTCTGAATCTAGCACAAGTCTAAATATATCACGTCACTGCCCCCCATTGATTGTTTACATGTACAATGTATTACACCTGGAACAGTGCTATACAGTGAATAACACTGACATATATAATAATACGAACACCGTCATGTGCTCACTTGAGAAAGGATAACAATCTATGGATAAACAACATCGTTACTTGCTTGACAACGGTGTTTGAAACGAGACCGAAACGTCGCTCTCAGTGTTGTTCATCCGTATATTGTCATCCTTCCTTACTGCCGCTCACAGAAGTTTGCCGTGCACAATTGCTTGATAAGGATGTTGGTTTATCCGACAACATCCATAAATTAATGGCGTTAAATCTCACTCACTCACTCACTCACTCACTCACTCACTCACTCACTCACTCACTCACTCACTCACTCACTCACTCACTCACTCACTCACTCACTCACTCACTCACTCACTCACTCACTCACTCACTCACTCACTCACTCACTCACTCACTCACTCACTCACTCACACACTCACTGTGCAGGTGTCCTCCTACCACCTGTCGCTGTCTTGGTCTCGTCTCTTCCCGAACGGAGATGGCACCCTGAACCAAGACGGCGTAAACTACTACAGCCAGCTGCTGCAGGCGTTGCAAGACGCCCACATCGAGCCTTACGTGACTCTGTACTACTTCGACCTCCCGGAGACGCTGGAGAAGAAAGGTGGATGGTTGAACGAGGACACTGTAGACAGTTTCACGGCATATGCACAAGAATGTTTTACACTCTTTGGATCAAATGTAAGTCACTTCCAGATTCAACATACAGCAGTTACACAGGGCAGGTCAGGATATACCCACTTTGTATGCGACAAACCCATGCTTGTCATGTAATTTGACTAATGGTTTATATGAGTTTTGAGTTTGTAGGCTTACCTGTGCCTTCTATTATAAATAAGAATATTGAGTAATCACACGATTTTAGCGTCCAGTATATACGTATAATACTCCAAATTAAGGAATGCCCACAATTCGCGAAATCTGCATAATATATCACATTCACAAGAATGTTATGAATCGTGGACACAAGAGTATATGAAAATCCCAATTCTGGCTGTTCCTCCTAACTGTAGTCCTGGTTTCAGGTAACGTTCTGGATTACAATGCATGACCCCCACACTGTGGCCTGGAGGGGGTACGGCGAGGGCTCCGCACCCCCGGGGTTGTGGGAACCAGGAAGCAACCCTTACATCGCCGCCAGAAACCTCATCCTTGCCCATATACGTGCTGTTAGTGCCTATAAGAGCTCATTGTCTGGAGGTAACACTGTCTGTGTGTCCATACACCTTGCAGCACGTATGTAATCAAAAGAAAGCATATGCGTTCAAACGTCACTAGTCTAAACGTTAAGGTCCAAAAATGCATCTAACGATCAAATATTTGGTCACTGAATATGCAGTTCTTATAAATTTATTTTGCCCGTCAGTTACTTACACACGACGGAATCACCGCATCATGTCCAGTCGAAGAAGGGATTGGACTTACTGTGCAGAGTGGCGTCCCTTTGCCAACGTAAAATCCGCTTGTCTGTTGTTTGAATTCAAGATTTACTCCGACTTTAATGATACCATGGTGAACTGGGACGCATATACCCGAACCGCTGATCACAGTTACTTTAAACTCACACAGTCGGGACTTGTTCGCAGGATCTAGAGTAGTCAAGGACATCAATACTTTTATATTAGCTTTCATGTGTCTTGAATTTTCTGACAGGTCAGATTGGTATCTCCTTAACCACGGAGGTGTTCGAGCCCGAGGACCCGGCACACGAGGGTGACGTTGCGAGTGCTGAGAGAGCCCGACAGTTCCACATTGGATGGTTCGCTAATCCAATATTGAACGGGCAGTACCCTGAGGTGATGATATCTCAAATCGAGGCTAAGAGTAGCCAGGCAGGAACACCCTCCCGCCTTCCCGACATCCAAACAGCTCTTCAGAATATTCCACGTGAGTACAGACACTTCTTTCATGCAGCAGGGTTACATCACTGACGTGTTTCCCAATAATACAATTCATACCACTTACTTACAGGTCATGCTTACTAATAGCTCTCAAACAAGTGGATTCAGGTGACGCTTTAATTCAACCTACAATTATTCAACATACAACCGTTCAAAATACAACCGTTCAACATACAGACATTCAACATACAGCCATTCAACATACAACCGTTCAACATGCAATCATTCAACATACAACCGTTCAACATACAACCGTTCAACATGCAATCATTCAACATACAACCATTCAACATGCAATCATTCAACATACAACCGTTCAACATGCAATCATTCAACATACAACCATTCAACATGCAATCATTCAACATACAACCGTTCAACATACAACCAGTCAACATACAACCGTTCAACATACAACCAGTCAACATACAACCGTCCAACATACAATCAGTCAACATACAACCGTTCAACATACAATCAGTCAACATACAACCGTTCAACATACAATCAGTCAACATACAACCGTTCAACATACAACCCTTCAACTGGCAATCATTCAACATACAATCAGACAACATACAACCGTTCAACATACAATCATTCAACATACAAACATTCAACATGCATTCACTGAACATAAAACCGTTCAACATACAACCGTTCAACTTACACCCGTTCAACATACAGCCATTCAACTTACACCCGTTCAACATACAGCCATTCAACATGCAACCGTTCAACATACAACCGTTCAACATGCAATCATTCAACATACAGCCATTCAACATACAACCGTTCAACATACAATCATTCAACATACAACCGTTCAACATACAATCATTCAACATTAACGGACAGGTCATGCTCATGTGCACACGCTGGAATTCTGGTCAAGCGTGACGAAAAGAAACAAACAGTGGATACCCCTTGGAATGCCTTCTTCTAGCACAGCTGGTAGCCGACTATTTAATATAATCAGTGCAACATTAAGCACTGACTTTATATACTCTGAGAGACATTGATCGGGCTCTTCACGATTCGATCAATTCTTACGTAATACGCTTCGACACAATTAATATTGTTTATAAATCTGCATATGATCTCAGTTAATGGAAGGCTAGTCATCATAATTTGGTCATATTTAAATTTTCATTCTTTATTTTTGAACAGATTCCAATGAAACTGACTTTTTTGTCGTCACCTTCAACTCATCATATCACGTGACCCACCAGGAACGGCCGAGTTCCATTGGCCCCAGTTATCACTACGATCAGGACATTCGTGCAACGGAGAAATGGTCAGCGTAGGTGCACATTTATCTGTGTGATGCAAGGTCAAGGTCTATATATGCAGGGTCGACTCCAAGAAATTGTGGCAAAGTGGGACAAGTTTGTGAAAGTACATGAATATGGGGAGATAGGCGTGACTTTTGGGGAGATGGTAGTGGGGAGGGGCCTAGGCAGAATGGTTGAGTGATGGGCACGGTCGTGGGTGGGAATTATCTTAGAAAACCCATCAGTTATAACGAATATTCGAATGGGTCACTGATCATCAGATATGACACCAGGTGTTGGCCAAGGTGCCAGGGGTCCATGTAGAGGTGTTCGTACAGTGGTAGTACGATGTGCACGATGTTCTGTTTCAGAGATGCTGTGAGAAATGCCTTAAAATGGTTGCACGGTGAATACCGCGTTCCAGTACATGTGGCCGGAAGTTACGTCACTCACAATGCTACGCTTAAAGATGCCCACCGTATTAATTACTTCAAATGGCACATTGATCAAGTTTTGAAAGGTAATTAGCATTTCTCTGTAATCTACCGACAGGCGGTGGTGGTGAAATCAAATGTACACAAAAGTAAACAGATTTGATAGCTATAAGCTGACGCGTAGAGTTGTTAATGTACCGTTGTAAGAGCGTATATTTAAGGTAATGGCAGAAAATACATTGAACAACGAAGTGGCTTGACGATAGTTCAAATGGCCAGCAGATATGCGTTATATTAAATGTCAGACTTCAGTCTTTGCTGATTTAACTTCATCTTGTACAACTGCTCTAATACGACAATGGCCTTAACGACACCATCTTGAATACTCTTGCAGCAATTAACTGGGACAGTTGCAACATCAACGGATATATCTCTAGACCATTGCTGGATGGCTTTGAGTGGTCTGAAGGTTACCGTTCCAGAGGAGGACTGTTCTCGGTGGACTTCTCAGATCCTGGAAGACCACGTACACCACGTGCTTCTTCCCGCCATTTCTCCCAGATAGTGCGAGACAACGGGATCCAGCCCGGGTATAGTGGTCTGGGAGGCGTGGCGTCGGGGTTCGTGCCGTATGAGGATGACACAGAGATATATTTTGACCAGTTTCCTGACGACTTTGTGTGGGCTGCTGCCACCTCCTCGTATCAGATCGAAGGGGCGTGGAATGTAGATGGTAGGTGTGACGATATATGTATGATAAATGAATTAGTAGGAGTGGGAGAGCTGCCTTGTCGAACCCACTAAGACTTTTTTTCTGTGGTGACTTCCCAACCCTGCAGCCTGGTGTGAAAGGGGAGCTGTGTTCCTGACCCGGGTACTCTCCCAGTGTCAACCCGTCGAGTAATGACTCTTGTTTCATTTGTATCGGTGTTTGACAGAATTATTCACTATTTCACACATGACAGAGAAATCAAGCACCTCTATATCTAGGTTTACCTGTGTTGTCACTGGTTACAGGTAAGGGAGAGAGTATTTGGGACCGTCTCGTGCACGCACCTGGCAACGTCTTCAACAACGATACCGGCGACATCGCCTGCGACAGCTACAACAAATACAGGGAGGATGTGAAAATCCTGAAGAATCTGCATGTATGTTGACCTGACAATAATACGGCTAGCTACTTCTTCGTGTGTTTGTAACGATGTATCCTCTTCTTCCTCAAGTGAGTTCTATTGATACCAACTTGGTGTCCAGGACCCCGATCCACACACTGCTCCTGCCACTACGACTACCGCAACTCCATGGCGTGAATGTGTACGACAGGGGTAGACCTCTAGGCCTGTTGTGTTCTGACATTAGTTGTTGAGGACACACGTCAACATTGTTCATCAGTTGCCTGATTCTGATGTTTGTAGGTGACCGACTACCGGTTCTCCATTGCCTGGACTCGCCTGATTCCCACGGGGAGGATAGCTGACGGTGTCAACACCGCGGGCATCAACTACTACCACAATCTGATTGATGAACTTCTTAGAAGCGGGATTCGACCCATGGTCACTCTGTACCATTGGGATCTGCCTCAAGGCCTCGAGGACAGAGGTGGATGGTTAAACGAGTCGATTGTGGACGACTTCCTGGATTATGCCAATCTGACCTTCTCTGAATATGGTGGCAAGGTAAAGATGAAGTGAATGAGTGAGTGAGTGAGTGACTGAGTGTGTGAGCGAGCTCAGATTCCACATACTGTGACTTCACGGCGTGATGACGTAATGTGGTATTAGTATCAGGTTATGCCACTCACAGTAACAGGTGAGTTTTTCTAGGTTCTGTCTGGAGTTCGAGCCTGGGTGTAGCTGAACCTGAAAGTTGTGAGACCTAACTCTGTCTTAGAAGTGAAGTCATGATCTGAGGCGGTTTTCAGTCTTCGGAACATTTCGTACATATATGACGGTGTTTTGTTCAAGGTACAGGTGAAACATTTCCCCAATTATCCAAAAGAGAGGCCCTTACTTTAGTAAGGTGCACAACGGGGAAGTTGACGTAAGGTGTTGCTGTTCAGAAACAAAAACCAATAAAATTGAAGCCGTTTGATGAAATGTATTTATCTTAAATTTATGACTAAGGTACATTCATTATTTGTTTCCTGACGTAGCTAGTTACATGTGTGTTATGACGCATGATATACAACCCTGATGTGTGGCTGTATCTGATGGTGACAGGTGCAGTTCTGGATCACATTCAACGAGCCGCCAATCATCTCCATCCTCGGGTACGGGGAGGGGGCGTTTGCCCCCCAAAAAGAGGGACTTGACCCAGAACCCCTACATCGTAGCCAGGCATCTCATCCTGGCACACGCCAAAACCTACCATCTCTACAATAACACCTACAAAGACTCACAAGAGGGTTCGTTCGTTCGTTCGCTCACTCGATCAAATCATTAAGTCATTGTAATTGTTATATTGTCTTACGCTGCACTCAGGTCTAAGCAAGACAAACAAGAAGTGCTCAAATACTGTTTAACCAAATCCTATTTCATTCAACCTTACTCAAATATATATGAGTGAGTGAATATAGTTCAACCCGCTTTGCTCTAACCTGAGTGAGGCGAAAAACAAAGCTGATCTATTAATGTTTCTGGACAACAGGCATCATTGGTATAACTGTGAACTACGGCTGGGCCGAGCCGAGAGACCCCCTGGACTTGGCGGACATCAATGCAGCTGAGAGGTCTATCGAGTTCTACGGGGGCATCTACGGCCACCCCATCTACATCGACGGCGACTTTCCTCCTGTTGTCAAGCAGCAGGTGGCTGTTAAGAACAAGGCAGCCAACTGGACCAGCTCCCCACGTCTGCCGCCCTTCTCACAGGAGGAGAAGACACTGATCAAAGGTTAGTGTAGGTCTAGGCAGCCAACTGGACCAGGTCCCCACGTCTGCCGCCCTTCTCACAGGAGGAGAAGACACTGATCAAAGGTTAGTGTAGGTCTAGGCAGCCAACTGGACCAGATCCCCACGTCTGCCGCCCTTCTCACAGGAGGAGAAGACACTTATCAAAGGTTAGTGTAGGTCTAGGCAGCCAACTGGACCAGGTCCCCACGTCTGCCGCCCTTCTCACAGGAGGAGAAGACACTTATCAAAGGTTAGTGTAGGTCTAGGCAGCCAACTGGACCAGGTCCCCACGTCTGCCGCCCTTCTCACAGGAGGAGAAGACACTGATCAAAGGTTAGTGTAGGTCTCAGCCGCCAACTGGACCAGATCCCCACGTCTGCCGCCCTTCTCACAGGAGGAGAAGACACTGATCAAAGGTTAGTGTAGGTCTAGGCAGCCATCTGGACCAGATCCCCACGTCTGCCGCCCTTCTCACAGGAGGAGAAGACACTTATCAAAGGTTAGTGTAGGTCTAGGCAGCCAACTGGACCAGCTCCCCACGTCTGCCGCCCTACTCACAGGAGGAGAAGACACTTATCAAAGGTTAGTGTAGGTCTAGGCAGCCAACTGGACCAGACCCCACCAGCTTCTCACGTCTTATCAAAGCTAGGCAGCCCTGGACCAGATCCCCACGTCTGCACAGGAGGAGAAGACACTTATCAAAGGTTAGTGTAGGTCTAGGCAGCCAACTGGACCAGATCCCCACGTCTGCCGCCCTTCTCACAGGAGGAGAAGACACTTATCAAAGGTTAGTGTAGGTCTAGGCAGCCAACTGGACCAGATCCCCACGTCTGCCGTCCTTCTCACAGGAGAAGAAGACACTGATCAAAGGTTAGTGTAGGTCTAGGCAGCCAACTGGACCAGATCCCCACGTCTGCCGCCCTTCTCACAGGAGGAGAAGACACTGATCAAAGGTTAGTGTAGGTCTAAGCAGCCAACTGGACCAGGTCCCCACGTCTGCCGCCCTTCTCACAGGAGGAGAAGACACTTATCAAAGGTTAGTGTAGGTCTAGGCAGCCAACTGGACCAGATCCCCACGTCTGCCGCCCTTCTCACAGGAGGAGAAGACACTTATCAAAGGTTAGTGTAGGTCTAGGCAGCCAACTGGACCAGGTCCCCACGTCTGCCGCCCTTCTCACAGGAGGAGAAGACACTTATCAAAGGTTAGTGTAGGTCTAGGCAGCCAACTGGACCAGATCCCCACGTCTGCCGCCCTTCTCACAGGAGGAGAAGACACTGATCAAAGGTTAGTGTAGGTCTAAGCAGCCAACTGGACCAGGTCCCCACGTCTGCCGCCCTTCTCACAGGAGGAGAAGACACTGATCAAAGGTTAGTGTAGGTCTAAGCAGCCAACTGGACCAGATCCCCACGTCTGCCGCCCTTCTCACAGGAGGAGAAGACACTGATCAAAGGTTAGTGTAGGTCTAAGCATCCAACTGGACCAGGTCCCCACCTCTGCCGCCCTTCTCACAGGAGGAGAAGACACTGATCAAAGGTTAGTGTAGGTCTAAGCAGCCAACTGGACCAGCTCCCCACGTCTGCCACCCTTCTCACAGGAGGAGAAGACACTGATCAAAGGTTAGTGTAGGTCTAGGCAGCAAACTGGACCAGATCCCCACGTCTGCCGCCCTTCTCACAGGAGGAGAAGACACTTATCAAAGGTTAGTGTAGGTCTAGGCAGCCAACTGGACCAGGTCCCCACGTCTGCCGCCCTTCTCACAGGAGGAGAAGACACTTATCAAAGGTTAGTGTAGGTCTAAGCAGCGAACTGGACCAGGTCCCCACGTCTGCCGCCCTTCTCACAGGAGGAGAAGACACTTATCAAAGGTTAGTGTAGGTCTAGGCAGCCAACTGGACCAGGTCCCCACGTCTGCCGCCCTTCTCACAGGAGGAGAAGACACTTATCAAAGGTTAGTGTAGGTCTAAGCAGCGAACTGGACCAGCTCCCCACGTCTGCCGCCCTTCTCACAGGAGGATAAGACACTGATCAAAGGTTAGTGTAGGTCTAAGCAGCAAACTGGACCAACCCCCCACGTCTGCCGCCCTTTTCACAGGAGGAGAAGACACTGTCTTATCAAAGGTTAGTGTAGGTCTAAGCAGCCAATTGGACCAACCCCCCACGTCTGCCGCCATTGTATTGAATGATGGAAATCTGTTAGAAATGTGATCTTCCAAAAGTGTACGTTGAATTTCACAATAACGTAACTACATGAAAACTGCTTCAAAAAGAAGCCAAGCTAACGCTTCAAGTTTAAGATCGATTTGAACACGTGTTTTATTGCAGGGACCTTCGACTTCCTGGGCCTGAACTTCTATACGGCCGCGATACTGTACAACAACGTGCAGAACGTCAGCGATCCTCCCAACATCTACAACGACCAAGACAACGGTGCATACGCGGACCCCAGCTGGCTTGGGTGAGAACCGTGCAGATAGAGAATGTATTTGGTTATGAGCTTGTTCGGCTCCATCAGGGGCGCCATAAGAGCAGCGTTCCCATGGTAACTGAAACTAAGTAAATGTGGTGATAAGTTGCCTTGACGATGAACGCCACAGATCTTCCGACATAGTGGCTGCCTCAGGGAGGGAACATGTTGTTACTAGCTGTGATCCAACTATGTCACACTGTGTCAGTGTGGTCCAAGTGTAACCGAACCTGGATCTGCAGAGGTAGTGGTTAATGGCATGCACATTGACCATAAGTGGGAGCGACGACCCACAGTCAATCAGAGCCTCCATTTTAATCATCCGATCCACGTGCTGTGGCTCTCGACAGCCATGGGAACCTGGGAACTCCTGGGCCTAGATTTTCGAAGCTCTCTTAGCGCTAAGATAGTCGTAAGTTAATGTCAATGTATGGCACTTACGACTATCGTAGCGCTAAGAGAGCTTCGAAAATCTAGGCTCTGCTAGACTACCTTAAGTCTATGTTAAAGTATGGGAGTTACGGTCACCTTAGCGCTAAGATCGCTTTGTACAACGGCACCCTGGACCTTCCCAGCCCGGACATAATCATAATCAGTTCCTGGTTCAGTTCTATATTACCTCTTGGTTCAGACTCAATTATTTACAGACCGTCGCCATGTAGCTGTAATAGTGAGGCGTCAAACTCTCTGTATTACCTATACCTTGACATTTACAAGTAATTAACATTGACTGAAAGGAATGGAGGTTGTGTCTAAGTAGATCATCTGGTGGTTTATTTCAGAAAAGTAATATAGGCCATAGGCCCAGGTTACACTTGAGAATTACAGAGTGAGAAAATATGTTATAATGAGGACTGTCTCAGTAACATAGCTTGATATATATATGCCGATAAATGTTTTAAGATGCTTGCATTTGATGATTGCAGAAGCGTATTAAATTTTTTGGATTGTTGGATATTCATAAAAGTGTAAAGGTATATACAGTCGCCGCAATACTTGATATTTATTACAAATAAGTAAGAAGTGATATTCATCTTCTATATATGGCAATTTACAGATATAACATAATCTGTCATTTCTAGCCTCACCAATATACCTGCCAGTTTCTATTCGTAGTTTATGAGACCCCGATCTAAACTGAGCAAGCGCACGTCTATGTTTAAAATAGCTAACTATGAAGATATAAGATTCAACACCGAACATAGGTTTAAACAACGTGTATCCAAATGTTTTGTGCCTTTTATTAGTGCAGAATGCCAGTCCTGTTGATACGAAACTTTGAGTCTACCAAGAAATTCATTTAAAAATAGCGTTTCACTTCGAACCATCTGTTCTTGCCAAACAAATCCAAATCCATAGACTTCTAATATATGCTTTATCCTAGATGCCCAGCTCCTGCAACCATTACTTTCCATTTGTACAAGCATGTTATAACATTTCTTTACATATCGCTCATTTGACATTTTCAATATTTTACACCAATATTTGATAGACCTGTTGATGGTATAAATATACAATGGATATCTTCCACATTCGCCTCGCACAACATGCGCTGAAACAGAGGATTAAATTCCTAGAAATCGTTTACAAGCTGCTACATGTATAACTTCTATTTCGTTAACAACATTCAGTCCCCATATTTCTGCTCCGTATAATAAAATTGGACAAACTTTGGTGTCGAAAATCTTAAAGAACAAGTGAAAAGGTAATGGCTTAAACATTGACAGTGATCTAAAAATACCAAATAAAACTTGCTTAGCCTGCAGACATACATTTTCTATGTGTTTGGTCCATACTAATGACCTACTGAATAAAATACCTAGATATTTGTACCAGGAAACACATTCTATTTGTACACCATTATAGAACCATTTTTCATACTTCGACAGTCTTCCACCTTTCTTAAAGACTATTACCTTTGTTTTTCCATATTTACTGTCAAACAATTCTCAGAACAAAATATCTTTAGGACATCAAGTCTTTTCTGTAAACCAAACACTGTATCAGAGATAAACACAACATCATCAGCAAATAAAAGAAGAAATAACTGTACAAGTTCAGGATGAAGCTGAATTCCTGGTACGCAACATGCTTCGATTTCATAAGCTAGTTCATTGATAAGAATAGAAAAAAGAAGAGGGCTTAGGATACACCCTTGTCGTAGACCCAATGGACAATCAAAACATGTTGATAAATTATTTTTTTGAATTGACACACGCTTTAACACTTGCATAGAGGGCTTGGATTGATTTAAGCATTTTGCTGCTTACTCCTCTTAGCCTTAAAATATTCCACAGTTTTGTCCTATTCACGAAGTCGAAGGCTTTGGAAAAGTCTATGAAACATGCATACACTTTACCTCTCTTTTTTGAGAGATAGCGTTCAATAATGGACTGTAGGATAAAAATGTTATCAATAGTACTGTAACCTTTTGCGAAACCCCGCTTGCGATTCAACGATTTTTCATAGCAAGAGCACCAAAATGTTAGTCTATTATTCAGAATATGTATGTACAGCTTGCTGAAGATACCTGTAATTGATATACCTCTGTAATTGTTAACTACACTAGAGTCCCTTTTTATGGATAGGTACAATAAGACCCATACACCACGATTCTGGAAAATACGTTCGATCAAACAGAACATTGAATAGCAACTGAATATAGGGAACTAAAATATCCTGTGAGGACTTAAAAAATTCTGATATGATATGATCAGGCCCAGCACTCTTGGATGATTTTAGTTCTTTAATCGCTGCACAGATCTCATCTCTTGTAATAGGAGCGTCAAGTATACTAGGGCTGTCTTGATCTATCTTCTCTTCAATATCATGATCGATAGAATGTAAATCGACATTAAATGTATCCGTATGTTGAAATATGTTTTTGAAATGTGTATACCACGAGTCCATTGTTATGTTGGGAATAGAATTCTTAGATGAAGAAAGCCTGCACATGGTGTTCCAGAACAATTTTGAGTTATTCAGATTTGTAAGTAATTTATCTTTACAGATCCGTAGTAATTTCTTTTTTTAGATCTTAAAGTACAATTGTACTTGTTTCTGGCGAGTACATACTTTCGTAGCGATGCTCCATCATTAAAATGCCTAAAACACCCCAGAAGTCTGTCTTTCTCATGTCTTAGAAATGTGCACTCTTTATCAAACCAAGGTTGTGAATTTCGTCTATTTATGCCATGTTTGCGTTTCATACACTGTGCAGCTTGACATATTGCATTTGTAAGAAATGTTACTGCGTTGTTAATATCTGAAAGAACGTTATCACAAAAGCTTTCAAGCAATCTAGATATATCAGGTGAAAGTAAATTCTCCCTGAATTGGCCGACCTTGTCCACATCCCACTTAAATCTAAACTTCGCACCCTCGCCGAGTGCATCCTGTGTTACATTACCATCCTCGCGTAGAGTGGCGTGTATGCCACGTGACTGAAACGTACATCGTACAGGTAAATGATCAGACTCAGACCTCGTAACGACATCGAATTCGTGACACAATGTGAATAAAGAACTTGAAGTGATAATAAAGTCAATGACACTTGTACCCACTGCTGAAACAAAAGTATATTCACCAACACCTGCATCTGAACCACATCTTCCATTCATGATAATGAGATTGAAGTAAATACAGAGCTGTAGCAATGAACGCCCGTATTTGTTTATCACCATGTCACGCGAATGACGTGATATATTACTGGTATCGTGTATATATGAGCAATGGTCTAAACCAACATGACTCGAAATATCATGTAGAATGTAATCCAACTCTATACCTGTTCTTGCATTAAAATCCCCACCTAGTAGTACATCTACATTGCCAAGCTCTTGAATTATGTCAAGTAATGATTCTTGTAAAATACGTATACCGCACTTAGTGGGCTTGTTGTTATACCATGGAGAACTTTCTGGGTGTATATACACACAAGCCATAAGTATATCCTTATTTGTAGAGAGCATAGCTTTGTCAAACACAATAAAAATTGCATTCTCAGTACATTTGTGTAACTTAATGAACTTCTGTATACTCCTTCTAACTAACACTAGAATGCCGCCTGATAGTCTTCCTGCATTAGATAGTTTCACTGCTGGAACACTATAACGCACATACTCAGGGAAATCATCTTCAAGAGAAGTATGATCATGCCAGGTCTCAGTGAGTCCCACAATGTCATGGTGTGCTAGGAAGGATAAGAAGACATTATCACACACCTTAGAATACAGTCCATTAATGTTCCAAAAAAGGAAACTAATACAAGATTCCATACCTGGGCGGGGCCACGCCCCTATCTGTTATCATTCTGCCCACCCTTCCTATGGGCTCGTAGTCCAGGGCGAGTTTTTGGTATCGCTCTGTCTGTCTGACTGGCTAGCAGACGATTCATCAGCGTCCTTGATGATAAGCTTGCTGTTCTTATAATAACCGAATTTGTTTTCACTTTTCAGTTTCTGTAAAGTTTCCTGTTTTCTTTGTAAGGTCGTTAGAGATCCCATACCCAATACATTTGAGTTTAAGTAATGTGTGTTGTGTTCTCACAGATCTGGGTCCGACTGGCTGAAGGTGACGCCCTTTGGGCTTCGTAAAATGCTGAACTGGTTCAAGTATCATTACAACAACGTACCGGTTTATATAACCGAAAACGGTGTGTCTGACCGGAATGGAACGCTGTATGATGAACACCGTGTTCGATTCCTCCGCCACTACATCAATGAAGTACTGAAAGGTATGATTGTCGTAGGTTGTTCAGAAGCGGAGCTCAATGAATCTCCGAAGCTAAACTCTATACAAGTTACACACTGGTACACGGAACACAGAGAAGGTTTATACAAGCTACACACTGGTACACGGAACACAGAAATGGTTGATAGATGTGTCCTTGTAGTACACGGAAATACCGAGATGGCTGATACACGTAACATAGTTGCATTTTGGAACACATTGAAGCTTGATGCACGTAACTTCACTGTATGAAATAAGCCAGAAACCCAGCCAGACATCAGGGCTGGTAACTACAAAATGTTACCAGCCCAAATGGAATTTGACCAGACCAGGCACCAAGATATGGTGAAGTTACTCAGATGTATGGGACATCATTTTTTGTACCAGACCATCTGGCTGGCTTGCTGTAAATTTGACCGTCCGTCAGAAATCTAGCCCGTCTCGGGCGGTCGGACGGGCCTTATTTCATACACTGACGTAACACGTTCCAGTCAGCCGTCATGTAAATATCATAATCGTCAAATGTCATATTCGATCTTCAGCTATCAAGCTGGACGAGTGCAACGTGAAAGGCTACACGGCGTGGTCTCTGATGGACAACTTCGAGTGGCTGACAGGTTATCGCGAGAAGTTTGGCATCCATCATGTCGACTTCTCAAACCCAGACAGACCCCGCACCCCAAAATCTTCTGCTAAATGGTACACGGGTCTAATAGATGACAACGGCTACCGGTCAGGGTACAGTCGGCCCGGGGGACAGGGCACTGCTGTGAAGACGATTGACGACTTCTACTACGGTACATTTCCTGACAACTTCATCTGGGCAGCAGCATCGTCGTCCTTCCAGATTGAAGGAGCCTTTGATGCTGACGGTGAGTAACATGTGTTATACCGTCACTAGGCGACCAGTAGTACACGTGTTATACCGTCACTAGGCGACCAGTAGTACATGTGTTATACCGTCACTAGGCAACCAGTAGTACACGTGTTATACCTTCACTAGGCGACCAGTAGTACACGTGTCAGTACGTGTAGTACAACGTGTTATACCTTCACTAGGCGACCAGTAGTACACGTGTTATACCTTCACTAGGCGACCAGTAGTACACGTGTTATACCTTCACTAGGCGACCAGTAGTACACGTGTTATACCTTCACTAGGCGACCAGTAGTACACGTGTTATACCTTCACTAGGCGACCAGTAGTACATGTGTTACACGGTGAATGTCATACCTTCACTAGGCGACCAGTAGTACACGTGTTATACCATACCTTCACTAGGCGACCAGTAGTACACGTGTTATACCTTCACACGTGTTATACCTTCACTAGGCGACCAGTAGTAGTAGTACACCAGTAGTAATGTACCTTCACTAGGCGACCAGTAGTACACGTGTTATACCTTCACTAGGCGACCAGTAGTACACGTGTTATACCTTCACTAGGCGACCAGTAGTACACGTGTTATACCTTCACTAGGCGACCAGTAGTACACGTGTTATACCTTCACTAGGCGACCAGTAGTACACGTGTTATACCTTCACTAGGCGACCAGTAGTACATGTGTTATACCTTCACTAGGCGACCAGTAGTACATGTGTTACACAGTGAATGTTATACCTTCACTAGGCGACCAGTAGTACACGTGTTATACCTTCACTAGGCGACCAGTAGTACACGTGTTATACCTTCACTAGGCGACCAGTAGTACACGTGTTACACAGTGAATGTTATACCTTCACTAGGCGACCAGTAGTACACGTTACACTAGGCGACCTTCACTAGGCGACCAGTAGTACATGTGTTATACCTTCACTAGGCGACCAGTAGTACATGTGTTACACAGTGAATGTCATACCTTCACTAGGCGACCAGTAGTACACGTGTTATACCTTCACTAGGCGACCAGTAGTACACGTGTTATACCTTCACTAGGCGACCAGTAGTACACGTGTTATACCTTCACTAGGCGACCAGTAGTACACGTGTTATACCTTCACTAGGCGACCAGTAGTACACGTGTTACACAGTGTATGTTATACCTTCACTAGGCGACCAGTAGTACACGTGTTATACCTTCACTAGGCGACCAGTAGTACACGTGTTACACAGTGAATGTCATACCTTCACTAGGCGACCAGTAGTACACGTGTTACACAGTGAATGTTATACCTTCACTAGGCGACCAGTAGTACACGTGTTACACAGTGACCAGTAGTACACGACCATACCTTCACTAGGCGACCAGTAGTACACGTGTTACACAGTAATGTTATACCTTCACTAGGCGACCAGTGGTACATGTGTCATTACACGTGTGTATACCTTCACTAGGCGACCAGTGGTACGTGTTACACAGTGAATGTATACCTTCACTAGGCGACCAGTAGTACACGTGTTACACGTGTTGTTATACCTTCACTAGGCGACCAGTAGTACGCGTGTTACACAGTGAATGTCATACCTTCACTAGGGCGACCAGTAGTACACGTGTACACACGTGTTATACCTTCACTAGGCGACCAGTAGTACGTGTTACACCAGTAGTACACGTGTCATACCTTCACTTCACCAGTAGTACACGTGTTATACCTTCACTAGTGACCAGTGGTACACGTGTTATATACCTTCACTAGGCAGGGCGACCAGTAGTACGTGTTACACAGTGAATGTCATACCTTCACTAGGCGACCAGTAGTACACGTGTTACACAGTGAATGTCATACCTTCACTAGGCGACCAGTAGTACATGTGTTACACAGTGAATGTCATACCTTCACTAGGCGACCAGTAGTACACACTGGGCGACCAGTGTGTGTTACAAGTGTTATACCTTCACTAGGCGACCAGTAGTACACGTGTTACACAGTGAATGTTATACCTTCACTAGGCGACCAGTAGTACACGTGTTACACAGTGAATGTCATACCTTCACTAGGCGACCAGTAGTACACGTGTTACACAGTGAATGTCATACCTTCACTAGGCGACCAGTAGTACACGTGTTACACAGTGAATGTCATACCTTCACTAGGCGACCAGTAGTACACGTGTTATACCTTCACTAGGCGACCAGTAGTACACGTGTTACACAGTGAATGTTATACCTTCACTAGGCGACCAGTAGTACACGTGTTACACAGTGAATGTTATACCTTCACTAGGCGACCAGTAGTACATGTGTTACACAGTGAATGTTATACCTTCACTAGGCGACCAGTAGTACACGTGTTACACAGTGAATGTAGTACGTATACCTTCACTAGGCGACCAGTAGTACACGTGTTACACAGTGAATGTCATACCTTCACTAGGCGACCAGTAGTACACGTGTTACACAGTGAATGTCATACCTTCACTAGGCGACCAGTAGTACACGTGTTACACAGTGAATGTCATACCTTCACTAGGCGACCAGTAGTACACGTGTTACACAGTGAATGTCATACCTTCACTAGGCGACCAGTAGTACACGTGTTACACAGTGAATGTCATACCTTCACTAGGCGACCAGTAGTACACGTGTTACACAGTGAATGTCATACCTTCACTAGGCGACCAGTAGTACACGTGTTACACAGTAATGTCATACCTTCACTAGGCGACCAGTAGTACACGTGTTACACAGTGAATGTCATAGTAGTCACTAGGCGACCCTTCAGTACACGTGTTACACAGTGAATGTCATACCTTCACTAGGCGACCAGTAGTACACGTGTTACACAGTGAATGTCATACCTTCACTAGGCGACCAGTAGTACACGTGTTACACAGTGAATGTCATACCTTCACTAGGCGACCAGTAGTACACGTGTTACGTGTCGACCAGTAGCTGGGTTACCAGTAGTACACCAGTAGTACACGTGTGAATGTCATACCTTCACTAGGCGACCAGTAGTACATGTTACACAGTGAATGTCATACCTTCACTAGGCGACCAGTAGTACACGTGTTACACAGTGAATGTTATACCTTCACTAGGCGACCAGTACGTGTTACACAGTGAATGTCATACCTTCACTAGGCGACCAGTAGTACACGTGTTACACAGTGAATTCATACCTTCACTAGGCGACCAGTGGTACGTGTACACAGTGAATGTCATACGACCACTAGGCGACCAGTAGTACACGTACACAGTGAATGTCATACCTTCACTAGGCGACCAGTAGTACACGTGTTACACAGTGAATGTCATACCTTCACTAGGCGACCAGTAGTACACGTGTTACACAGTGAATGTTATACCTTCACTAGGCGACCAGTAGTACACGTGTTACACAGTGAATGTTATACCTTCACTAGGCGACCAGTAGTACACGTGTTACACAGTGAATGTCATACCTTCACTAGGCGACCAGTAGTACACGTGTTACACAGTGAATGTCATACCTTCACTAGGCGACCAGTAGTACACGTGTTACCTTCACTAGTGCGATGTCATACCTTCACTAGGGCGACCAGTAGTACACGTGTTATACCTTCACTAGGCGACCAGTAGTACACGTGTTATACCTTCACTAGGCGACCAGTAGTACACGTGTTACACAGTGAATGTCATACCTTCACTAGGCGACCAGTAGTACACGTGTTACACAGTGAATGTCATACCTTCACTAGGCGACCAGTAGTACACGTGTTACACAGTGATACCTTCACCTTCACTAGGCGACCAGTAGTACACGTGTTACATACCCTTCACTGGGCGCGACCAGTAGTTACGTGTTCCTACAGTACACGTTATACCTTCACTGTGAATGTCATACCTTCACTAGGCGACCAGTAGTACACGTGTTACAGTGAACTAGAACCTTCACCAGGGTTATACCTTCACTAGTAGTAGTACGTGTTATATACCTTCACTAGGCGACCAGTAGTACACGTGTTATACCTTCACTAGGCGACCAGTAGTACACGTGTTACACAGTGTTATACCTTCACTAGGCGACCAGTAGTACACACGTGTTATACCTTCACTGAACCAGTAGTACACGTACCTTCACTAGGCGACCAGTAGTACACACAGTGTTTATACCTTCACTAGGCGACCAGTAGTACACGTGTTACACAGTGAATGTCATACACTTCACTGGGCGACCAGTAGTACACGTGTTACACAGTGAATGTCATACCTTCACTAGGCGACCAGTAGTACACGTGTTTGCACACTGGCGACCAGTGTACACGTGTTGTTATACCTTCACTGAGGCGACCAGTAGTACACGTGTTACACAGTGAATGTCATAATACACGTGTTACACAGTGAATGTCATACCTTCACTAGGCGACCAGTAGTACACGTGTTACACAGTGAATGTCATACCTTCACTAGGCGACCAGTAGTACACGTGTTACACAGTGAATGTCATACCTTCACTAGGCGACCAGTAGTACACGTGTTACACAGTGAATGTCATACCTTCACTAGGCGACCAGTAGTACACGTGTTTCCTGGATGTGAGTGTTGTTGTTTGAGGGTGAGGGTCAGCAACACGTGTTACATAGTGAATGTCATATCTTCACTAGACGACCAGTAGTACACGTGTTACACAGTGAATGTCATACCTTCACTAGGCGACCAGTAGTACACGTGTTACACAGTGAATGTGTTACGACCAGTGACATGTCATGGATGTTCACTTGAGGCGACCAGTCAGTACACGTGTTACACAGTGAATGTCATACCTTCACTAGGCGACCAGTAGTACACGTGTTACACAGTGAATGTCATACCTTCACTAGGCGACCAGTAGTACACGTGTTACACAGTGAATGTCATACCTTCACTAGGCGACCAGTAGTACACGTGTTACACAGTGAATGTCATACCTTCACTAGGCGACCAGTAGTACACGTGTTACACAGTGGATGTGAGTACACGTGTTCCTGTGTGAGTATTGTTGTTTGAGGGTGAGGGTCAGCAACATGTGTTACACAGTGAATGTCATACCTTCACTAGGCGACCAGTAGTACACGTGTTTCCTGGATGTGAGTATTGTTGTTTGATGCTGACGGTGAGTAACATGTGTTACACAGTGAATGTCATACCTTCACTAGGCGACCAGTAGTACACGTGTTACACAGTGAATGTCATACCTTCACTAGGCGACCAGTAGTACACGTGTTACACAGTGAATGTCATACCTTCACTAGGCGACCAGTAGTACACGTGTTTCCTGGATGTGAGTATTGTTGTTTGATGCTGACGGTGAGTAACATGTGTTACACAGTGAATGTCATACCTTCACTAGGCGACCAGTAGTACACGTGTTTCCTGGATGTGAGTATTGTTGTTTGAGGGTGAGGGTCAGCAACATGTGTTACACAGTGAATGTCATACCTTCACTAGGCGACCAGTAGTACACGTGTTTCCTGGATGTGAGTATTGTTGTTTGATGCTGACGGTGAGTAACATGTGTTACACAGTGAATGTCATACCTTCACTAGGCGACCAGTAGTACACGTGTTACACAGTGAATGTCATACCTTCACTAGGCGACCAGTAGTACACGTGTTACACAGTGAATGTCATACCTTCACTAGGCGACCAGTAGTACACGTGTTACCTGGATGTGAGTATTGTTGTTTGAGGGTGAGGGTCAGCAACATGTGTTACACAGTGAATGTCATACCTTCACTAGGCGACCAGCTGGTAAATATGTGTTCTGTAATGGCGCAAGGATAAATGAAAGCCTTCTCTCGTCACGTTGAGGTTGTGAAGCCGTTCTCTGATGTCCAATATGTGCCTAACTATCAATCTGAAAGACTCTTTGTATCTGTCTCCAGGTCGCGGTGAGAGCATCTGGGACAACTTCGCCCGTGTCGACAACAACGACAATGGAAGGATTGCATGCGACAGTTATCACAAATACCAAGAGGACGTCAATCTCCTAAAGAACATGGGGGTAAGTAGGCCTACAGGTATACCAAATACCAAGAGGACGTCAATCTCCTGAAGAACATGGGTCAAGTGGATCTACAAGTATCACGAATACCAAGACGACGTCAATCTCCTAAATAACATGGGGGTAAGTAGGCCTACAGTTATCACAAACACCAAGACGACGTCAATCTCCTGAAGAACGTGGGGGTAAGTAGGCCTACTGTTAACACAAATTTCCAAGACGACGTCAATCTCCTGAAGAACATGGGGTTAAGTGGATCTACAGTTATCACAAATACCAAGACGACGTCAATCTCCTAAAGAACATGGGGGTAAGTAGACCTACTGTTAACACAAATACCAAGACGACGTCAATCTTCCTAAAGAACATGGGGTTAAATGGATCTACAGTTATCACAAATACCAAGACGACGTCAATCTCCTAAATAACATGACGACGTCAATCTCCTAAATAACATGGGGGTATGTAGGCCTACAGTTATCACAAATACCAAGAGGACGTCAATCTCCTAAAGAACATGAGGGTAAGTGGATCTACAGTTATCACAAATACCAAGACGACGTCAATCTCCTAAAGAACATGGGGGTAAGTAGGCATACTGTTAACACAAATACCAAGACGACGTCAATCTCCTAAAGAACATGGGGGTAAGTTGGCCTACAGTTATCACAAACACCAAGACGACGTCAATCTCCTGAAGAACATGGGGGTAGGTCTCCAGAATGACTTTCAGCTTTGGCTTGGGGGAATATTTTGTGAAGGCGGTTGTGTTGTTTGCCAAGTATTTTTATGTTACCTAACCTAGAATTGTTTCAAATAACCCAAACGTCATCCTCCCAAAATATCCAAAGCTTGTAGGTCTGTAGACTGACACACCGATATCGCCCATGTGATCTGAAGACGTCACGTATGGCACGATACATTTAATAACTGAAAATGCCGATGCCCTACAGTACGAGAAGGGTACTGGCTCATATTTGGAGGGATTTAATTATACGTTCCCCTTTTGCTCACCTTGTTGCAGGTCAGTCACTATCGGTTTTCCATCGCCTGGTCTAGAATATTCCCTGATGGAACTCTCCGGTCCAAGAACCAAGGTGGAATCAATTACTACCACCGGCTGATTGACGCCCTGCTGGTGGCGGGTATCAAACCTATGGTAACTCTGTACCACTGGGACCTGCCACAAGCACTACAGAACTGGGGAGGCTGGACCAACCACTCCATCATCAACAACTTCAGGGACTATGCAGACGTGTGCTTTGAAGAATACGGAAGCAAGGTTTATTGTTTTGGATCATGTTCTATTCTTGTTCTTCAGAGGTTCTTAATTTCATAAACGTTTTCAGTACTCTGCAGAATATCTGCACGTGCTCATCAGGCAATTCAAAACATTTTCAGCACAATCGCTCTCGCACGACTGGATGTCGTGTCCATCACTTGATTGTCTTGATTGTCCCTACAGATGGCACCAGTCATAAACACATCCAAAGGCTTGTCAACTGCTCACCTGAAACACAGTTGGAAACGAATAGTACAGGTCAAAATAGGACCCGGAAATTGTATCAGACGTCATTTCTGTCATTAGTGTACCATTTGGAAATGTCCCTCAAATGTCATCCATATAACTTGTTGAAAGCTTTACTGGCCTTTAACATTGTCACCTTGCTCCTCAGACAACCGCTGAACATGCTTGAGTCTGTAGCTGTTGCAATATTGCTCGACATGAAGGGGAAGTTAGTGTTTGGAAAGTTGAAATCTTTGCGATGGGAAAACAGCCAGACCAGAAACTGTGTCGGGCATACATGGATTACAGCTGCCGGTAAATGAAAGCTGATGAATCCCAAGTTTATATAGATAATTATTTTGAATAGATTCATATTACAGTGAACGCCTCTAATGCCGTGATTCCAACATTAACTGTAGTAACTACTTCCATCACACCGTTGAGTGCAGGTAGATTTCTGGATCACCTTCAACGAGCCATGGGTGTTCCTTGTACTGGGACTAGGGACAGGCGACATGGCCCCGGGTCACAGGAATATCGGGGACGAGCCCTACCAGGGGGGCCACAACGTCCTGCTGGCCCATGCCGAAGCCTACCATCTGTTTGACAACAAATACAGAGCCCAGTATCCGACAGGTAAACAGACTTACCTGGTTGGATGTTTGTCGGTTAAGGGTACCCTTGTATATTTAGTGTCAACTGTCATCTGCTTCTCGGTCTGTGTATGCGAGTATATGTTTGTGTTTGGTGGTTGATGGTCGTGTGATACGGGTAATCTCCAGACTGGGGGTACACAGGTGTACAGACTTAATATTTATGTAAGCTTGGTGTGATGGGAGCTGTACCTCGAGGACACGTCGTGTTCAGACTTGCCGGGGAGTGCGTAATGCCGCTTCAGCATCTTACAAACACATATACACAACTAGAATATACATGTATTGCTATGAACGACCACACAAGGTCAATGAATGATAAAATATATTAAAACAGCATATATATTTCACAACCAAACCATTTCGTTTGGTACTTCATGTTAGTAGTGTTTGGGTTGTTGCCCAACTCCGGTACTCCTTATTATGATTCAATAATACTGGATTTTAATAAGGAGTACCAGAGTTAGGCAACAGCCCAAACACTGCTAAAGTACTGTCGGAAATAGAAAAAACTGTATTTTCTCATTTATCTCTACAATTTATGTAGTTGATATGTGCAAGTGTGAAATATCTGTTAAACTAAGTTCGGCCTTACTTCTAAGTCCAAAACGATTTATTTGGAACAGGCCATGGCTTTATGCAAATTAGTGTGCGACGATATTGTATTACAAAGGACACTTTTAAATGCCCTATTTGAAATTAGACGTAGCTTCATTATAAACGATAGCTGGCGTAAAAAATAATAACTTTCATGCTGAAACTATTAAGGATGTAGCTACCATGACGTCTCACTGTCACTATAAAAAGAAACAGGGTAGGAGGAGTCGTCTCAAAACCTGGGGTCGGGCTTGGGGATAGAGATATCAGCTAAGATAAGATATTCCTTTAGGGCAATTATACTGGGGAGGTACACGGCATGTCATAACAATTTACAAATTATATCCCGTCCTGTCGATCTTCGCGATCGGGTGGTCATGCCACCTAATACATTCAATACAATGTGTCTCTATAGTTATCAGGTATCATACTCTTTTACATATCTCAACATAAACTTCATGAAAGAAAGACACGTAAGATGTTAATCAATAAATGAGGCATAGTCATCACATGAAAAAGCACAAAATATCTTTGAGATGACCCCTTGTGCCTGTAGGCAGCAGGTGCATTTCATGCCAGGTGAGTCGACGGTCCGTCGTCATACCTGGCTGAGCGACCTAATTGCCATCTATAGGCTGATCTATTTTATTCAGCAGCTATTCGTATTTTGTCTAAGTTTTGCCCGAAATATGAGTAAACACGTATATCTGGATATTCTATTACGCATCCCACGGAATGCCCAGTTAGGCCGAAGTGATTTATCTCGACATTTGCTATTTGCAGTTGTGTAAATTTCAGGGATACAGAGAACAGCCTAAAACAGTTTTTTTTTCTATTTCCAACAGTACTTTAACACTAAGTACCAAACCAATTTCCACAGTTCGGCATTTCCAGCGGGTAACATAGAAAATGTTACTCGCTCGTAAGCCGGGTACATTGATTGACCTCAGCCAATCAGAAAACGACATTTATGTATGCAGAAAGATAATAAGTAGTGATACATTCCTGCCATCAAACTCGTCCACAGTAACTGGAACCAGAAACACAACTACCACAACACTGTTTGACAACACAATGCCATATGACAGTGTACAATCACCGTTCTCCAAGGTGAATATATTCCTGTGCATAGATTTTATCCCATCTGCAGGCCAAGTTGGTATTACCCTCAACATCGACTGGGCAGAGCCAAAAGACCCCCTCAACCCTGCACATATTGAAGCATCGGAGTGGGCATTGCATATGTTTCTTGGATGGTTTGCCAACCCCATATATGGTAATGGAGACTACCCGGATGTCATGAAGCGGAGAATTGATGCCGTCAGCGCAGCGCAGGGATTTACCCAGTCCAGGCTTCCTGCATTCACAGAAGAACAGAAAGTGTTCATCAATGGTGATTATACTTATTATATAACATAATTTTCTTATAATAATTTTAATTACTTGTCGGTGTCCGTTTCAGAAGTAGTCTTTTCCAGTCCAAGTTAGCGTCGGTTTTAGTACTGCATGTCGGCTTTAGTACTGTGTGAGGGCTTTAGAATTGCGTGTGGGCTTTAGTACTGAGTGCCGCTTTAGTACTGTGGGTGGGCTTTAGTACTGCGTGTCGGCTTTGGTACTACGTGTCCGCTTTAGTACTGCGCGTCGGCTTTATTACTGAGTGTCGGCTTTAGTACTTTGTGTCGGCTTTATTACTGTGGGTGGGCTTTAGTACTGAGTGCCGCTTTAGTACTGTGGGTGGGCTTTAGTACTGAGTGCCGCTTTAGTACTGCGCGTCGGCTGTATTACTGAGTGTCGGCTTTAGTACTGCGTGTCGGCTTTATTACTGAGTGTCGGCTTTAGTACTGCATGTCGGCTTTAGTACTGCATGTCGGCTTTAGTACTGAGTGTCGGCTTTAGTACTGCATGTCGGCTTTAGTACTGAGTGTCGGCTTCACTACTGAGTGTAGGCTTTAGTACAGTGTCGGCTTTACTACTGCATGTCGGCTTTAGTACTTCGTGTCGGCTATAGTACTGAGTGTAGGTTTTAGTACTGAGTGTCGGCTATAGAACTGAGTGTATGTTTTAGTACGTCGTGTCGGCTATTGTACTGAGTGTAGGTTTTAGTACTGATTGTTGGCTATAGTACTGAGAGTGGGTTTTAGTACTGAGTGTCGGCTTTAGTACTGAGTGTCGGCTATAGTACTGAGTGTAGGTTTTAGTACTGCGTGTCGGCTTTAGTACTGAGTGTCGGCTATAGTACTGCGTGTCGGCTATCGTGCTGAGTGTAGGTTTTAGTACTGCGTGTCGGCTATAGTACTGAGTGTAGGTTTCAGGACTGAGTGTCGGCTATAGTACTGAATGTAGGTTTTAGTACTGCGTGTCGGCTATTGTACTGATTGTAGGTTTTAGTACTGCGTGTCGGCTATAGTACTGAGTGTAGGTTTTAGTACTGTGTGTTGGCTTAAGTACTGAGTGTAGGTTTTAGTACTGAGTGTCGTCTTTAGTACTGAGTGTAGGTTTAAGTACTGTGTGTCGGCTTTAGTACTGAGTGTCGGCTATAGTACTGCGTGTCGGCTATAGTACTAAGTGTAGGTTTTAGTACTGTGTGTCGGCTATAGTACTGAGTGTAGGTTTGAGTACTGAGTGTCGGCTATAGTACTGAGTGTAGGTTTAAGTACTGCGTGTCGGCTTTAGTACTGAGTGTCGGCTATAGTACTGCGTGTTTGCTATAGTACTGAGTGTAGGTTTTAGTACTGCGTGTCGGCTATAGTACTGCGGGTCGGCTATAGTACTGAGTGTAGGTTTTAGTACTGAGTGTCGGCTATAGTACTGAGTGTAGGTTTTAGTACTGAGTGTCGGCTATAATACTGTGTGTAGATTTTAGTACTGAGTGTCGGCTATAGTACTGAGTGTATGTTTTGGTACTACGTGTCGGCTATAGTACTGAGTGTCGGCTTTATTACTGAGTGTAGGTTTTAGTACTGAGTGTAGGTTTTAGAACTGAGCGTCGCTGTAGGTGCTAGTGAGTGTCACTTTCTCCCCCTTGTTGCAGCCACGCCAAGCACAGGCCTCTGATCCAGGTATACGGCATTACGACAGAACGCCCTGATCAGTTGTAACCAACCTGTATTTCAGAATATTTTTACAACCAAACACAATGTAGGCCTGCCTCGTTTTTGAAACTCAGACAGGATGAAGATATCCCGGTTTAGTCATTCTGAATAGCACTGATGGTAACCTTTGGATAATGGTATCGGTGGTAACTGCACATCTGTGTCTCACCTGTAGATCACAGTACTGAGTGGGTATGGTTTTATGCCGCATTTAGTCATATTCCAATTAGGGACACCAGACATGGGGTGCTACAGGGATATTACTGAGTGCATGTTAATTTTCTCCAAGGCACCTGGGATTTCTTCGGTTTGAACCACTACACCACCCAGTACGTGAGCAAACAGAACGAGAGTCTAGCTGGAGAAAGTGACCCTAACTACTTCAACGACAGAGGAGTGGACACGGAGTTCGATCCACAGTGGATTAAGTAAGACACCATGGGATTCTTTGTCAGTGAGTGAGTGAGTTGGGTGTTACGCCGCTTTTAACAATATCCCAGCAATATCACGGCGGGTGACCCCAGAAATGGGCTTCATACATTGTACCCATGTGGGGAACCTAAACAGGGCATTCGGCGTTACGAGCGAACACGGGGCAACTGCCCCGATCCATTGTCAGAAACAGGATATGCTCAGAATACTCTGTAGCCTAACACATATGACAAAATCAACATGAAACCGTTTGGACTTTGAACAGAGTGTTGATTTAAGCAGATGATGATGAAACATATTTTTAAGAAATAGTATAATTTTCGGCCCAGTCAATTTAACCTCTTCTCACACAGATCGGGTTCCACGTGGCTGCGGGTTGTTCCGTGGGGTTTACGGAAGGTTCTGAACTGGATCAGAAACAAATACGGAGATGTCCCGATCTACATCACGGAGAACGGCGTGTCAGACAGGAGCGGCGTCCTTGACGACCAGCACCGCGTACACTTCTACAGATACTACATCAACGAGGTGATGAAAGGTGAGATCAGTCTTAGGACCACAACAATACAAGGATTTATTCATGTTGATCGCTGATTACCCAGAACGTTAGCGTCAGAACGTCTTGTCTTAAAAAGTCATTAGAAGGTATTGTTCACTGTCAATGTGAAGGTCATAGAACTGACGAGGTGTAAGCTTGACGGGCGTTCTGTGTCCAAATCAGTGTATCCCCCGGTGTAGGACAACATCGAAACAAATTTAGTAATATGAACCATTCGAATATCTTTCAATCATCAACAGTAAGAGAGGGACACTAATGGTGAGAGATGTTTTCTTCCGCCGTTTTGTAGAAAACTACGATTAACCATTAACTGTCATTGCATTTATAAATCATAAAGTTGTGTTTTCTGCAGGTTACATACTGATGTCCATGTTGTTTCTGCAGGTTACATACTGATGTCCATGTTGTTTTCTGCAGGTTACATACTGATGTCAATGTTGTTTCTGCAGGTTACATACTGATGTCCATGTTGTGTTTTCTGCAGGTTACATACTGATGTCCATTATGTGTTTTCTGCAGGTTACATACTGATGTCCATGTTGTGTTTTCTGCAGGTTACATACTGATGTCCATGTTGTTTTTCTGCAGGTTACATACTGATGTCCATGTTGTTTCTGCAGGTTACATACTGATGTCCATGTTGTTTCTGCAGGTTACATACTGATGTCCATGTTGTGTTTTCTGCAGGTTACATACTGATGTCCATGTTGTTTCTGCAGGTTACATACTGATGTCCATGTTGTGTTTCCTGTAGGTAACATGCTGTTGTTCATGTTGTGTTTTCTGCAGGTTACATACTGGTGTCAATGTTGTGTTGCAGCAATCAACCTGGATAAGGTCAACATCAAGTGCTACACGGCCTGGAGCATCTTGGACAACTTCGAGTGGGCCAGAGGATACACAGAGAGATTCGGACTTCACTACGTCGACTTCGACGACCCTAACCTCACACGTACACCAAAGGCTTCAGCAGGGTTCTACAGACATGTGAGATTACTCTGGCACTGAGATATTCACTGATATACACACAACACCCCACCCCCGTAAGGCACACTTGGTGTGTTCCTATAAACCTGTTTAGTATCTGAACACATGAAATCAGCTCTCACAACCAAAACACTGCCAAAACACATCACCACTATAATTTAAGAATGAAACGAGCTTTATGTGTCTTTGGGTGTCTAAACTCTTTCAATTACTGATTCCATGGAGAACACCTACATCTGACAACACTCCAGGTAACGGTGAAGTAGCGTTGATATCTTCTCCTCACAGGTGATACAAGACAACGGGTTTAAGAAAGGTGCACTCACTGACCCCAACAGACAACAACTTCCGCATGAAGACGAGTTCCTGTATGGATATTTCCCAGAAGACTTTGCGTGGGGTGCATTCAGTTCCGCTCTGCAGACGGAGGGTGGCGAAAACTTGCATGGTGAAGCTTTCATTGTTTGTATACTCTCATTACCCTTTCACCTAAAGAACAGAATATGGGTTTTACACGCCTTTGAAGAGTGTTTTCATAAAATCACGGAATATCAGGTTTATGTGGGTGGGGAATCTGAAGCTCTCAGATGGTTACCACACTGGTGAAACACACTACCTACTGTCCTGTGCTGATACACCCGGGACAATCGGGATTCCGCTCATAGGTTTCAGGGACGCACAAGGGACGCAACTCTGAGTTGCGAGTGTCTGTGCCTCACACGACTGGGCCTCCCATGACAACGTGTAACGAAGAGTTGCTCCATATGTTATCAAGCCTTAGGTTATCAACTTCCGGGCAGCCTTCACTGTGGCCCCAACTGTACCTAATAACACACCATCTTGTTATCTCATTTAGTTCAGTATAGTCAAGTAGCTGGACCATTATTGAATGCAGCATTAAACAACACGGGAACAGATGTTTATACTTGTGGATATATACAAGATTGGTCTTTGTGATCAGGTGACCATGTATTTTGTAGAGAGATATATACATGTGTATGTTGTAGCCAGAACTGTATCTGTATCTGACAGGGAGAGGTGACAGTCTGTGGGACGGGTTGACACGAGCTGAAGACGGCCCCATGTCGTACCAACACTACATGGCAGATATACAGGCTCTGAAAGATATCGGGGTAAGGAACGGATCATCTGAATAACGACAATCGTCTCACCACCATTGTGTCATCGACGCCTAGTTCACCTAAACGTAATTAGACTGAGCTATTGTTGCAAACGTCTGTGGGTTTACGGGTATGAACCGCGAAGTTACACAAGATACTGATCATGTTTGTTAAGAGCAGTGTGTCTGATGTCAAAGTCGCGTGTCTCTGCAGGCCACGGTGTACCACCTCTCTCTGTCCTGGCCTCGGATCCTGCCACATGGCGACTCTGAGAACATAAACCGTGAGGGCATCAAGTTCTACCACAAGTTGCTGATGGCCATCACGGAGGCGGGCATCCAGCCTATTATCGCCCTACATCACTGGGACGTCCCTGCTGTCTACACCGATGGCTGGCTTAACGCAGATATTGTAGAAGCCTTTGAGAACTACTCAAGAATATGTTTCAGAGAGTTCGGCAGAAAGGTCAGTCGGAAAATAATGATAATGATGGTAATGATGATAATGATTAATAATGTCAGTGTTGATAAATAATAAATAAGACAGGCATTACCACTCTGTCAAGGGAATTCCATGTATAGAGTTGCGTCCCTTGGTCATAGTAGGATCGATTGGCCTTCCAGAATCATTGAGTTTTTAGCCGCCGTGATTGGTCTGTGTTGCCCAGCATCGGGTTATACTATTTCCAGCTCCATTCTTCCCTCATTCATCTCATTGGTACACTGTTTGAAGCCAATCATTCTTCTTAGCTGCTTATCATCACTCCAATGAAATCTTTTCGACACACGTCCTCTTTACCATCAGCCTCCCAACTCGCCCCGTGCCTACTGCATCTTCGAATGAGCATGACGGCAACAGGACACATTTGTCTTGTGTTTGCGGGAACATCCCTGAAAACATTGCAGTGATTCAAACACACTGTTCCTCTTTGTTGTTGCTCCGGCAAAACTGCTACAAACTTTATCACATAGCGTGCATTGTAGCTGTCTGGGTACTTGGTATAGCCCCATCTGTGGGACGGGAGGAATTGTGGGAAGGAGGACACCGATTTGCTGGGGGCTCAACATCGCTGAAGAGGACCGTGAGCTTGGCCAAAGATTACCGTCAGCTTGACCAAAGAGGACCGTCAGCTTGCATTGCTAACCCAATTGCTTCCCCTCCCTGTGGAGGTTCCAAATTGTCACATCGAAGATGAATACTTCTCCATCTCTGCTCCGATGCTCCGGCACAGTCTTAGATACCTTCCTCATCGTCTATCAACGATAATCAATGGACTGTTAAACATATGGGAAGATATGACATAGAGATATAGAGCAATGAGACAATGGGTAACGATTCCAATGGTTTCGGATATCTTGATGTTGTCTGGTAATCGGAGGTGATGTGATCATAATCTCGAAAGACTGCCCACAGAAACGGGAGTATACTTTCCAGAACCGGAATTGACGTCATAGGCCAGATATAGCTTCATAGAAATGCCAGTTTGGGTGGAATGTCTTGGTGTTGTACATTGCCGTACGTCTCAGTGTAGTTCATGTCTGCTTGTTCATTACAGTGGTAGAAACAATAGATCCAATTATACCCCATAATTCAGGCACAGTTATCAATGTGTATAATTCTTGGAATGACATATCCCAGATATATCTGGTGGATGACGGTACATAAAAGAAGTGTCGTATTCAGAGACATGGCATACATTATACACGACAGCCATGTTTGATTCCTGTTGTATTCCCGCCGTGACACTGCTAGCGTCAGACTGAAGCCTCTCACTCACTCACTCTGTGCTTGTGTGTGGCTGCAAATATAACCACCATGACCCAATAACGACGGATCGATCTCAGGTGTGTATCTGTCTACTCAATAGGTGAAAATGTGGATTCCTCTGAATGATCCGAACGAAATGGCGTTGCTAGGATACGAGCAGGGTAGCCACGCCCCTGGTATTAAAGGTGAAGGTTATGCGGCTGCACACAACATGCTGAAGGCTCACGCTTCTGTGTACCGACTATACCAGCGTGAGTTTAGACAGTCCCATGGAGGTGAGTGATACCAGCGTGAGTTCAGACATTCCCAGGAAGGTGAGTAATACCAGCGTGAGATCAGACAGTCCCAGGGAGGTGAGTTCAGACATTCCCAGGGAGGTGAGTAATCCCAGCGTGAGATCAGATAGTACCAGGGACGGGAGTGATAGCAGCGTGAGTTCATACATTCCTAGGGAGGTGAGTAATACCAGCGTGAGTTCAGACATTCCCAGGGAGGTGAGTGGTACCAGCGTGAGTTCAAACAGTCCCAGGGAGGTGAGCGATACCATCGTGACATCAGACAGTCCCAGGGAGGCGAGTGATACCAGCTTGAGTTCAGACATTCCCAGGGAGATGAGTGATACCAGCGTGAGTTCAGACATTCCCAGGGAGGTAAGTGATAGCAGCGTGAGTTCAGACATTCCCGGGAAGGTGAGTGATAGCAGCGTGAGTTCAGACAGTACCAGGGAGGGGGGTGATAGCAGAGTGAGTTCAGACAGTCCCAGGGAGGTGAGTGATACCAGCGTGAGTTCAGACATTCTCAGGGAGGTGAGTAATACCATTGTGAGTTCAGACAGTTCCAGGGACGTGAGTGATTCCAGCGTGAGTTCAGACAGTTCCAGGGAGGGGAGTGATAGCAGAGTGAGTTCAGACATTCCACGGAAGGTGAGTGATACTAGCTTGAGTTCAGACATTCACGTGTATGGACATGTGAGAAACTTCATTTCAGCACACTCAAGTATTTTGTTGTGATGGTTTGTACTGTTCTTTCGACTATGTTATTTTTCGTTCAAAGAACAGTAGACAATTAGAAAATGAATGTTACTTATTGAACATAATATTGTTTGCCTTTATAGGCAAGGTCGGATTGGCAGTTCGCTCTGCGTGGTTTATGCCGAAGACGTCACGTGACCCTGGAGACTGGTTCGGGCAAGCTCTATCGTTTGCCTACAAATCTGATTGGATGGCTGATCCAGTATTTTTAGATGGGAATTACCCGGCTGTAATGAGGCAGGAAGTACGTTTGAGGAGCGAATACCGTGACATGACGTCGAGGCTGCCGGTTCTTACAACAGACGAGCAGAAAATGATAAAAGGTTCGTGGTAACACAATTATTAATGTACCATCAGAAGAGTTCTTACTTTATTTAAACAAATGATCAAATGAATATATACATTAAATTGGACTGCTTCCAGAAAGTAACTTATTTCTTGTTCACAGTCTGACAATGTAGACTATCTTTTGATGGGCAGTTAACACGAGTGACAGATCGACTATATACTGGTAAACTGGTAAACTGTCACAAATATCTCTTCAAAGACATTGTCTTTTAGATCATGTCTCCTTCCTCGTGTTTACATGACAGCATTACGTTTGTGGGTTGTTACATGGTTAGATGACAGCACTGTATTGCTGTAGTCTGATACCAGCTGCCACTGCGATGACCGGAGTGATGTACAATATATGGTACTGTTACCATTAATGTGAACAATGTAAATATATGACAGTATCACATAATACTTGACAGATGTTAATTGACAGATGTGATATACAATATATGACCATGTTACATAAAGCTTGACCAGTGTTACTTGACTTCTGTGATATACACTATATGACCATGTTACATAAAGTTTGACCAGTGTTACTTGACTTCTGTGATATACAATATATGACCATGTTACATAAAGCTTGACCAGTGTTACTTGACTTCTGTGATATACAATATATGACCATGTTACATAAAGCTTGACCAGTGTTACTTGACTTCTGTGATATACAATATATGACCATGTTACATAAAGCTTGACCAGTGTTACTTGACTGCTGTGATATACAATATATGACCATGTTACATAAAGCTTGACCAGTGTTACTTGACTTCTGTGATATACAATATATGACCATGTTACATAAAGCTTGACCAGTGTTACTTGACTTCTGTGATATACACTATATGACCATGTTACATAAAGTTTGACCAGTGTTACTTGACTTCTGTGATATACAATATATGACCATGTTACATAAAGCTTGACCAGTGTTACTTGACTTCTGTGATATACAATATATGACCATGTTACATAAAGCTTGACCAGTGTTACTTGACTTCTGTGATATACAATATATGACCATGTTACATAAAGCTTGACCAGTGTTACTTGACTTCTGTGATATACAATATATGACCATGTTACATAAAGCTTGACCAGTGTTACTTGACTTCTGTGATATACACTATATGACCATGTTACATACAGCTTGACCAGTGTTAATGACTTCTGTGATATACAATATATGACCATGTTACATAAAGCTTGACCAGTGTTACTCGACTGCTGTGATATACAATATATGACCATGTTACATAAAGCTTGACCAGTGTTACTCGACTGCTGTGATATACAATATATGACCATGTTACATAAAGTTTGACCAGTGTTACTTGACTTCTGTGATATACACTATATGACCATGTTACATAAAGCTTGACCAATGTTACTTGACTGCTGTGATATAAAATATATGACCATGTTACACAAAGCTTGACCAGTGTTACTTGACTTCTGTGATATACACTATATGACCATGTTACATAAAGTTTGACCAGTGTTACTTGACTTCTGTGATATACACTATATGACCATGTTACATAAAGTTTGACCAGTGTTACTTGACTTCTGTGATATACAATATATGACCATGTCACATAAAGCTTGACCAGTGTTACTTGACTTCTGTGATATACAATATATGACCATGTTACATAAAGCTTGACCAGTGTTACTTGACTTCTGTGATATACACTATATGACCATGTTACATAAAGTTTGACCAGTGTTACTTGACTTCTGTGATATACAATATATGACCATGTTACATAAAGCTTGACCAGTGTTACTTGACTGCTGTGATATACAATATATGACCATGTTACTTAAAGTTTCACCAGTGTTACTTGACTGCTGTGATATACAATATATGACCATGTTACATAAAGCTTGACCAGTGTTACTTGACTTCTGTGATATACAATATATGACCATGTTACATAAAGCTTGACCAGTGTTACTTGACTTCTGTGATATACACTATATGACCATGTTACATAAAGCTTGACCAGTGTTACTTGACTTCTGTGATATACAATATATGACCATGTTACATAAAGTTTGACCAGTGTTACTTGACTTCTGTGATATACAATATATGACCATGTTACACAAAGCTTGACCAGTGTTACTTGACTTCTGTGATATACACTATATGACCATGTTACATAAAGTTTGACCAGTGTTACTTGACTTCTGTGATATACACTATATGACCATGTTACATAAAGTTTGACCAGTGTTACTTGACTTCTGTGATATACAATATATGACCATGTCACATAAAAGACCATGTTACAAAGACCAGCTTGACCAGTGTTACTTGACTTCTGTGATATACAATATATGACCATGTTACATAAAGTTTGACCAGTGTTACTTGACTTCTGTGATATACAATATATGACCATGTTACATAAAGCTTGACCAGTGTTACTTGACTTCTGTGATATACAATATATGACCATGTTACATAAAGCTTGACCAGTGTTACTTGACTTCTGTGATATACAATATATGACCATGTTACATAAAGCTTGACCAGTGTTACTTGACTTCTGTGATATACACTATATGACCATGTTACATAAAGCTTGACCAGTGTTACTTGACTTCTGTGATATACAATATATGACCATGTTACATAAAGCTTGACCAGTGTTACTTGACTTCTGTGATATACAATATATGACCATGTTACATAAAGCTTGACCAGTGTTACTTGACTTCTGTGATATACAATATATGACCATGTTACATAAAGCTTGACCAGTGTTACTTGACTGCTGTGATATACAATATATGACCATGTTACATAAAGCTTGACCAGTGTTACTTGACTTCTGTGATATACACTATGTGGCCATGTTACATAAAGTTTGACCAGTGTTACTTGACTTCTGTGATATACAATATATGACCATGTCACATAAAGCTTGACCAGTGTTACTTGAATTCTGTGATACACAATATATGACCATGTCACATAAAGCTTGACCAGTGTTACTTGACTTCTGTGATATACAATATATGACCATGTTACATAAAGCTTGACCAGTGTTACTTGACTTCTGTGATATACACTATATGACCATGTTACATAAAGCTTGACCAGTGTTACTTGACTTCTGTGATATACAATATATGACCATGTTACATAAAGTTTGACCAGTGTTACTTGACTTCTGTGATATACAATGTATGACCATGTTACATAAAGCTTGACCAGTGTTACTCGACTGCTGTGATATACAATATATGACCATGTTACATAAAGTTTGACCAGTGTTACTTGACTGCTGTGATATACACTATATGACCATGTTACATAAAGCTTGACCAGTGTTACTTGACTTCTGTGATATACAATATATGACCATGTTACATAAAGCTTGACCAGTGTTACTTGACTTCTGTGATGTACACTATATGACCATGTTACATAAAGCTTGACCAGTGTTACTTGACTAATGTGATATACAATATATGACCATGTTACACAAAGCTTCACCAGTGTTATTTGACTTCTGTGATATACACTATTTGACCATGTTACATAAGGTTTGACCAGTGTTACTTGACTTCTGTGATATACAATATATGACCATGTTACATAAAGTTTGACCAGTGTTACTTGACTTCTGTGATATACAATATATGACCATGTTACACAAAGCTTGACCAGTGTTACTTGACTTCTGTGATATACACTATATGACCATGTTACATAAAGTTTGACCAGTGTTACTTGACTGCTGTGATATACACTATATGACCATGTTACATAAAGCTTCACCAGTGTTATTTGACTTCTGTGATATACACTATTTGACCATGTTACATAAGGTTTGACCAGTGTTACGTGACCGATGTGATATACAATATATGACCATATTACATAAAGTTTGACCAATGTTACTTGACCGATGTGATATACAATATATGACCATGTTACATAAAGTTTGACCAGTGTTACTTGACTGCTGTGGGTGCCAGGGTGAAAGTACTATTGATTATTTTTTGTCAACAATTGATATGCTTCCTATGATTAGTTATTTTGAAATTGGACAGTTATCAGAACATTCAGATCATCGCTGTCTCCATGTAAAGTTAAAACTGGACAGTTATTACCAAGAATGTAAACCTACAGGCGAATATAGAGATCGATATAAATGGAGGGACAGTAAATGTGATGACTACCACAATTACCTCAAGGATGATCATACAAAATGTGCCTTACAGAGCCTAAAAAACACTCTAGATAAAGTAAATATTGACAAGGTTGATATTGACAACTGTGTTGCGTCAATCACTGAGGTTATGTTACGTGCCGGCAGTGATCACGTGGCTAAGCTAGCCGCACGTGCACCACGTGATAAGTATTGGTTTGATGATGAGTGTCGGTCTTTGAGGGCAAAGTTCAAGGAGTCGGAGGCAGATTTACAAAATCTGGGAGTGATATTGACAGGGTTGATATGGTACACTGCCGCTCTGTTTATCGGAGATGTTGTAGAAACAAGGTTAAATCTTATAAGAAGAAGGCGGCAGCTGATCTGTCACTTCTGAGTAAAACAAATATTAAACAATTTTGGAAGAAAGTTAAAGGTCATAACAAAAAGTCAAGTAGTATCAGCAATTGTAATTTTGAGGACCATTTTAAGAATTTGTTTAATCCTGAGATACTCCCGGAAACCGATAATGATACTCTCAGAGAAATAGATCTTGATGATGTACAAGTGTGGATAGAGGAATTAGATGTCGATATTAGTGAAAACGAGGTATCCACTGCTGTTAAAATGTTGAAGTTGGGTAAGTCAGCTGGTTATGACGGTATTAACAATGAGTTTTTGGTTCATGGCTCATCAATATTGATTCCCGTAATGACGAAATTGTTCAATGCTATTTTTAGAACAGGGTATTTCCCATCAGGATGGACTGAAGGAGTTATCGTTCCTATACATAAGAAGGGTAGCAAGGTAATACCGGATAATTATAGAGGCGTCACATTACTGTCATGTTTCAGCAAGTTATTTACTCGTATTTTGAACTTGAGGATTTCTTCTTGGTGTGAAAAATATAGTGTAATTATTGAAGAACAGGCCGGTTTCCGAGAAAATTACAGCACTGTTGACTGTATATATATTTGTTCTAAATGGATTAATTAATATTGCAATTAGAAATAAAGTTAAATTATATTGTGCATTCATTGACTATCGAAAAGCATTTGACTATGTAAATAGACATGCACTTTGGTGTAAATTATATAAGCTTGGGATAAGTTCAAAACTTCTAACTCTAGTTCGAAGTATGTATGAGGGGGTTAAGTCTTGTGTGAGGCTGTCCAGTAATATTCATTCAAACTTTTTCATGTCGTCTATTGGTGTCAGGCAAGGAGAAAATCTGTCGCCGATTTTGTTTTCATTATTTATTAATGATATAGTAGAAGAACTTTCTTCTATTGATGACTTGGGAGTTGTTATTTCTTATGTACGTTTACTTCTGTTGATATTTGCTGATGATATGGTGCTCTTTAGCAATAGTGTTAAAGGTTTACAAGACGGTTTGGATAGGATGTTTACTTACTGCACGAAATGGGGCTTGACCATAAATACCGAAAAAACTAAGGTTGTTATTTTTCGTAAAGGGGGTAGACAAGGCAAGGCTGAAAAATGGTCCTATAATGGTTCACCTCTTGAGGTAATCAATAATTTTAAATATCTAGGTTTAATATTTTCAACAGGTGGCAGTTTTTTCACAAGCTCAGAAAATCTTATCAGAACAAGGTTTGAAGGCACTTGGTTCATTGTACAATATATTCAATGATAATGCGTACATTACTCCAGATATTCAGTATCAGTTATTCCAATCAGTTGTTTCTCCGATTCTCTCATATGGTTGCGAAGTTTGGGGCTTTATGGAAGCTAATGCTATTGAAAGGGTACACTTGAAATTTATGAAACACATATTATATGTCAAAATGTCAACTCCATCAACTTTCTTATATGGAGAATTGGGTACATTCCCTTTGAAAGTTATTCGTCTTGTCAGGATCATCAAATATTGGCTTAAGATTTTGAGAAGTAAACCAGATAGATATATAGTTTTGATGTATAATTCATTATTGAATAGTTCAAATGAGAACCCTGATGTTGAAAACTGGGCAAGTTTACTGAGAGATACGCTCTTCAGGTTTGGTTTTGGCTATATTTGGGTTGCCCAATATGTTCCTGAAAGTTGTGATTTTGTGAGAGAATTTACACAAAGGGTTAAGGACATTTATTCTAAAATGTGGAAACATCAATTATCAATTTTAAGTGAAACTAGATCGTATCTTCATATTAAGGAAACTCTGTGCATCGAGAAATATTTAACTAATATTGATGTTAGGAAGTACCGAATTGCGTTTACACGTTTCCGACTTAGTTCACATATGCTGATGATTGAAAAAGGAAGATGGAGTGTGCCTAAAATCCCATTTGCCAATAGATTATGTCCCTTTTGTACTAACGAAATAGAAGATGAGTACCACGTACTCTTGATTTGTCCAAAATATCGAGAAATACGTAAACAGCATTTAAGTAATACTTTATTGGAAAATATAAGTATGTTTAAGTTTATCAAGTTGTTAAAAGGTGAAAACAGTTTTGAAGTACTGAAAGCTGCAAAGTGTATTTATCATATCTTAAATGAAAGAAACAAAGTTGAATTTTTGTAAATCGTCCATACATATCCTCACTCTTGGGCTATAATGATAATAACAATGTGATTGCTCTCTTTATATACGTACATCGCCATGTGCACAGGCAAATATTCAATATATATATATATTGTATTGGTCTTTGACCTAATAAAAATCTTGTCTTGTCTTGTCTTGTCTTGTGATATACAATATAGGACTATGTTACATAAAGCTTTACCAGTGTTACTTGACTGCAATATGCTTCTACATTTAGACAGTAATGACAAAGAAACTTGGGCGTCCCATATAAGGAACCTTCTTTGTTCTAAAGGTTTTGGTATCGTTTGGTTAAACCAATCCGTAGGTAATGTCAGTGTTTTCCTGAACCAGTTTAGAGATCGCCGTATATGTATTTTTCAACAAGAATGGCACTCGAGGTTAGAAGAAAGCTCCCGTTTTGATTGCTTCAGACAGTTTAAGTCCCTTTTAGAACCAGAAAGATATTTATCCCTCGTGACTACAAAGAATCTGAGACTGCTACTTGTAAAGTTTAGATTGGGGTTATTAGATTTAAAAGTAAATGAAGGAAGAAGACTTTCCATTGATAGAAACTATAGATCATGTCCACTTTATAAAAAAAGGCATTGAAGACGAATTACATTTTCTTGTTGAATGTCCAGCCAGTGATAAAATCCGTTCTGATTATCTCCGTAACTGTATTACAATCATAAGCAATAATGCAGCATTTTACAAAATTGTTTCCTCATGCGATGTCTCCATTTTAAAAAGATTATCACTGTATATCCATCATGCTATTATGTTAAGAGAACAATTGTTATCCTCCTAAATGAGAACCTTCTTTGTAACCGCTGTATATGAGCCGGTGGCCTTACATACAAATAAACATATTTTGACTTTTGACTTTGACTGATGTGATATTCAATATATGACCATGTTACTTAAAGTTTGACCAGTGTTACTTGATCGATGTGATATACACTATATGACCATGTTACATAAAGCTTGACCAATGTTGCTTGACTGCTGTGATATACACTATATGACCATGTTACATAAAGCTTGACCAGTGTTACTTGATCGATGTGATATACACTATATGACCATGTTACATAAAGTTTGACCAGTGTTACTTGAGCGATGTGATATACACTATATGACCATGTTACATAAAGCTTGACCAGTGTTACTTGACTTCTGTCATCCACACCTGTACACCAGGATCCGCGGACTTCCTGGGTATCAGCTACTTCACAGCGCACCAGGTGGAGAGGGTCAACAACTACCCCCCGACTGCAGCAGCCAGCATCGCTGACGACATCTCCGTCACGACGTCCGCCGACAAGTCTTGGCCCAGGTAATATTACCTTGAGTCAACAGATCACATACTATTACCTGTTAGACTGAGATGGGAGGTTAAAGGTCTGGTTGTCACCAAGATGGTCACCCGATATTTAATGGTTCATATATTTTGCTGAGTAGTTATAAATGAATGATTTCTAGGTTAAGATGGTGTTTCTTCTCTGATGACGGACGGGACAGGTAGAGATGAAAACTGATACATGTCAAAACTGGTTGTGCTCTGGCTATGAATGTATAGGCTCTGAACATTATTCTTGGAATGTCATTGTCGTATTGCTTGCATCAGTTCTGCGTCACTCTCCAGTACGGCGTGCACAATATAGAATAGAAACTAGTGTCATATTTATTGTTATAACATTTGCAATAAAACACAACTTGGACAACGACCGTGCTAAGATTTTGTTCGAGGGAACAGTTGCCAGAGACGTCAAAGAAGTGATACCACCGACCTCATGACGTTAAAGGATCTGGCCTTACACAACCACGTGTTTTACGTCAGTCTCGTGCCCGTACTCTTGGCTGTGCCACTCACGTGTTGACCTATATTTGTAATCCTCCCTTCTAAACATCCCCTTGTCCCGATTCAGATATTATCTTGGCCGTTTTGCACGTGTTGACCTATATTTGTAATCCTCCCTTCTAAACATCTCCTTGTCCCGATTCAGACATTATCTTGGCCGTGTTGCACGTGTTGACCTATATTTTTAATCCGTTTCCCTTCCAAACCTCTCCTTGTCCTGATTCCAGCACAAACCTGGACTGGTTCCGAGTCTATCCCACAGGACTCCGTCACATCCTGAGACGAGCTAAAGACCGCTATGGCAACATTCCAATATACGTCACTGGGAACGGCGTGTCCGACGACCCGGGCACCACCGACGACAAGGTCAGGGCATCATACATCGTGGACCACACCAATGAAGTTCTGAAAGGTAATAGAACAAATTGTCATGCAAGACTGAACAGTCTGGAGTGGTTTCTGTATAATCATGGACCGTAAGTCGCATTACTGTTTTAAGATTTCAAGATTTTTTGTCCAGAATATGTGTACACGTGGGCGTAATTAAGCACTAACCCGTGAAGATCCGTGCTAGAATTGGTCTTCAGCAACCCATGCTTGTCATGAGAATCGACTTACGGGTGGTCAGGCTCGCTGACGTGGTTGACACATGTCATCGTATCGCAACTGCGTAGATCGATGCTCATGCTGTTGTTAACTGGATTGTCTCCTCCATATTCGGTTATTAACAGACCGCGGCCATATAGCTGGAATATTGCTGCGTTTGACGTCGAACAACAACAAAAATCAACAACCATTAATTTAACAGTACCAGCATCGAAGCACAGTTATATTAATCGTGGTCCACACAGGCGACCTGATATGGAAGGCACTTGCTTCACACAATACCTCAAGGTCTGTGAGTCACTTGTTCACGTGCTTCACACAATACCTCAAGGTATGTGAGTCACTTGTTCACGTGCTGCGAAGACGCATGTTGCTGTACACAGTCTGTACTGGAAGCATGTGACCACCGATAAAGTAAGGCAATATACATCTAGAATTCTGATTCCTTTCAGCTATAACCTTAGACAACGTGGACGTCCGTGGCTACGTCGTTTACAGCCTCCTCGACGGCTTTGAATGGAAGGACGGCTACAACGTCAGCTTTGGCCTGTTCGCTATCAACCAGACGGACCCGGACAGAGCGAGGCTCCCCAAACTCTCCTCCAGTAGCTACACCCACATCATCAAGAACAACGGCTTTACGACTCCCTCCACGACTACTACTCAGGCGCCTGTGATCGTATACAGAAACTGTCCGACATCGCCGGGGACGACTGTGTTCTTTTCACCAATAGTACTTTTACTCCTGCTACTCGTGTCATCAGCACTGTAGTCTTTGTTAGAAAATACAGGTCTTTATCAGTACGGTATCATATTCTAGATGAAGAATGAACAAACTAATACTATTTGAAGAAGTGATTATACGCGGTGTGGCAAAGTCACAGTTCTCCCTTCGTGAAGCAATCATTCACTTCCCACAGCCCCGAATTCCAGCACAACTCATTGGATCGTGTGGACTGTTACAGTCTTGGACGCTCGTTCCGTGTCTGTAGTGACAAGTACATTTCTGTAGATTGTACAAAACGTAATTTATAATAGATATGTATACACATTCAGTAAGATGTTATTTTGTTTACAAGGTTATGTAAAACCATGTCTGTAGTGATATTTAAACACATTTCGAGAGATGTTATATTTTATGATGCAGTTCAAGTTTCGCAAGGCTGTGACGTCGAGGGGTGATGGGTTTCATTCACAGCTGTCCTGCCACGTTCATTAATCAGTGTACAACCAGATCCGTGTGTAGAACATACAAACATACTGGACGATATCTCACATCTGAGAGTACATCATAGACTAACAACTAGTCTCTGAAATGAACATATTTTACTGAAAAAAGTTCATAGTAAAAAAATATAAAATATAATGAAAAGGAGCCCTGAGACTTTCTTCATTTTCAGACTGAAACTGAGGAAATCTAGACTTGTCACATTTTCTAGACTTGTGTGGGCTTTCTTGGATATGTTTGCTTCAGGGTCTGTACGACAGACTAAGTACATCACATCTGTCATCGCTGGTGTAGCAGTGGGGACTATTTACAGACCGGTGTGATATAAGTGTTAGAACCTTCTAAACATTGTCTGTCAGGTCCACTCGTTTACAGCTATGGGCACGTCTCACCCTTGCTGTCGATATTCCTGGAACTGGGTTTGTCAAAACAAGCCATTTTGATTTCAGTCACAGACTGGTCAGAAATAGTTTAATATACACCAAGATTTGTGTTATACATAGTTTGTGTCACGTTTCAATTATCTGGGTCATGTTTGTATGATATGGAATCATGGAAAAGTGAAAATGATAAAATGAATATTGAAGTAATAGGTCCCTACATTCTGAGTTGAACGGTCCATGGTAAACCGTCTATGGTCAAAGAGAACACACTACCCATGGTCACCGGCCAATGGTCAACGGTCCATGCTCAAAAGTCCATACGTGACAATGATGGTCCCCGGGGCTGTGGTTTTCTGCATGATCACACTGTGGAATGACTGTGTTAGCCTGGTCCTGAACACTCTCATGAAGTCATATGTGGGTTGTTGACAATGACCGTACTATCGCCAGTTCCCGACAACAAGGTTGAGACGTCTACACATGACGTAGGTTGTTGACAATGACCGTACTATCGCCAGACAACAAGGTTGAGACGTCTACACATGACGCAGGTTGTTGACAATACTATCGCCAGTTCCCGACAACAAGGTTGAGACGTACACACATGTCGCAGGTTGTTGACAATGATCGTACTATCGCCAGTTCCCGACAACAAGGTTGAGACGTACACACATGACGCAGGTTGTTGACAATGATCGTACTATCGCCAGTTCCCGACAACAAGGTTGAGACGTCTACACATGACGCAGGTTGTTGACAATGACCGTACTATCGCCAGTTCCCGACAACAAGGTTGAGACGTCCACACATGACGCAGGTTGTTGACAATGACCGTACTATCGCCAGTTCCCGACAACAAGGTTGAGACGACAACAAGGTTGAGACGTCTACACATGACGCAGGTTGTTGACAATGACCGTACTATCGCCAGTTCCCGACAACAAGGTTGAGACGTCCACTCATGACGCCAGCTGACGACCCTCGTCAAGTGATACAGCGTCTATATAGCCAGGGCGTCAAAGTGACTTAACAAATTGCTTTCAGTATTACCAATACCTGCATTGTATTCTATGAATGCTTAATTGTAGTTTTCTGATGACGTGTTGTCCAGTAATCGTTCAGTTCATGATGTTTATGCCAATAAAGCGTGTGGCCAGTAACAACACGTGTCAGCTTTTTTGTACAACGAAGAATATATCTGAACGAGAAAGGATGACTGAAATGTAGCAGGCAGCAGACGAGCGGTACATGAGACACGAGGAACGTATTTTATGGATTAACAACTTCATTATAGCAATAAATGCGACGTTTCGGTGTATATGCACACCGTTATTACTTCCATGATGACGGCGGTAGTATCTACACACAACCGTCGTATCTTGCTATTGTTATAATTAGTTGGCAGAGCGCAGGAAACATCTGGAAACTGGCAGACGTCAGCGTGCAGTGGCCAAAACGTTCAGTCTGTGATTGTGTGATCTGTTATGGTGTTGGGTCCCCTCACTCCGACTGAGTGACTGCCACTCCATATTGGGTCAGGACTGGTCACGGGGCAGTATGTTCTCGACAACATACTGCCACTCTTTGTTGTCCTTCTCGGCAATCCCTATATTCCTAGGTTGGTCAGCAACATAGCTTCGTGCAATCCTTCCACGTGAAGCTGACACACCTTGATGTAACTGGAATACACAACAAAGAGTTAAACCTAACTCACTCACTCACTCACTCACTAGACGTATTTCTTGTTGTACCAGCGCCTCCTGCCCAAGAAGATGTCAGGGATGTCAGCCAACAGGCAAATGCAAATGCCTGGCGAACGATTAGTGATGACGCATTGCCAACAGAACAGTGGGTGTGATGATGAAACATATATCATTCACAGGAACTATTCTGTCAACATTGTATTAAACTAGGCTCATAGATCCTGGCCAAAATGTTTCTGTTGGTGAATCTTCCTGTTCAACACTGAACAAAAGACTTTTCTTTACATGACAAATAGGATGAACAAACAAACAATATTATTAATTGATCTCCAACTAATGGCCGGCGATAGTTAAATATAAATTTGTTATCTATTCCTTCATCAATAGGCATTTCAACAGTTAAGCAAACATATGTATAATTGTGCGTATTGTTGACGGAAGCGACATGCTGGCGATGCTGGAGAATACAGTAAATGTCACAGACGGATCCATCAACCATTTTCTAAAAATACCTGATAAGTATTCCTCACACAGGCGCAATCACGCTTTGCTGAAATGATTTCAACTTCCCTGGTTATAAAAAGGTTTCTTTATGGCGATAAACATAACACCCGTGAAGACCTGGGTTAGAATTGATCTTCAGTAACCCATGCTTGTAGTAAGAGGCGACTAACGGGATCGGGTGGTCAGGCTCGCTGACTGGGTTGACACATGTCATCGTATCCCAATTGCGTAGATCGATACTCACGATGTTGATCACTGGATTGTCTATTCCAGACTCGATTATTTACAGACCGCCGCCATACAGCTGGAATATTGCTGAGTGCGGCGTGAAACTAAACTCACTCACTCACCCATAAACATATACATGTATAAGTTTAGAATGGCTTACATTGCGCTTGTAAACATCGTGGCATAATGTGCAAGATAAGATTTCTGTAAAAACAAGAGCCACGGTGTTGTCAGATATATATGCAAAAATATCATGTTTCCTAATTAAGTCCAAGCAATGTTTTCCAAAATAAAACTGGTGCTCCAGGAATCGGTCGAGCCAGTTGGGGTCAGTATCCTTGGCAATTTGATGTTTCTCTAATATTTAACTCTAACATCTTAGACACCCATTCACGCCACATCTGCTGTAAGCTATGCTGTATCTCGTTAATAGAGTCCAGTGGAGACTGGCCTCAGTCTAGGTTAGCTTTCATGGCATTTTATGGTGCAGTTTATAAACGATGATATCTTGAAAAGTTGCATAACACTTCATATAGCCTGTCAATTAGACATGCGGCACTGCATGCACAGGGAACGAGACATGATTGTCAATATACCTGCATGGAACTCACAGTTGTTGGGTATATGCAAACACAACCTCCTGGCGTCTAATCGACTTACAGAAAATAGTCTTTACAAATTCCGGATTCGTCAAGTACGTTTACGCTCAAGAATGAGATCAATAGTTTTTAGAACTAATCTATGGATGCATGAAATTTATTCCTTAGCCCCGATCCAACCGTGAGTAATATTACGTGAGAATCATCAAACACTGACTTTGGAAATTCCCTTCTATCCATAACTTTAAAAGGCTGTTATGCACAACTCAGGAGAATGTAATCAGACGTGTACAGTGTTACATTTACCATGCATATATAACAAGAAATATGTATTTGAAACATTTTAGACTTCATTTGTATATTCTTGTTACCTATGTATAGTTACATCTTGTATATGGGCCCTTGGCCTCGTAACAAATAAACTCCTTTTTGACTTTGACTCAATCGTGGGTAATATAAGCTGAAGATCATGAAGTACTGCTTCGCATTTGCTTGCACGATAATTGATTGTGATTGTATGTATATTGCACATCATTAAAGACAATTTCTTTAATTATGACTTGTTTCTGTTTCTGTGAGTATTATATAACCTGATAATCACGAAGCACAGATCCAACCGTGAGAAATACAACCTGAGATTCACCAAGCACTGATCCAACCGTGAGTAATATAACCTGATAATCACCAAGCACTGATCCAACCGTGAGTAATACAACCTGAGAATCACCAAGCACTGATCCAACCGTGGGTAATATAACCTGATAATCACCAAGCACTGATCCAACCGTGAGTATTATATAACCTGATAATCACCAAGCACAGATCCAACCGTGAGAAATACAACCTGAGATTCACCAAGCACTGATCAAACCGTGAGTAATATAACCTGAGAATCACCAAGCACTGATCCAACCGTGATTAATATAACCTGAGAATCACCAAGAACTGATCCAACCGTGAGTAATACAACCTGAGAATCACCAAGCACTGATCCAACCATGAGTAATACAACCTGAGAATCACCAAGCACAGATCCAACCGTGAGTATTATATAACCTGAGAATCACCAAGTTCTGATGTAACCGTGAGTAATATAGCATGAGAATCACCAAGCACTGATCCAACCGTGAGTAATATAACCTGAGAATCACCAAGCACTGATCCAACCATGAGTAATATTACCTGAGAATCACCAAGCTCTGATCCAACCGTGAGTAATATAACCTGAGAATCACCAAGCACAGATCCAACCGTGATTAATATTACCTGAGAATCACCAAGCTCTGATCCAACCGTGATTAATATAACCTGAGAATCACCATGCACTGATCCAACCATGAGTAATACAACCTGAGAATCACCAAGCACTGATCCAACCGTGAGTAATACAACCTGAGATTCACCAAGCACTGATCCAACCGTGAGTAATACAACCTGAGAATCACCAAGCTCTGATCCAACCGTGAGTAATACAACTTGAGAAGCACCAAGCACTGATCCAACCGTGAGTAATATAACCTGAGAATCACCAAGCACTGATCCAACCGTGAGTAATACAACCTGAGAATCACCAAGCACTGATCCAACCGTGAGTAATACAACCTGAGAATCACCAAGCTCTGATCCAACCGTGATTAATATAACCTGAGAATCACCAAGCACTGATCCAACCGTGAGTAATATAACCTGATAATCGCCAAGCACTGATCCAACCGTGAGTAATATTACCTGAGAATCCCCAAGCTCTGATCCAACCGTGAGTAATATAACCTGAGAATCACCAAGCACTGATCCAACCGTGAGTAATATAACCTGAGAATCACCAAGCTCTGATCCAACCATGAGTAATATTACCTGAGAATCACCAAGCTCTGATCCAACCGTGAGTAATATAACCTGATAATCACCAAGCACTGATCCAACCGTGATTAATATTACCTGAAAATCACCAAGCTCTGATCCAACCGTGATTAATATAACCTGAGAATCACCGAACTCTGATCCAACCATGAGTAATACAACCTGAGAATCACCAAGCACTGATCCAAACGTGATTAATATTACCTGAGAATCACCAAGTACTGATCCAACCATGAGTAATACATTATGAGAATCACCAAGCTCTGATCCAACCGTGAGTAATATAACATGAGAATCACCAAGCACTGATCCAACCGTGAGTAATACAAACTGAGAATCACCAAGCTCTGATCCAACCGTGAGTAATATAACCTGAGAATCACCAAGCTCTGATCCAACGGTGATTAATACAACCTGAGAATCACCAAGCACTCATCCAACCGTGATTAATACAACCTGATAATCATCAAGCACTGATCCAACCGTGAGTAATACAACCTGAGAATCACCAAGCACTGATCCAACCATGAGTAATACAACCTGAGAATCACCAAGCACTGATCCAAACGTGATTAATATTACCTGAGAATCACCAAGTACTGATCCAACCATGAGTAATACATTATGAGAATCACCAAGCTCTGATCTAACCGTGAGTAATATAACCTGAGAATCACCAAGCACTGATCCAACCGTGAGTAATACAACCTGAGAATCACCAAGCACTGATCCAACCGTGAGTAATATAACCTGAGAATCACCAAGCTCTGATCCAACCGTGAGTAATACAACCTGAGAATCACCAAGCACTGATCCAACCGTGATTAATACAACCTGAGAATCACCAAGCACTGATCCAACCGTGAGTAATACAACCTGAGAATCACCAAGCACTGATCCAACCATGAGTAATATAACCTGAGAATCACCAAGCACTGATCCAACGGTGATTAATACAACCTGAGAATCACCAAGCACTGATCCAACCGTGAGTAATACAACCTGAGAATCACCAAGCACTGATCCAACCATGAGTAATATAAGCTGAGAATCACCAAGCACTGATCCAACCATGAGTAATATAACCTTAGAATCACCAAGCACTGATCCAACCGTGAGTAATATAACCTGAGAATCACCAAGCACTGATCCAACGGTGATTAATACAACCTGAGAATCACCAAGCACAGATCCAACCGTGAGTAATACAACCTGAGAATCACCAAGCACTGATCCAACCATGAGTAATATAACCTGAGAATCACCAAGCACTGATCCAACCATGAGTAATATAACCTGAGAATCACCAAGCACTGATCCAACCGTGAGTAATACAACCTGAGAATCACCAAGCACTGATCCAACCGTGAGTAATACAACCTGAGAATCACCAAGCACTGATCCAACCGTGAGTAATACAACCTGAGAATCACCAAGCACTGATCCAACCGTGAGTAATACAACCTGAGAATCACCAAGCACTGATCCAACCGTGAGTAATACAACCTGAGAATCACCAAGCTCTGATCCAACCATGAGTAATACAACCTGAGAATCACCAAGCTCTGATCCAACCGTGAGTAATACAACCTGAGAATCACCAAGCTCTGATCCAACCGTGAGTAATATTACCTGAGAATCACCAAGCACTGATCCAACCGTGAGTAATATTACCTGAGAATCGCCAAGCACTGATCAAACCGTGAGAGAATCACCAAGCTCTGATCCAACCGTGAGTAATACAACCTGAGAATCACCAAGATCCAACCGTGAGTAATATAACCTGAGAATCACCAAGCACTGATCCAACCGTGAGTAATATAACCTGAGAATCACCAAGCTCACTGATCCAACCGTGAGTAATAACCTGAGAATCACCAAGCTCTGATCCAACCGTGAGAAATATTACCTTAGAATCACCATGCACTGATCCAACCGTGAGTAATATAACCGGAGAATCACCAAACTCTGATCCAACCGTGATTAATATAACCTGAGAATCACCAAACTCTGATCCAACCATGAGTAATATAACCTGATAATCACCAAGCTCTGATCCAACCGTGAGTAATATAACCTGAGAATCACCAAGCTCTGATCCAACCGTGATTAATATAACCTGAGAATCACCAAGCACAGATCCAACCGTGATTAATATAACCTGAGAATCACCAAGCACTGATCCAACCATGAGTAATACAACCTGAGAATCACCAAGCACTGATCCAACCATGAGTAATATAACCTGAGAATCACCAAGCACTGATCCAACCGTGAGTATTATATAACCTGAGAATCGCCAAGCACTGATGTAACCGTGAGTAATACAACCTGAGAATCACCAAGCACTGATCCAACCGTGAGTAATATAACCTGAGAATCACCAAGCACTGATCCAACCGTGAGTATTATATAACCTGAGAATCGCCAAGCTCTGATGTAACCGTGAGTAATATAACCTGAGAATCACCAAGCACTGATCCAACCGTGAGTAATATTACCTGAGAATCACCAAGCACTGGTCCAACCGTGAGTAATACAACCTGAGAATCACCAAGCACTGATCCAACCGTGATTAATATCCTGATAATCACCAAGCTCTGATCCAACCGTGATTAATATAACCTGATAATCACCAAGCTCTGATCCAACCGTGATTAATATTACCTGAGAATCACCAAGGTCTGATGTAACCGTGAGTAATATAGCATGAGAATCACCAAGCACTGATCCAACCGTGAGTAATATAACCTGATAATCACCAAGCTCTGATCCAACCGTGATTAATATAGCATGAGAATCACCAAGCACTGATCCAACCGTGAGTAATATAACCTGATAATCACCAAGCTCTGATCCAACCGTGATTAATATAACCTGAGAATCACCATGCACTGATCCAACCATGAGTAATACAACCTGAGAATCACCAAGCACTGATCCAACCGTGAGTATTATATAACCTGAGAATCGCCAAGCTCTGATGTTACCGTGAGTATTATATAACCTGAGAATCACCAAGCTCTGATGTAACCGTGATTAATATAACCTGAGAATCACCAAACTCTGATCCAAACGTGATTAATATAACCTGAGAGTCACCAAGCTCTGATCCAACCGTGAGTAATGTAATTACTGCAGGTAATTCCCGGATAACCGCGTAAGCCTGCCATGTTTTCCGTGCGCATCATAAAGGGAATATGTCGACATAACACCCACTTCAAAATCATTGATTGCTGTCTACCTTGTACATCTTGACATGCTGTTTAATATTCATTAGATAACCCATTCAATACTTTTATTCATTTTTTCCTTTCTGTTTAATTTTGACCGTCATTTTAGAAAGTAATAAGTGATAACAGCAGATACTTACCTGGACGACAGCTTCTTCAATGCATTACAGTGAGACGTTTCATTGTAGGGTTGTATACCATTGTCAAACAACAATGAAGTACTACAGCACAGAACAGACTTATTCAGATCTAACTGAGATGATGATATAACTAAACAGTTTGATGGTATTCATTATTGATGGTATTTAACTATAGTGTGCGTGTGTGTAAGATACAGCGACAACTTGAGGAAATCAACTGTACGTGTTTGCTAAAATTAAGCAGTGTCGAGGAGTGAAGTGCTCATTGTAGAAGGATAGGATGAGGTATCCTTGGTCTCTATGGACTGGTGGATTATGTCAGTGGATGTGAACTGTTTGCTGGTAATTATAGCCGCTTCTGCACTGATAACCTATATTATGTTTCTTGGTTTCATTCTTTTTTGGGAGATAATGGGTTTTGTCCCAATCATATTTAGGTAATGTGTATTTGAGTCTGGGTGACAAATGGACTAGCTTTCAAAGAATGGTCAATCATATTTTCAATTGATTCCCAGACCAATGTGTATGCTCATCTGATGTTTAACAGCACGTGGGTGACACTGGTTGTATTTACTGAAAACATGTAAGGAAGCACCGATGGTGCTGCTATCTGATTGGTCTTTGTTGTAAAACATACACGGGTAATGCATTCTGTGTTTGCTCATTAATGTTAAAGGAAATATCTACTCCGTATTGTGATACTCCCTCCGTTACCTGACATTCAACAATCAGTCTGCTATATGAGGTGTGATAATGTTGATCGAGACAGGGCGCCCACGGTCTAAATGGTGTTTCTAGAAGTAGGTATTGTTTTTCTACAGACGAAAGACTGAATATAATGGAGTTTTGTTTTTATGCAGCAGTGATTTCCTACAGTTAATCCTGGTTGGTAGAGTTACAGCAGGAACCCAGCAGTAAGTATCTAGTTGTCCACCACCCCATCCGCTCATCCACCCCGTTCCCACTCATACCCTACACCCCGTAAATGTGTTCATGATGGTTTGACGATGTCTGTAGCTGGACTAGCACCATGACTATTTGATGGTGGTTATACAAACCATGCATCTCACAATGGCTGTGGCTTTCCTCATATTTCTATTATTCCCAAGCAGGGATTAGGTTCAGGGTTCTTCATGATGTGAGGCCTGCGCTTCTACCCACCCTGAGACAGGAACATATGAAAATATGGTGATTAATAACAGTTCAGAAAGACCTGAAGCAGGAAGGCTTGAAAACACTCAAACCGTATTATTGTTACGTAAAACACATCGCGACACGACGAGATCTGGAGCAGGAGATCAATATGGTTGCTGGACTACATAGCCATGGGAGGTGTACCTTCACAACGTCCTACTGAACAGCCCTGGTAGATGCCAATGTTCAGATAATTATGTTCCAGCTTGTTTTCATCACGTTCTGTAAGTACCTAGTTAGCTCATTTTCATATCTTTATAATTATTACATTGGTGTAATGTGTATATGTAATGTAAAAATTATAAATGTGGGTGACAGTGAATGACATTCACGAGTCACTGATGTTCCTTCCATAAGATGCTGAGAGGAAAGTTGATGTGTGTCAAACCCTTTCTTTGTTAGTTCTCCAGTGTTGTAGGTTATATTTTGTAAATATTATAGTTGCCTTCATACTGAAATCCAGAGGAAACAAAGACAATGGTCGTTTCATTGATTGATTCTGTAATTAAATCCTACTTGACTGTGTTGTCGTTCTTTCGTTGGTTTATTCGTTCATATGTTTATTTATTTATTCATTCATGCACTTCAGTCGTATCAGGGGCGTGCGACAGCAACTACCACGAGACCACGTCGCGGTTGCGGAAGACGCTCCTGGGTAGCTATGACGACGTGTTGGTCAGACCTTCCAACGTTACCAACGTGGCCGTCAGGTTCAACCTTCTCAACATCCACAGACTGGTGACACATTCTGCTTGCCTTTATTCCATAACACGACAAGATTATCTAATGTTTAAATTAAATATATGAAAGTTTATAAATGTGTTTCTTTAATAATGATACGATTACTCTTTCGGCCTAAAACGAGTATTTTGTTTTACAATGACGTCAATGTTGTGGGGTCCTGTTTAAGGGCATGTATTTGGGACGCTTGAGTTTCCACCAAATCAGTGGTTACTAGTAACGAATAGATAAGCCCATTATGAGGAAGTCATGGAAACAATTCATATGAATAACGTCTTGTTTATTATCTCTGAATAAGAGACACAAAGTAGAACAATAGAAGTAAAAACAATAAAGACGACGAATCCCCAAATATGTACCAAAGAAATAGTTTTCAAAACACAGTAATGTCAAGTATCGTGATGACACTCCAAGGTCAAAGAGCGATATCAATTGCGAGTTGCACTGCAAATGAGTAACGACATATCGAGTATGCTTTGTATTTACACAGAATATGCGCACGCAGACACTTGTGACGTCAGGATGGTTTACGCTCGTAAGTAGCTGTTTCATTGTGTGGTAGACACAGTGCATTCAGTCTAAGTAAACTTGGGCTAACTATTATTCGTTACACTTCTATACTGAGTCTAACAAACCCTAGTAGAAGGTGACCGGCCTCTCTCGTGCTCCACACTAAGTACTCGACAAGAAGTACCAAATGAATTCGGCATTCCCAGCGGGCAACGTAAAAAATGTTACTCGCTTAAGCGGGCTACATTGAAAATATTAGAAGATAGCTCAGCCAATCAGAAAACGATATTTACGTGTGAGGTAAGATAATTCCAACTGGCTGTACTTGTATTCCTACTGACTGTACTCGTATTCCTACTGATTGTACTCGTATTCCTACTGACTGTACTCGTATTCCTACTTATTGTACATGCATTTACTGACTGCACTTGTATTCCTACTGATTGTAGTCGTATTCCTAGTGATTGAACTCGTATTCCTACTGACTGTACTTGTATTCCTACTGATTGTAATTGTATTCCTACCGATTGTAGTCGTATTCCTACTGATTGTACTCGTATTCCTACTGACTGCACTTGTATTCCTACTGATTGTAGTCGTATTCCTACCGACTGTACTCGTATTCCTACTGATTGTACTTGTATTCCTACTTATTGTACATGCATTTACTGACAGTACTCGTATTCCTACTGATTGTACTCGTATTCCTACTGACTGTACTCGTATTCCTACTGATTGTACTTGTATTCCTACTTATTGTACATGCATTTACTGGTACTGTACTTGTACTCGTATTCCTACTGACTGTACTCGTATTCCTACTGATTGTACTCGTATTCCTACTGACTGTACTCGTATTCCTACTTATTGTACTTGTGTTCCTACTTATTGTATTGTTTACTGGCTGTACTTGTATTCCTACTGACTGTACTCGTATTTCTACTGATTGTACTCGTATTCCTACTGATTGTACTTGTATTCCTACTTATTGTACATGCGTTTACAGGCTGTACTTGTATTCCTACTGACTGTACTCGTATTCCTACTGACTGTACTCGTATCCCTACTGACTGTACTCGTATTCCTACTGACTGTACTCGTATTCCTGTACTCGTATTCCTACTGACTGTACTTGTATTCCTACTGACTGTACTCGTATTCCTACTGACTGTACTCGTATTCCTACTGACTGTACTCGTATTCCTACTGACTGTACTCGTATTCCTACTTGCTGTACTCGTATTCCTACTTGCTGTACTTGTATCCTACTGACTGTACTTGTATTCCCACTAACTGTACTTGTATTTCTACTGATTGTACTTGTATTCCTACTCACTGTACTTGTATTCCTACTTAATGCACATGCATTTTTTACTGATTGTACTCCTACTGACTCGTATTCCTACTGATTGTACCCGTATTCTTACTGATTGTACTCACATTCCTACTTATTGTATGTGTATTTCTACTGACTTTACTTGTATTCCTACTTATTGTACTCGTATTCCTGCTGACTGTACTCGTATTCCTACTTGCTGTACTTGTATCCTACTGGCTGTACTTGTATTCCTACTAATTGTACATACATTCCTACTGGTTGTACTTGTATTCCTACTTGCTGTACTTGTATTCCTACTGACTGTTCGTGTATCCCTACTGACTGTTCGTGTATCCCTACTGACTGTACTTGTATTCCTACTGACTGTAATTGTATTCCTACTGACTGTACTCGTATTCCTACTGACTGTACTCGTATTCCTACTGACTGTACTTGTATTCCTACTTGCTGTACTTGTATTCCTACTGACAGTACTCGTATTCCTACTTGCTGCACTTGTATCCTACTGACTGTACTTGTATTCCTACTGACTGTACGTGTATTCCTACTGACTGTACTTGTATTCCTACTGATTGTACTTGTATTCCTACTGACTGTATCAGGAGTGGCAGGATGGGAGGGTGTGTTGGCAACCGGATCAATACGGGGGCTTGTCCACCGTCCACGTGACCAGCCTGGAGGTCTGGACGCCTACAGTGGTTGTACAAAACACGTGAGTTTCACCCCTGTCCAGCGTGACCGGCCTCTGTCGTGCTCGACACTAAGAACGTAGTTGTAACAATGTAGTGTGCTCTCGTTCCCAAATGGAAACAAACATCGCACTTGTAAACAAGGGTCATGGTTATTTTTCATTCTACAATGGAGATACATATTCAGAGACAAAACATTTTGTGACATGGGATTTTTCTCAGTGGTAATCTTGTGAATAAATGGTTGGATCTGAACACAAGAAATAAAGAAGTTGTTTTCCATAAAGTACATGTATATACTTTTCTACAAGAAAGAATGTGTTAACTTGATTGAAGAAACAGAACCAAGCAGCTGGTGGTCGAACTGCACGGAATTTGCAAGAAGCAGGGAATATTTGGGGAAAATAACCAGTAATGCTCACTTTAAAAAGGAAGTTTAACACTGTAGTTTGTGTCTCACAACAACTTCTGCCTTGAGTATAATCCACAGGATACTCGAGGGTGACACGTGACATGTGCGATGTGACACGTGACATGTGACATTACCTTTCTGCAGAGTTGAGCACATGAGCGTGTTAGGATCAGAAGACCCTGCGGTGCCTCTGGACGTCACGAGCGACGGGAACATCACGTGGAAAATACCCGTCGTCCATATGACGTACTGTGACGTCAGTATCTTGACGTACCCCTTTGACGACCAAGTCTGCGACATAACAGCCATCGCCTGGGAGGAAGGGTACGGGCTTCGCTGTCTCTACTAGATATGTTGTTCATTGTCTCGTCACGGTGAACGAAAGTGTGAGTGAGTGGGTGGGGCTTGATGCCGATCTAAGAAATATACCAATAATATCAGGTTTCAGGGATTGTACCCATGTGTCGGATCTAACCTGGGACTTATTTGTGACCAGCAAGCGCTGTAACCACATGGCTACCCCCCCTCCCCCCCCCCTCTCCGATATATACTGGACAAAATAAGTTACAGTTATTGGTATTTTTATGATTGATATTTTATCAGTGTGTCAATTAATAATTAGATCATTATTCATAATTTCAAAATTTACATAAATCCCTAACTATTTTTGTCCAGTACAAATATCACTGATTGTGTTAATCTCTCAAATATCTATCTCCACATCAAAATACCAAAATAATGATTATCTAAATAATCGAAATAAACATAAAGTTAATTGAAAAAAGATCTCAGGCAAGTTTACTTCACTACGATGTTTGTAATATATAAATGTAAAATGTAAATCTTCACATCGTAGATATCAAAGTAGGTCGGACTGATTACACCCAAAGAGGTTTCCCGACTTCTATGACTTGTATGTTGAAATGGGCGCCAGTGTTCACGTGTTTCACGTCCATTGCCTGTCCCCAGACTGTTGTTACATCTGAGCAGCAACACGATCGACCTGGGCGAGTTTCTGGAGAACAGTGAATGGTGGATCACCGGACATCACTCGGAACGACGGTTGAAGACCCCCAACACCTACCAGACAGTGTTCACTCTCAGTCTGACGAGGAAACCAATGTTCCACATCGTCAGCACCCTCATCCCCGTCATGTTGCTCAGTTTCGCCAGCACCCTCGTCTTCTACGTCCCTCCCGACACCGGCGAGAAGATCAGCTACGCGCTGTCCATGTTGCTGTCCTATGTTCTTCTGTTGTCAGTCGTTTCCGATGACATTCCGGAAACATCCAAGGAGGTGTCTGCCATGGGTGAGTGAGAAATGGACGTCGGCGGCTTGGTTGATGGGCGAGTGTTGGACGACTGAGTGAGTGAGTGAGTGGGTGTTGGGTGAGTGAGTGAGTAAGAATGTGTTGGTTGTTGAATGAGTAATGAAGGGGGCGGGCTGATTGTTTGTTTTTTGGTCGTGGGATGAGTGAGTGAGTCAGTAAATGTTCCTTCAACTAAGTGAACACTGAGTTCTCGATGGCGTTATATGCTAACAGTGTTCCATCTTGGAAATTATCGAAATGTGAAAACCATTCTGTTCTATTTTTAGCTGTATACCTGGTAGTAATGTTCACCATGTGCACCCTGAACGTAACCTTGGCAACGACAGTGACATCCCTTTACCGCCAAGACGAAAGCACTCCGAAACAAAGATGGCTGATGGCAGTCATCTTACAGTTGTGTCAGTGTCGCACCTCCCGCGAAGACAGACACAAACGCGGCAGTGCAGAGGACAAAGATGAAAACGACTCCGCCATTGGTAACAGCAACGTCGACGTGAGCAACCAGTGCTCGCGGGAGGGGGAGATGCAGCAGATGTCGTGGAAGGAGCTGGCGTTGAGAGCAGATGTTATTTTCAGGCGGGTCTTCATGCTGATGATGTTCTGCTTCAACATGTCATTCCTCGTGGTGCTGATCTTGCTGTGAAACATTTAGAGAGGTATCTTGCGGGAAACGATGGGCAACCTTCCTGTGGGAAACGATGGACAACCTTCCTGTGGGAAATGATTAAATGATGGACAATCTTCCTGCAGGAAACGATGGACAACCTTCCTTCCCATGGAAAAGGATGGACAACCTTCCTGTGGGAAATGATGGACAACATTCCTGTGGGAAACGATGTACAACCTTCCCGCGGTAAATGACGAACTTACTCATTTCCTGCGGGAAACGATGGGCAACCTTCCTGTGGGAAACGATGGACAACCTTCCTGTGGGAAATGATTAAATGATGGACAATCTTCCTGCAGGAAACGATGGACAACCTTCCTTCCCATGGAAAAGGATGGACAACCTTCCTGTGGGAAATGATGGACAACATTCCTGTGGGAAACGATGTACAACCTTCCCGCGGTAAATGACGAACTTACTCATTTCCTGCGGGAGACGATGGACAACCTTCCTGTGGGAAATGGTGGACATCCTTCCTTCCTGTGGGAAACGATGGACAACCTTCCTGTGGCAATCGATAGACAACATTCCTGTGGGAAATGATGGACGACATTCCTGTGGGAAACGATGGACAACCTTCCTGAGGGAAATGGTAGACAACCTTCCTCCCTGTGGGTAATGGACAACCTTCCTTCCTGGGTGAAATGATGGACAACCTTCCTTCCTGCGAGAGACACGATGGACAACCTTCCTGTGGGGTCAAATGGCCCTTTAATTTGCCCTCTTGTTAAGCCATGTCCTGCAAACAGTCACAATATGGCTAATGTACTGAAGTACTGAAATTGTCACTCACTCGGTCATAGACAGCATCCACTGGTATTTCTCGTGATGGAACAGCTTGCATTAACCTTGAATTAGGTTCTGAGCCATCGTGGACAAAAATAAAGAAGGCTGTGAGGGAGGGGGAGGGTTTCATTAATGTCGACTCTTGTATTATGAGAAACACGATGTTTCGGAGTGTTATTTTACATTTGAAGAAGTAAATGTCATTCAAAGCTGCAAAATGAATATTTGCAAAATATATTTTTTCCAAACCAGTTAATTTCATTAACTTGATTTTATCCAATACACTGAACATGCATGATGTGGTACATAAATATCACATCGATTATCCAGCATTTCATTCCTTTATCCAAAATATGGCCCTTCATTAAATGTAAAATACGCTCGATACCCGACGATTAGAAATGTCATTATTTTGTGTGCACATTTAATCTATAGAGACCCTATTACGTAGATCGATGTTCATGGTGTTGATGACTTGGTTTTCTGGTCCAAACTTAGTAACAGACCGCCGTAATAAAGCTGACTTATCGCTAGGTGCGGCGTTAAACAACAATCAAGCTGCTAATGTATACAGGTGTATATTCGCCATACAGCAAGCAGGTGGACCGTTGTGTGGCAGTACAAACCTTTTCACCCAAACCTTGCCACCCGATTAAACAATGGAAGTCATGAATATCCTCTATAACCAGCAGTTGACCAGCCATCTTCCACCAGGGAAGTCATGAATATCCTCTATGACCAGCAGTTGACCAGCCATCTTCCACCAGGGAAGTCATGAATATCCTCTATGACCAGCAGTTGACCAGCCATCTTCTACCAGAGAAGTCATGAATATCCTCTATGACCAGCAGTTGACCAGCCATCTACTACCAGAGAAGTCATGAATATCCTCTATAACCAGCAGTTGACCAGCCATCTTCTACCAGAGAAGTCATGAATATCCTCTAGCAGTTGACCAGCCATCTATGAATCATGAATATCCTCTATAACCAGCAGTTGACCAGCCATCTTCTACCAGAGAAGTCATGAATATCCTCTATAACCAGCAGTTGATCCAGCCATCTACTACCAGAGAAGTCATGAATATCCTCTATAACCAGCAGTTGACCAGCCATCTTCTACCAGAGAAGTCATGAATATCCTCTATAACCAGCAGTTGACCAGCCATCTACTACCAGAGAAGTCATGAATATCCTCTATAACCAGCAGTTGACCAGCCATCTTCTACCAGAGAGTCATGAATATCCTCTATAACCAGCAGTTGACCAGCCATCTTCTACCAGAGAGTCATGAATATCCTCTATAACCAGCAGTTGACCAGCCATCTTCTGCCAGAGAAGTCATGAATATCCTCTATAACCAGCAGTTGACCAGCCATCTACTACCAGAGAAGTCATGAATATCCTCTATAACCAGCAGTTGACCAGCCATCTTCTACCAGAGAAGTCATGAATATCCTCTATAACCAGCAGTTGACCAGCCATCTACTACCAGAGAAGTCATGAATATCCTCTATAACCAGCAGTTGACCAGCCATCTTCTACCAGAGAAGTCATGAATATCCTCTGTAACCAGCAGTTGACCAGCCATCTACTACCAGAGAAGTCATGAATATCCTCTATAACCAGCAGTTGACCAGCCATCTACTACCAGAGAAGTCATGAATATCCTCTATAACCAGCAGTTGACCAGCCATCTTCTACCAGAGAAGTCATGAATATCCTCTATAACCAGCAGTTGACCATCCATCTTCTACCAGAGAAGTCATGAATATCCTCTATAACCAGCAGTTGACCAGCCATCTTCTACCAGAGAAGTCATGAATATCCTCTATAACCAGCAGTTGACCAGCCATCTACTACCAGAGAAGTCATGAATATCCTCTATGACCAGCAGTTGACCAGCCATCTTCTACCAGAGAAGTCATGAATATCCTCTATAACCAGCAGTTGACCAGCCATCTTCTACCAGAGAAGTCATGAATATCCTCTATAACCAGCAGTTGACCAGCCATCTTCTACCAGAGAAGTCATGAATATCCTCTATAACCAGCAGTTGACCAGCCATCTTCTACCAGAGAAGTCATGAATATCCTCTATAACCAGCAGTTGACCAGCCATCTTCTACCAGAGAAGTCATGAATATCCTCTATAACCAGCAGTTGACCAGCCATCTACTACCAGAGAAGTCATGAATATCCTCTATAACCAGCAGTTGACCAGCCATCTTCTACCAGAGAAGTCATGAATATCCTCTATAACCAGCAGTTGACCATCCATCTTCTACCAAAGATATGCGACGATTCATTATGAGGTGTACAGGTATCATTGGAAAAAATATCATGAAAATGAAATTATTGTGATTTACCATTTGCGTGCCTGTCTCTTGTTGGAAGTGGCTGTGTGGTTCCACGTGTGTGGTTCCACGTGTGTGGTTCCACGTGTGTGGTTCCACGTGTGTGGTTCCACGTGTGTGGTTCCAGGTGTGTGGTTCCACGTGTGTGGTTCCACGTGTGTGGTTCCAGGTGTGTTGTTCCACTTTGTGGTTCCACGTGTGTGGTTCCACGTGTGTGGTTCCACGTGTGTGGTTCCACGTGCGTGGTTCCAAGTGTTGTCGGCCTGGATATCGCGATACGGGGAATTGAATGTCTACATATCGCCATTGTCCACACTGTCGCTACTGTAGCAGCACAGGCTCCAACTATAGGAGCTGTTGGGTAGAACGTATTGCAAGCCGTTTTCATCATTATTAAGAAAATTGTTTAATGATATTGATAATGTATTGAAGATATCGGAAAATAATTGAACATATCTTTAATTAATTTCTGATATCTGAAAGAGAATCACTCATATCGTAAATATTGCTACTGATATATCAAGATAATATTTCGTGATATCTCTAAATGTGTTCAAGATATCAATAAAACTATGGCGATCATAATGTATTTAATTGTATGAGGAATTTATTATATTCAATATCTTCAAATAATTTATACATAACCACAAATGCATTACTCCGTTAGCGATATCTTCAAATCAATTAGAGATATCTTTTATTCAGATATGTATAGATTGCATGTGTTTCATTCAGGACATCTAAAATCAAATTTAAGATACCACTAAAGATTTTGAAGATATCTTTAAAACAATTATTGATATCTATAATACAAGTACCAGTGAAAACGGATACAGTATGCTTTTCAGGGAAACATGCTATGATTTTTCAGGATTTCTAATTTAGTCTAACTATGCGTCAGTCAGTCAGTCAGTCAGTCTGCCGAGTGTAAAATATTATACCATAACCTGTTTAATTTAATAACATCTATGAAAGATAAACATAGTTATGACGAATGTCTCTAGTTTTGTTGTTCAGTGTGAAACCGAAACAGACAGTTAACCCCGCTGCGCCGTCATCATGCTCAACTGCTCAGTGAAGATTCAACGGTCACCAACGTTTCACATACCATGAAACTATGGAATGCCAAAAGGGGCATTGTCGAAACAGAGAAAATGTGACTCATACTTCATTGACAGTGTCGATTTTTATGTTTGCTGATATTGATGACACACGTTACACGATATTTGGCTGATATTTTATGACACACATTACTCGATATGTTCGCTGATATTCCATCTTTATTTGCACTTAAGAGGCCACGGGCCTATGGTACATGTATGCAGACATTATTATTATTAGGCAGTAGAGAGTACATTTTTCTGTATAGAGAAACATTGACATTTTTTCTATATGCTTCTTCCTAAAATAAGTTAATAGAGATATAAATTTATAAATATTATGATGAACAAAGTAATATTTCTTAATATACGTATTTCTCACAGTGCGGTCGACTGGACAGACACACAGAAAATTATATTCATCTCAATTAGATTCAAATCACACATTTTACATATTCTATCTTCTTTTTCTATTCCAATACATCTACCTGTCTCTATAAACAAATCATGGGATGAGCAACGAAATTTTTTTAAGCGTGATTCTATATTTTCGAACATTCAAAGATGATAAATAGGTTTCATTGTATATAGATTGCTTAAGCATTCTGTCATAAAAAACATTTATTTGATACAGGTAATTGGTCAAGCCAGTTCTGGAGATATATATCTTGTAACCTTTGTTTAATGGATATGAAAACAATTGGATGTGAATCTATGCACTGTTCTAGCCATACATACTATCCCAAAAGAGAAACGTATATGCCAGAAATCTGTTGCGAAAATGTTGTATTTTAAAACATGTATAACTCGTCCACAAATAGACTTTAGTGCATGAATTTTTACATCAGTTTAGAAGAAGGAAATGTCTATACTACCAAGTGGATAATTTGAGGAAACGTTGAGCGCGATGGTGACGACGTAGCACGGTCCCGACGTCGGGTCTCCTGGCTCTCAGTCCAATCTCTCTCAACCTGTTCCATACATTTTGACCGGATATCCTCCAAAGTCCAGGCACCCTGGCTGTTGTGCTCCCACCCGTGGCAGTACGATCACGCAAATGTAGTACCCGGATGTACCGATCTTGGGCTGCAGTGGTGACTCATGGTCTGCCTCTGCGGGGACGGTAATTTGTTGTGAACGGTTGGTTCTAACGAACTGCAAGCCGTGATATCGTGCCCAGACTAATATTCAGACGCCTGGCAACAGAAGATTGGTAATCTCCTGAGTGCATTCTTTCAATGGCGACGTTCCGTGTCGCAACGTCAAGACGTGGCGTTGTGATTTGACCTTGAAACGCCTTCAAAACGAATGCCGATTTCCGAAGGTAATCTGGATTTTTATAGCCAGACAGTGCATGCTCTTTGCTGCACAATTTCAACTGAAAGGTGATTTTTGTTGCGTTGTGGCGATGCCTTTTTAATCCTTGTAAGAAATCTCATCAAAATCAACATTTTCAGGTGAAGTCGATTTTTCACTTGTGCAAATGTGTAAAATCATGTTACCAACACTTGCATTATATATTCTGACGATTGTTTGAACACAATAAATAATTAATAGATTGTTAAAATATACAAAACGCCTATGCGTTTCTTTTGGGGGATAGTATATTACGAAACCAGTAGAAAATAGTAAATTTTTAACATCTGTGACCCAATTACGTTTTTCATTTCTATCGTACAAAAACTATCATATTGTAACATTTTGGGGTATTCTGTAAGATGGCATATTTAAGATTTTTAACCAATATTTTAATACATTATACTTTCACTTTTCATTCAACCACATGGAAATCTACCACATTCATCATAAACCATTATGTTTGAAGCAGCAACTTTCACACCGAGAAATCTTTTAATTGAATACAAATGTACTTTTTCTAGTGTATCAAATGTTTGGAGACCCAAAATCTCAGAACCATATAGAAGTATGGGACTAATCTTAGCATCAAAAATTTTAAAAAATGATTTGTGTGACAAGTCACCTGAAATATAAATATATCTAATAATACCAGTTAGTATTTTCTTTGCTTGCATCGATGCATTCTGACATGTAAGGGCCACGATAGGTGGTTTGTAAAGTAAACTCCTAAGTATTCGTAAGACGTAGTTGTTTCTAGCCATTCACATTTGTAATACCATTTCTTGTTTGCAGTAAATATACTTTCATTCTTGACCACAATTATTTTAGTTTCATCTCTATTTACGGTTAGTTTCCATTCATTGCAGTATTTTTCTAAATCGTTTATCTCTGCTTGTAATCCGCGGATAGTGCTAGAGAAAAGAATGATATCTTCAGACAATAATAGAAGAAATAGCTGTAATATATATGGATGTACCTGAATACCATTTGAGCAGTGTTGTATGAATCTGTATTGCTAGTTCATTTATAGAGAAAGTAAATAACAATGGGTTCAATATACAACCTTGTCTTACGCCTATTTGGCTCACAAACGTTTCAGATATTCCATTATTGTTTCTCACACACATCTTTACGTTATCATAAATACTTCTTAAAAGTTTAAGGAATGATTATCTAGAAGATTCCATAACTTTTTTCTGTGAACAGAGTCGAAAGCCTTTGCAAAGTCTACAAAGAGAACATACAATATGGTACCTTTCTTATTTAAATATTTCTGTTTTAGTGAGGTGAAATTTGGTAACGTCGTGCTTGAGAATATTTCGCTCATATGACGACGTGCATGCGTGTGTATACATGTGTATGTGCGGCTGCTTGTACTAGCCCAGACTTAGCTGGTTTCATAGTGCTAGCCCACTGAGATACCATGCCGCAGTGAAGCATGAATACCCCACTCAGACACATTATACTGATTCCGAGCCGACCAGTCCTTGCTGACCCATTAATGCCGAGCGCCAAACAGGGACCAACAAGTACCTTATTTTAACGTCTTTTGGTATGACGCTGCCGGGGATCGAACCCGCGACCTTCCGTTCTCCGTGCGGACGCTCTAACCACTACACCACGGAGGCGGTCTTCTGTATAAGTGAATGTAAAACAAATATGTTGTCAGTAGTAGTATATCCTTTCCTAAAACCAGCTTGGGATTCGGTTATCTCATCAAGGATTCTGCCCAGAATACTAAACGTATATATATAATGGCAGTGAATATTTAACTAAGTACACTCAGAAGAATAATGCATCTATAATTTTTAGTATGATTTTTATCACTATGCTTATGAATGGGTACAATTATACCAACCGACCATGAATGTGGAAAAAACCCAGTCTCAAGAATGACATTAAACAATAATTCAAGAGGCGTGCCTAAAATATCTGATGAGTGTAAGAAACATTCGGAGATATTCAGGGTGATTTGTTCTGCTTCAAATGTCTAATACTATTTAGGAATTCTCTCTCGAGTTATTGGAGTGTCACGTATGTCATTTGTCATTTGTCATTGAGTCATTTATATCACACGTTTGATAATTATTCTCATCGCACTGCCTTGCTGACTGTATGATTATCCATGGCATCATAAGTTTCAGATGTTGGAAACAATTCTTTAAAATGAGAAAACCATTCGTTGATTTCAATGTCATTTGTTTGTCTGGCTTTCCCATTCACATTTTTCATAAAACGACAATAAACCCATAAAGGGACAGAACTTAAACCGTGATGGCTTAGTTTATGATCAAATGATCAAATTTGAGGTTTGAAATACAAGAAACATTTTAATTTACTTTTTTTTACTGACACAAACAAATAAGAAATTATGGCAACAATTTTATTAGTCTGTTTATACTCATAATTGTATACGCCAACTCTAAAATTTCGTGCGACCAGCCGTTTGGCAGCCACATTCCATCTAAGGTCAAGGTCATTTGTAAAATGTGTCACGTGACAGATTTTACGCGGTGTACTGGCAAATCCGCCTACATGGGTTCGTATGCTTTGGCTATTGACCAATCAGAATTCGACATATTAATTTATCTAAACGGTAATAATGGCTGATATTGATGACACATTACTCGATATTTGGCTAACGTCATTGAAATATATTGCATGGTTTGATGGCAGGGTTTCATAACCGACGCAGAGCATCTCTAGGCGAAAGCTAAACATGATCGTGGAGTTAAGTCTCGGTTCACACTGAAAATGTTGATGAGGAGCGGACCCATGAATTTCCTGAACGTAGATGCAGTAATATAACTGGAATACAACACGGATACCTTCGGACAAGAACCAAGCTGATACGCAACGTCCGAGATAACCTGTATTGAGACATACTGCCCTAGTAGGTAACCTTGTAACGCATCTCCTGAGGTTGGTCATTACTGTGTTGCTGTCTCCGCATCGGGGTCCGCCTTAATGTACACAACAACACAGACATGTCCTTCACCTCGGGGACGTCACACACGCGGACCATACTGTTTCCTCTCACACTTACAAGGAAAGTGTTCACGGAGTCATTTTGTCGAATTCAGTGACGGAATCTGGACTGACCTTTTTTCATAATACTATTATGTTTCTGTTTTCTGCCATATAATAGATTTAGAAGAAAGTTTTGAAAGTGTGTATTGTAGAGCGTAGAGCAATGGATGTTGTTGCTGTGACGTGGATGCTGTTGTTACTCAGTGGATGCTGCTACAGTCGTCCCCACGAAGACGAGTTTTATTTTGGGACGTTCCCGGATGACTTTGTGTGGAGCACAGCCACAGCTGCCTATCAGATAGAAGGAGCGTGGCGAGACGATGGTACGTTAAATACTTCAATATTCTATGGTATCAAATAGTGGACATCAAGGGCGTGGCGAGACGATGGTACGTTAAATACTTCAATATTCTATGGTATCAAATAGTGGACATCAAGGACGTGGCGAGACGATGGTACGTTAAATACTTCAATATTCTATGGTATCAAATGGTGGACATCAAGGGCGTGGCGAGACGATGGTACGTTAAATACTTCAATATTCTATGGTATCAAATGGTGGACATCAAGGGCGTGGCGAGACGATGGTACGTTAAATACTTCAATATTCTATGGTATCAAATAGTGGACATCAAGGGCGTGGCGAGACGATGGTACGTTAAATACTTCAATATTCTATTGTATCAAATAGTGGACATCAAGGGCGTGGCGAGACGATGGTACGTGAAATACTTCAATATTCTATTGTATCAAATAGTGGACATCAAGGGCGTGGCGAGACGATGGTACGTTAAATACTTCAATATTCTATTGTATCAAATAGTGGACATCAAGGGGCGTGGCGAGACGGTGGTACGTTAAATACTTCAATATTCTATGGTATCAAATAGTGGACATCAAGGGCGTGGCGAGACGATGGTACGTTAAATACTTCAATATTCTATGGTATCAAATACTGGGCATCAAGGGCGTGGCGAGACGATGGTACGTTAAATACTTCAATATTTTATTGTATCAAATAGTGGACATCAAGGGCGTGGCGAGACGATGGTACGTTAAATACTTCAATATTCTATTGTATCAAATAGTGGACATCAAGAGGCGTGGCGAGACGATGGTACGTTAAATACTTCAATATTCTATGGTATCAAATAGTGGACATCAAGGACGTGGCGAGACGATGGTACGTTAAATACTTCAATATTTTATTGTATCAAATAGTGGACATCAAGAGGCGTGGCGAGACGATGGTACGTTAAATATTTCAATATTCTATTGTATCAAATAGTGGACATCAAGAGGCGTGGCGAGACGATGGTACGTTAAATACTTCAATATTCTATGGTATCAAATAGTGGATATCAAGGGCGTGGCGAGACGATGGTACGTTAAATACTTCAATATTCTATTGTATCAAATAGTGGACATCAAGAGGCGTGGCGAGACGATGGTACGTTAAATACTTCAATATTCTATGGTATCAAATAGTGGATATCAAGGGCGTGGCGAGACGATGGTACGTTAAATATTTCAATATTCTATTGTATCAAATAGTGGACATCAAGAGGCGTGGCGAGACGATGGTACGTTAAATACTTCAATATTCTATGGTATCAAATAGTGGATATCAAGGGCGTGGCGAGACGATGGTACGTTAAATACTTCAATATTCTATTGTATCAAATAGTGGACATCAAGAGGCGTGGCGAGACGATGGTACGTTAAATACTTCAATATTCTATGGTATCAAATAGTGGATATCAAGGGCGTGGCGAGACGATGGTACGTTAAATACTTCAATATTCTATTGTATCAAATAGTGGACATCAAGAGGCGTGGCGAGACGATGGTACGTTAAATACTTCAATATTCTATGGTATCAAATAGTGGATATCAAGGGCGTGGCGAGACGATGGTACGTTAAATACTTCAATATTCTATGGTATCAAATAGTGGATATCAAGGGCGTGGCGAGACGATGGTACGTTAGATACTTCAATATTCTATTGTATCAAATAGTGGACATCAAGGGCGTGGCGAGACGATGGTACGTTAAATGCTTCAATATTCTATGGTATCAAATAGTGGATATCAAGGGCGTGGCGAGACGATGGTACGTTAAATACTTCAATATTCTATTGTATCAAATAGTGGACATCAAGAGGCGTGGCGAGACGATGGTACGTTAAATACTTCAATATTCTATTGTATCAAATAGTGGATATCAAGGGCGTGGCGAGACGATGGTACGTTAAATACTTCAATATTCTATGGTATCAAATAGTGGACATCAAGGGCGTGGCGAGAGGATGGTACGTTAAATACTTCAATATTCTATTGTATCAAATAGTGGACATCAAGAGGCGTGACGAGACGATGGTACGTTAAATACTTCAATATTCTATTGTATCAAATAGTGGACATCAAGGGCGCGGCGAGGAGGTGGTACGTTAAATGCTACAATATTCTATTGTATCAAATAGTGGATAGTGTTGTCGCTTGTGTGAACCAATGAACTTGATATTACGATGCGTTAAATATTCAGATGTGTTCATGGAATGCTGACAAGCTCCATTCATAGATAGAATGTTTTCTTGCTCAATACAATACCGACAGCCGTGTACAATAAGTATCGAGGTGTGTGTTTGGCTACTGCCTGTTTATGACACGGAGGGCCGCCATGTGGTGCTATGTGTCTAACGGGACGGGTCTCTCAAGCTAAACTTGTCTGCAGTTTCTAAAGGTACTTCCTCCGACAACATTATATCTTAAACATCGAGTATTTTGAAAATGACACCTTAGTAAACCACCATTACAATTATAACGAACAGAAGGAGATAACGAAGTATTCTTTTGGGTCCCGTCTGCTTGCTGAAGGTTCGAATCGAAATGTGTATAACTACCTACGGTCATTATACACTACCATTATAGGCCCCAGTGAGGATCATATGACAGTTGTCTGCTGAGTATAAGAGATTGTTACCATCATTATATTTTGATCAATTATATAGTTTTCAAATAGGTTCAAGGCATTTGTATTTTAGTATCATAGTAACATTGTTGTACAGTGGATATGCTTGGTACAGGGAAAGGTGCGAGCATCTGGGACATGTACGTGCGTCGCCCTGGCAACATCGACGACGGCAGTACTGGGGACATCGCGTGCGACAGCTACCACAAATACAAGGAAGATGTGCAGCTGCTGAAATCACTGGGGGTGAGTGAGTGAGTGAGTGAGTGAGTGGATGAACCAGATTGTATTCGTCAATCACATTTATGAAGTATTGAGTGGGTGGGGCAATACTGCAGCATTTACTGGGATGGGATGGAAATAGTCACGTCATTTCAATCAGAAGATCCCAGAATTAGGGCCATGTCACACATGTGTGGGAAATGAACATTTGCCCATTGGTGTTTCGACAGTACATCAGTTTTAGCCTGTATTTCAAGAACAACGCAATACATGGAGATATTGGCACTTCGTCGTAACCGCTGACAATCAAGGTGTAATTTGTTTTGGAGTATTTGCCGTTTTTCGAGTCGAGACTAACATGGCCGCTTCATTCTACGCCAAAGTAAACACTACTGGCCAGAAAAGCAATATGCAATACGTCTGACAGATACACGATGACTCCAGGTGAACAGGGATAAGGTTGTCTGACTCCATTTACAGAGTTGTGTCCCTTAGGTGTTCCAGAAACCGATGATTGTATCTTAGATTCCCCACTATGTTGCTTTGTTGTCAGCACCATATCTGTGCTCACAGGTTTCACCTAACTGGTCACCGTCAAATGCCTGTTTCCGACCCTCCGTCCACAAATCATTGACACTAAGATGCCTTTTCAAACAAAACTTATTCGTGTTGTTAATGTTTTAGTTTTATGACAAGCTGTATACCGAACGCTTCACGAGCTCCAGTTTCATCATATCAAGTAACTGTGCTTGTAACATCTCAAAGATGTAGTTTTCCTAAAGGTTTATGAATACGCAACTTCAGATCCATGTTAAGGACGTCTGGACTGTTATTGAAGTAAGTGTGCTCTACCGACTCTCTGTTCAATGATGATGTAGGTATCCCACTACCGGTTCTCTATATCCTGGCCGCGGGTGATGCCTTCTGGTAGAAACGACACCATCAACAGCCTTGGTTTGGAGTACTACAACAACCTGATTGACGAGCTGCTGGCTAACGGTATCCAGCCCATGGTGACCCTCTACCACTGGGACCTCCCGGAGAGTCTGGAAGAACATGGTGGCTGGTTAAACGAGGACACGGCGGAGCTGTTCACGGAGTATGCCAGGTTGTGTTTCCAGTCGTTCGGGGACAGGGTAAGACTTGAAGCCGTTTTGGTCAACTATGGAATTTTTTCGTGACTATTCACTCTCAAAACGATCGATTGAAGCAGACATTTTGTTACACGCTGACATGCAAAAGACAGCATACGCACAACTGACCCGACTAAATAATTACAAACATATTCACAATTTGTTTGGCTGAAACACGACAAACATCATGTTAAAGACACAACTAGTATACTTGCATCAGGCACATCACCAGTAAATAACCGCCACTTGTTTGGTAGATTTAGACACTATTACACTTGGGTGTCTGAGATGGATTAGCCTAATGGTGGAAATGTTTCATGGTCGTCTATAATATTTGAAACCAGTTCTTGGAGCTGGGATATGACTAAAAGGGTAAAACGTCAACCCAGGCACTCCCTCTCCCGACCACCCGTGTGTCTATACTACTTCCTGTATGGTACTGTAGGTCAAGTTCTGGATCACTCTCAACGAGCCCTGGGTTGTCGCCTGGCACGGTTATGGGATTGCAGAGAAGGCTCCAGGGCGATGGGGACCTGGGACGTACACCTACATCGCCGGTCACAACCTCATCAAGGCCCACGTAAACGCCTACCACCTCTACGACAAGGCCTTCAGACCCACACAGAAAGGTAGGCACAGATTCAACAAACGCCTATCAGTGGTTATAAACCCACACAGAAAGGTAGACACACACTCAACAAACGCCTATCAGTGGTAATAAACCCACACAGAAAGGTAGACACTCACTCAACAAACGCCTATCTGTGGTTATAAACCCACACAGAAAGGTAGACACTCACTCAACAAACGCCTATCTGTGGTTATAAACCCAAACAGAAAGGTAGGCACTCACTCAACAAAGGCCTATCAGTGGTGATAAAGCCACACAGAAAGGTAGACACTCACTCAACAAACGCCTATCTGTGGTTATAAACCCAAACAGAAAGGTAGGCACTCACTCAACAAACGCCTATCAGTGGTTATAAACCCACACAGAAAAGTAGACACTCACTCAACAAACGCCTATCTGTGGTTATAAACCCAAACAGAAAGGTAGGCACTCACTCAACAAACGCCTATCAGTGGTGATAAAGCCACACAGAAAGGTAGACACACACTCAACAAACGCCTATCTGTGGTTATAAACCCAAACAGAAAGGTAGGCACGGACTCAACAAACGCCTATCAGTGGTTATAAACCCACACGGAAAGGTAGGCACACACTCAACAAACGCCTATCTGTGGTTATAAACCCACACAGAAAGGTAGACACTCACTCAACAAACGCCTATCAGTGGTTATAAACCCACACAGAAAGGTAGGCACTCACTCAACAAACGCCTATCAGTGGTTATAAACCCACACAGAAAGGTAGACACACACTCAACAAACGCCTATCAGTGGTTATAAACCCACACAGAAAGGTAGGCACACACTCAACAAACGCCTATCAGTGGTTATAAACCCACACAGAAAGGTAGGCACACACTCAACAAACGCCTATCTGTGGTTATAAACCCACACAGAAAGGTAGGCACGGACTCAACAAACGCCTATCAGTGGTTATAAACCCACACAGAAAGGTAGGCACAGATTCAACAAACGCTTATCACTAGTTATAAGCCCACACAGAAAGGTAGGCACACACTCAACAAACGCCTATCTGTGGTTATAAACCCACACAGAAAGGTAGGCACACACTCAACAAACGCCTATCAGTGGTTATAAACCCACACAGAAAGGTAGGCACACACTCAACAAACGCCTATCAGTGGTTATAAACCCACACAGAAAGGTAGGCACACACTCAACAAACGCCTATCAGTGGTTATAAACCCACACAGAAAGGTAGGCACACACTCAACAAACGCCTATCAGTGGTTATAAACCCACACAGAAAGGTAGGCACACACTCAACAAACGCCTATCAGTGGTTATAAACCCACACAGAAAGGTAGGCACACACTCAACAAACGCCTATCAGTGGTTATAAACCCACACAGAAAGGTAGGCACAGACTCAACAAACGCCTATCAGTGGTTATAAACCCACACAGAAAGGTAGGCACACACTCAACAAACGCCTATCAGTGGTTATAAACCCACACAGAAAGGTAGGCACACACTCAACAAACGCCTATCTGTGGTTATAAACCCACACAGAAAGGTAGGCACACACTCAACAAACGCCTATCACTGGTTATAAACCCACACAGAAAGGTAGGCACACACACTCAACAAACGCCTATCAGTGGTTATAAACCCACACAGAAAGGTAGGCACTCACTCAACAAACGCCTATCAGTGGTTATAAACCCACACAGAAAGGTAGACACTCACTCAACAAACGCCTATCAGTGGTTATAAACCCACACAGAAAGGTAGGCACACACTCAACAAACGCCTATCAGTGGTTATAAACCCACACAGAAAGGTAGGCACACACTCAACAAACGCCTATCAGTGGTTATAAATCCACACAGAAACGTAGGCACAAACTCAACAAACGCCTATCAGTGGTTATAAACCCACACAGAAAGGTAGGCACAGAGTCAACAAACGCCTATCAGTGGTTATAAACCCACACAGAAAAGTAGGCACTCACTCAACAAACGCCTATCTGTGGTTATAAACCCAAACAGAAAGGTAGACACACACTCAGCAAACGCCTATCTGTGGTAATAAACCCACACAGAAAGGTAGACACTCACTCAGCAAACGCCTATCAGTGGTTATAAACCCACACAGAAAGGTAGACACTCACTCAACAAACGCCTATCAGTGGTTATAAACCCACACAGAAAAGTAGACACTCACTCAACAAACGCCTATCTGTGGTTATAAACCCAAACAGAAAGGTAGGCACACACTCAACAAACGCCTATCAGTGGTGATAAAGCCACACAGAAAGGTAGACACACACTCAACAAACGCCTATCTGTGGTTATAAACCCACACAGAAAGGTAGGCACTCACTCAACAAACGCCTATCAGTGGTTATAAACCCACACAGAAAGGTAGGCACACACTCAACAAACGCCTATCTGTGGTTATAAACCCACACAGAAAGGTAGGCACACACTCAACAAACGCCTATCTGTGGTTATAAACCCACACAGAAAGGTAGGCACTCACTCAACAAACGCCTATCAGTGGTTATAAACCCACACAGAAAGGTAGGCACACACTCAACAAACGCCTATCAGTGGTTATAAACCCACACAGAAAGGTAGGCACACACTCAACAAACGCCTATCAGTGGTTATAAACCCACACAGAAAGGTAGGCACACACTCAACAAACGCCTATCTGTGGTTATAAACCCACACAGAAAGGTAGGCACACACTCAACAAACGCCTATCAGTGGTTATAAACCCACACAGAAAGGTAGGCACACACTCAACAAACGCCTATCAGTGGTTATAAACCCACACAGAAAGGTAGGCACACACTCAACAAACGCCTATCAGTGGTTATAAACCCACACAGAAAGGTAGGCACACACTCAACAAACGCCTATCAGTGGTTATAAACCCACACAGAAAGGTAGGCACACACTCAACAAACGCCTATCAGTGGTTATAAACCCACACAGAAAGGTAGGCACAGACTCAACAAACGCCTATCTGTGGTTATAAACCCACACAGAAAGGTAGGCACAGATTCAACAAACGCCTATCTGTGGCTATAAACCCACACAGAAAGGTAGGCACACACTCAACAAACGCCTATCTGTGGTTATAAACCCACACAGAAGAAGGTAGGCACACACTCAACAAACGCCTATCAGTGGTTATAAACCCACACAGAAAGGTAGGCACCTCACTCAACAAACGCCTATCTGTGGTTATAAACCCACACAGAAAGGTAGGCACACCACTCAACAAACGCCTATCAGTGGTTATAAACCCACACAGAAAGGTAGGCACTCACTCCAGCAAACGCCTATCGGTGGTTATAAACCCGCACAGAAAAGTAGGCACAAACTCAACAAACGCCTATCAGTGGTTATAAACCCACACATGAAAGCAGTAGGCACAGAGTCAACAAACGCCTATCAGTGGTTATAAACCCACACAGAAAGGTAGGCACTTCACTCAACAAACGCCCTATCGGTGGTTATAAAACCCAAACAGAAAGGTGGTGATACTACACTCAGCAAACGCCTCATTCGTGGTAATAAAAGCCACACGAAGGTAGAAACACACTCAGCAAACGCACTATCGAGTGGTTTATAAACCCACACAGAAAGTAGACACTCACTCAACAAACGCCTATCCGGTGGTTATAGAGCCCAATACGCGAAGGTAGACACTCACTCAACAAACGCCTATCTGTGGTTATAAACCCACACACAAGAACACTCAGCAAACGGTAGGTGGTTACACACTCAACAAACGCCTATCTGTGGTTATAAACCCACACAGAAAGGTAGGCACACTCAACAAACGCCTATCCCGGTGGTTATAAACCCACACGCCAGCGACGCCTCTGTGGTTATAAGCCCACAGAAGGTAGGCACACACTCAACAAACGCCTATCCCACACACAGTGGTTATAAACCCACACAGAAAAGGTAGGCACACACTCAACAAAACGCCTATCTGTGGTTATAAACCCACACAGAAAGGTGAGGCGCACACTCAACAAACGCCAATCGGTGGTTTACGCCGAGCGCCGACACACAGAAACGGTAGAGCACTTTTCACTCAACAAACGCCTATCAAGCATCGTTTATAAACCCACACAGAAGGGTAGGCACACTCCAACAAACGCCTATCGGTGGTTATAAACCCGCACACAGAAAGAGTAGGCACACACTCAACAAACGCCTATCTGTGGTTATAAACCCACACAGAAAGGTAGGCACACACTCAACAAACGCCTATCTGTGGTTATAAACCCACACAGAAAGGTAGGCACACACTCAACAAACGCCTATCAGTGGTTATAAACCCACACAGAAAGGTAGGCACACACTCAACAAACGCTATCTGTGGTTTATGAAACCCACACACACACAGAAGGTAGAGGCACACACTCAACAAACGCCCATCAGTGGTTATAAACCCACACAGAAAGGTAGGCACTCACTCAACAAACGCCTATCAGTGGTTATAAACCCACACAGAAAGGTAGGCACAGATTCAACAAACGCCTATCTGTGTTTATAAATACGCCGAATCTGCAATGAAGACACTCGTCATAATATTTGACAATAAAAGCCTGTGCCTGTTCGTGTGTGAGTGTGCGTGTGCGTGTGCGTGTACGTTATTGCGTATATAAACTCTGTCAAAAAGAAACGCAACCCCTGTATTTTAGAGATTTTTGATCTGAAGTTTTAGGACGACACGGCATTTTATTATTTAAGACAGAAGTCTGAAATTTGGCAGAATAATAACCCAGATGGGCATGTTTAAAATTGTCATTTCAAAAGTCATCTCACAGACACCAGTTTGTCACCAGGGGCGTCTTTCTCAGTATCTCGTATGAGCACCACGCGCTGCAATCACTGCACGGCATCTCCTTGGACAAGAACGGATAAGACGCCGGATTCTTTCCTGGGGAATGGCTCTCCACTCCTCCTGCAGTGCAACGGCGAGCTGTTGCAGCGTCTGTGGCGGCGGCT